AGGATTTTTTTATTTTGTGCTCTAAAATGGTTGTCCAAATGCCGAAGTATTTCTTCAAAAATTGACGAATTCATCCATGCTTTGGGATTTGCACGATAATAAACGGGAAGCCGTTGTAAATTAATTCGTGAAAAAGGTCTCGGACGTTTCGCATTACCGATTACCCATGGCATAAGTTTATCAGTTCCTGTCGCATTGACACCAAGAAGAACCGTTATTCTAGTTTTATCTTTCTTCTGGCCAAGAACAGGTTTGCTTGAAAGTGTTTGATTCGGTGGCATTCGGTAAAAAAGACCTGTTTCGTCGATATTATAAATTCGATCAAGGGTAAACCGGCCCAAAAGTCTACGCAATTTCGTTCGTTCTTCTGTAAGAGATTCCAATGGGGCACTTCCTGCTTCTCCGTGTGCACGATATCGTTGCGTTTTTTAAATTTCTCAAGCCAGCCGTTAGAAAACATCAATTCACTTTCCTGTATGTTAAATGCTTGAGCAAAAACCTTAGCTTTTTCTTTAATTAACAAATCAGTTAAGGTAACGCCTCCCGCTGTTACATTTTCTACCCATAGACTCATAGCATGATCTAATAATGGAAATTTAGCCTCTCTGTGCCTAGGTTTTTAGAAAATTCATTAGATGTAATGAAGTTTCAAAGTGTTATTAAAATAAAACTGCGTACCTAAATGTTTTAGTCGAAACTTCAGCACTAACTACGACCTTCCACTTGTCTTTTTCTTTCAAAATTTTAGACACAGTACTTCGGTCAATCTTCACATTAAGGTTTTTTTCGTTAAAATGTTGAGCAATTTCATGGTGTTTTTCGTTTTTATTTGCTTCCGCCCATTCGCATATTTGACGCTTAATGTCATCACTAATAGCTGAACGGCGTTGTTTAGGCTGTCGATCTGGTGGCATAACAAAGAGACAAGTAGAAGGAACAATTGTGTATGGAAAAAATGAGATTTTATATGATTTTTTTTGTGTCAATTTGAAGATAAGTAGGTGTCGATAGAAAAGCAAATGATAATCACTGATAAGATTAATTTTATAACCAATCAGGTTTCATTAATCTGCGGCCAATCGGAAATTAGTGATTATAGAGAGGTCAAATTACTAATAAAAATAATATGTACGTTACAGATTATGTGGTGATAGTGATTATAAACGATTTGTGACTATAAAGAGGTAAATTAACTAAGTTAAGGTCCGTTTCAAAAAATAACGTTCTTATGTAGAGGTGTGACTATATAGGGTGTGACTGTAAGGAGGTCTGACTGTATTAATATTGGGAACTTTCTAGACCTTTTCACAATGAATTCTATCATGCAAAGTGATCTACATGAAATCTACTAAATAAATCGAACACAAGTTTCACAAGTGGCAAAACAAACATCTTGTTGTGGCTTATAAAATTTGACCAATTGTCTGTGGCGTTAATATTCAATCTGTTAACTTGTTGTTCCATATCATTCTTGTTGAAATGACTTACTCTCTCTCTAAACGCAGAAGACAATCAGAAAAACGAGCCGATTCCATAGCACTTAGTAAATTCTTCACACCACGTCATATACACTTATGGCTAAGAATAATACATAGTATATATCCTGTGGATGACGAATTGGTACAGGCATTGAACGGAGCTTATACTGACAAGAACTGGATTGAACATCGAATAGCTGTGAGGGATGGGTATGTTAAATTACTGAACCAGAGCTGATAAATTGGATGCAAAAATTGAACCAATTGATTCGTTACTTATCAGTAGGGCTAAAGAGGTCAGAGAATGGTCAAAAGATGAAACGAGTTTTGTGGAAAGCTTCTTAAAATATGAACCTTCACCACCATTATTTCATGCTCTTGTAAGGGAATTATTATCTACACAATTGTTTTGATTAATCAACTGCTGATCTATCGATCTGACTGGGACCAATTCAATTTTGATATTCAACCAATCCTACACTTGCAATGCAACATTCTCGATTAAGGCTGCAATAATTTATAGATCTCCAACTCTAGTAATGGAAAAATGGCAATCACTCTCATCCTCTTCATCTTCCCGCAAACTTCCGTTGTCCACAGAAAAGTCTGCGTCAATCCTAGCTTCCAACCCACATAAGCGCCGATCGTCAAATGAACCAAAGAAGGGCAAAGCTAAGAAGAAAGAACCGCTATCGTCAGCGGTAATGGAAAATATTCATTCTCTGCAGACAGAGATTATCAAACAAATAGAATCTCTTCCCCTTGTGGACGAGACCTTTCGAGAAATGTGGGATCCTAGTGTAGAGACTGTGGCGCATGATCAGCCATTATTTGATATTGTTAACGATATTGACGATGAAAAATTGCTGTGGTTAGAGGTGAGGAGGAAGGCGTGCGTAAATAGTGAATGGTGCAGAATGCAATATGATATTGGTTGTGATAACAAGTGCTGTTTACGCATGTGCTCCACTGACGTCCGAATAGAAGCGTTTATGTAGTTATGCTCACTTGAACGGCTATTCAATATGGATTATAGGTTATTGAGAAGAGTGTTGTTCATTTTGATGTAGATGAGCCAGATCCGCAGTCTACGATCATATGTGATTGTCAAAAAAATTGCGCGGTAGTCTCAACCTCTTTTTTTTTCCCCTGGTTTTTCTTTGTGCTATTAAGTACTCGTTCCTAACCTTACACATTGTTATTGAATATAGAATTGGGAAGATTGTGTATGTAGAGCAGAGGATACAGGTATTTCTATGCAAGTCTACTTGGCTTGTAATTAATGGTTATTATGCTTTGTATCCAAGTGCTAATAGTCTCTCAAGTCTTATTAATCGTTGACATGCGCAGGTGGTTATCCATTCACGAATGGTCGATTAACAGACGTCAAATTCCGTGGTCCAGTATATGAATGTGGGTCATCGTGCCCTTGTGGAGAAGACTGTTCTAATCGATTCATACAAAACTCAAAAACGTGGCCGCATTTACAGGTGAGTTAGTCTTTGTCGCGTCTGTCATTCGCTCTCCCAACCTTTCGCGTTGATCTTCTTTATATCGAACAAAGTTATTCTTTGGTATGTTATCATCACACGCAATCAAATATAGAATGTATGGCAATGACGTACAGAATAATTCATTCGTTTTACTTCATCTGCATATGTTGGCAACCAATGTACCATTTACACATATTATTGATCCAAGATATATAAAACACGAAGTAAAGGATGGGGAGTAAGAACGACTAAGCCAATACCGAAAGGTCAATTTGTGGCCGAATATGTTGGGGAGCTTATTAGTGCCGAGACAGCGAATTTAAGAGCGGGTTTTTATAATATATTGCATCACGTTTACTGGTTTGATTTGGATTTTGGAGTCGAGAACGACAGAGACCCGACTATGTTAAGGTATGTAAAAATAACTGCCTTTCCTGCTTTGCTGATATTCATTTATGGTTATATAATGGGAAGTTTCCTAGCTCGTTTGATAATTAGAGAATGTATGTGATGTCATTGATCACTTTTTGATGACATTCAGAATTTACCACAAGAGAAAAAAAAAAGTGCATCCAATTGGAACTACAGAAGTTAACAGAATGCTTGTCTTCTAATATATAGTCTAGATGCAGCTTACATGTGCAATGTTACAAGATTCTTTAACCACTCTTGTGATGAGAACTTGATCCAGTTAGCGGTAAGTAAGGCTTTGTAATTGTGAGAGGCATGAGCAAGAAGACTCGGGAACAGCTACCATATAGAGCACATAAAGTTTAGTGTTACGTGATATCTGTAACCTCCTTTTTGACTACACAGAGACATGAGCTTATTACATCTCATATAAGCTTATTTTATACTGCACTCTTGCTGTTAATACTGGAGGTTGAGTATTATATCAGATGCAATATCATAAACTTGACAGCGCGGCAAATGGATGAAGGGCTTTATTAGATGCTTTTTATGGACATTTTGTCAGGATCAAAGCGATTCTTGTTGCTCATTGTCATCCATTTTTGCAAGTCTCAGATTCTATACATAACTTTTAAGCTACGATTGTCACTCAATGACTTATCTAATTTCATACTCATGCAAATTACAGTTTTATACCGACCACAAAGACCGGGCATGGCATCAGTTGGCATTTTTTACTAAAAAGGACATCCCAGCAGGAGAGGAACTGACATTCAATTATAACATCAATGGTGGGGAGGAGTGCTGTTGTGGTGCTAAAAACTGCCGAGGGAGGTATTAATGTGAAGTTCAAAGACGCTTGTTATTGAAAGGACTGATTGTCAATGAGGGATTGTAATAAAATGGAAATTAATTTGACCGAATGTACATTATAAAGCCGGAGCTTCTGTCAGAACCATTTACGATACTAGTACTTAGTATTAACAATACTCAAAAATGTCTAGTTGAAAAAATGTCCTTACAAACTACCGCGGGAAAGTTTGTGCGGGTTTTTTGAATGGTAATAAATATTTGTAATGCCTTTGTTTTGGCGTCACCTATTTCCCATTTTGAATAACAATTCGCCACCCTTAATTTCAGTACATTCACAGCAAGATGTTAAAGCATGGATTGTTGAGAGAAACTAAATGTTTGCTGTTATGTATGTACCAAGAAACAATATAGGCGCATGGTCCTAAAATATTTTGGATGACGAAAAATCAGATAATAGAAAACGAATGTTTGATGCAGGACGGAAGTTTGTCCATTTGCCTTTGAGACAATTATAAATTAATCATACGCGTTGACAAACAATTGACGTCTTGACAAGGTACGTTTGTAAATCCAAACCCTTTACCTTTAACAAAGTCAATCTATTTTCGGGGATTTGACGCGATTCTTGCACGCTGCTGCCATTGTTTGTCTTTTAACTAGTCAACTATTAATATTTATTTGCTGACAATAGTGATCAAGTCTTTAAGGTTGAACGGAAGAAAAGGCTTGTTTATGCGACAGAAAGCGCTTTTATATTTAAGAACTCCATTAATATTAGTTACTCTTATAGTGGAGTGTAATTGGCTTCTTGACAAGCCTCCATACGTCCACAGCTACAGCAGATTACTATATCGAGACATATAACGATCCACTGTTTGTGGACAATAAGAAGACATGGTTTAGCGCCTTGTCGTATACTGAATTATTGATATTGCGATCTTTATTATACAAATTTATACAGTACAGTCGCCTCAAAAAAAAAAAACCGGCAATTCTATAATAACTAATGTAGCAAATAGCACGAATAATAACTTGTTTGAATGACAGAAAAGGGTAGATTTTATTAATAAATTTTAGTATAGAATTCGCTCTCCATTACTTTCAATAACAACCAGCTCATTGAATTTATTAGAGTCGATTTTTCAGATCTTTTGGCATCACGTTTCTCTTAACTATACTCCACAAATTTTCAATTGAGTTCAAGTCAGGGCTATTAGCTGGCTAGTCAGTAACCTGAGAAACATTTTTCGAAGGAATAACCAGGCTAGACGGCTTGTATGTTTGGAAGCGCCAATTTCTTTCACCCAACATTTGTTTAATTTCAGGAATACGATCTTGCCCTCTGTAATTTCACCATCAATGCAAACCATTTCATTTAAATCTGCGAAACTTGCCAATTTATTAAAAAATCAATTTGTTCTCAATAATCGAAATTTTTTATAATAGTATCTGAAATATGATCCGTAAATCATCAGAATTTTTTGGTTGCTTATTTTTGGAGGTCAACTTCCTAATTAATACGAATATGAATGTCCTAATTGGGCTGCTTTTTTATATGAGACACTGTGCCATGACTTAATGACTTGTAAGTCGAATAATTGCGTTGTAAATTACTGATTGATATTTATTCTTTATTCTGGGCGGTCTCTTCTCTCGCTTCTGTTTCAGACATGTCAGAAGATTATTATTCTTTAGAAAATTTGTATCCTTACGTGCGTTTGCTTTTCTTGGTCCACTATGATATCCGCTTTAATTGCGTGGTGAATAAGAAAAAAAAAAAAAAGCCTGACATCGCATGCGTTGTGGACAGGATTTCGATAATAATTGTCGCGGCTGATGCTGAAATCGAAGTAAACGCGTTTATGCACAATTGAATGATGCTTTGGTCCTACAAATTTGATGGCAAGATCGAATTTGTTTACCGCCGATACGAGAAAGCGATTTACATTTTTACCGGCGATACGATAAAGAACTCACCGGGGAAATATCGAATAAATTTAAAACTGAAAGACAACATATATATCTGTCCCGATGCGGTCAACTCGGTAAGGAGGCCAAACAAATTGTTGATCTAATAATAAAATATGTAGCATTGGTGTTGGTCTTCTATTTAAAATAATAAAAATGATTAATATAAAAAAAACCGTCCGCCATTCTTTTCGCCGGGGACTGTAACGAAATTTATCAAATACGTCACAACCCGCGTATTGCAATATAGCATCCACCCTGATTATTTCCATTTGACTAATGGAATTATTAAAATTGTCTTTAGAAGCCGCTGAAGTAGTTTTTATTTTCTTTTCCACGTCTTGTTTAATGACTTACTAACACCCTACTGTGGGAAGATCAAAATTGACCGGGGATATTCTTATAAACCGCGTCAATTAAGGCGTAGTTAATTCTTGAAAATGGCTCTTTATGCTTCATATTACTATAGTATAAATCACATCTTTACCAAATCAACAATGTCTTTGAAAAGTACTAGACGAAGATCTAATATTGAAACTCGGTTCAGCATAGTCTTCTACACCCTCCCTAGTGATTACATTACGATGTACATTAATAAACGTCTTCATAATCCACCGCTAGTCACCAGTCACGTATCACATATTTTAAATGCTCTCAATTCACCCTCCTAACCTTCCGCTCGCTCAAATAATTCATCTAGAAATATATGCAGATGCTACATATCGTATAACCGACAGAAAAATACAATACACAATTGTGTAAACGACCGAGCAAAAATTTACAAGCGTGTTTTTCGTTCGCCATAAGAACAAACACTACAACACTTATGTCTCATTGCTCAGATCAGCAGATACCAAGTCTGCAAAAGAAGATTTCAAGTAATAGAAATAATTATGGGGTTTTTCACGAATAATTTAATTAGTGGTTCACTCAAAGAATACAAGAAATTCTATAATTAAGTCTAAATTCAATACCCCATACTTTTTCTAAGACTCATCAACCCACTCAGCTCTTTCCAAGAATTTACACATGTACGATTTATCACCCTTCCAACACTTTTCACAGAAGCTATTATAAGTCTTATCTTTTTTCCACTCGAAATAACTCTCATATAAAGTCTTGTTATTTGCCACCTTTTCTATATAATCTGCAACCTCTTTGACCGTCTTAAAGTCCGTCACTTTTATAATTGAATGCGGGGGAACGTAAGCATCAATGTCCGGCGCGCCCATGTAAATGGGGATGGCGTCGATTAGTATCGGATCATAGACTTTCTCCGTGACATAGCCCATACAGTTGGAATTTTCAAGTGCCAATATAAATTTATAGGGTGACAGCGTATCCCGCTTGACTTCAAACATGTTGGCTTGCCAATGTGCCGTCGCATTGCCCTCAGGCTTAACTCCGTACTTTTCGAGAACATATTCAGGTACATCTTTGGTGTGGTGACAGCTGCCGTACGAATCGACGGAGGTATACTTCATAAGGTCGGCGACGAATTCGTTTCGATTGTTCTTGGGATAGCAGTTTCCACTCATCCATGCAACCAAAACGTCTGATTTTTTCTTCTCAAAGGGCACAACAGTATTATAAAACGCAGGCATACGGTCTCGAGCAATCCCAAAAGTCGGTTGGAATATGTCAAAAACCCGTGCAGGAGGGCCCATGGTCATTTCAAACAATTCGCGGAAACCTCTGAGTCCGGCATACCACTCGTATGCTAGACCCTCGTCTATGAGTTTTAACCACCAAACTTGGTTTGTGTTTTTTGGCGGAAAGCGTGCAAGGTCATAGTATGGTGGGTAATCCTCTCGGAGGAGATATGGAAAGTCTACTAGCATCACGTCTGCTTCACGCCACAGAGTAAAGTTCATCGTTATTCTCCAACTCGTGCCTCCCTCACAAGTGCCTTGCTCTCCAGACCCATGATGAGTCCAGAAAAAGCATGGTGCATATCCAGCAGGCCATATAGTTATATCAGAGTACGGGGAAGGAGCAAATTTACCAAAGATCCGCTGGAAAGATGGTGCAAGCTCAGGTGGATAGGGACAGAGATCGCGTGCAGCATCTGGCCAGGATAATTCTTTTTGGGTAGTAAAGGCATAGTGAAGCCAGCGGAAGATTAATACTTCACGATTGCGGGGACCTCTGAGGCGGAAGGTGCGATATCTGGGAAAGCTATTGTGCAGTGAAGTGTCACATGTGGTAGGTGCATACTCCGCGAGGAAGGGAGATGGTGCTAATTTGACGTTGTCAAACGGTTGAGGTGGTGGAATGTCTTCGATAATAGGCACGGTGGTGCTAGAATATATATCCATAAAGTTTAAAGAAAACGTAATTAATGCCATGAGTATAACAGTCACTGCTAGTAGTTTCCACGCATGTTGTCTTCGCCCAACGCCAGTCTTCGACATGGCACTTGACAAGTTTGTAAAATAGCTCATCAGCTTCTCTTCTATAGTGTTTAATATAAACTTCAAGGAGAATATTACATTTAATTCGTCCATAAATGCACTCCCTCACACTATAGCCCGCTTTGGGACTTAGAGCTAAGTACATTACTAAATTTATCCTTAAAAAATCATGTGTGCGTATTTGGAGGATAAATTCTCGGGATTGATGATCGGAAATTTACCTGCCAACCTGCACGCGTGCAGGCTCAAATATTATCCCTTCCTCCATAAATAGAAATATTATGGACTGTACGACGTGTCTGGTTGTGCAACCTGACAGGATAAATTCCTGATAATAACAAATCCCGATGGTGCATTTAGGGGCTATAGGTGTACAGTCGAAGCTCGCTATAATAAAAAGTTGGGCAACAACCCAGTGCAATATAGCATGAGTCCATATTAACGTGTCATTATAGTGCAAAATTTATATTTTCGACTTGATACAATTGTTCTGGCCCAGATCAAAAAGCTCAGAGTGATATTTATTTCGATGTTGTCACACAAATTATGCACAACGGTTGTCACACTGTAACCGGGTATATACTTATCCATACTCTTATCATGGGAGAAACGAAAAAGTCTGTGGCTAAAAGTCTATGTAAAGATTCTGTGTGATGAAGGTACTTGTGTGCTGTACAAGTCAACCTCGATAATTCGGCCGAATGTCTCCAGCCCCTTTTTTCACTATTCGATATGTCGGCCAACATTACCAGTGTCAAATAAGAAACAACTTACAAAATCAAATAAGGAAGAAACAAATTAATTCAATGAAACAACTACTCTAGTACTAGATAGTTTTTTTGCATTAAATTTATTATTCGGTTAGGTCACGTGCCCTCAGTAAGTGATAAGTCGGCCAAAATAGCCCACCCAGCCCACTTGGGCGACTTATCGAGGTTGACTGTATTTATAATTAACTGAACGTTTGGTCATTTATGGTAGTCAGACGATTTAACCTTTTATCTCTCGGGCTAATTGATGAGCTTACCTGTCACGAGAAATTGCAAACCAGGCAATCGAAATTTTTGATGGTTGGATACAGCATACATTCACTGTGATGCATTTCTGACTGAAGTGATGAGACGTCTAGCGCTAGTTAATAGTGAAGGTCAAACACAGAGTCAGACTGTTCAACAAGAAAGTGTTCGTGTAAGAGATGAATAACATGTAGTAGTCGGTTTTTATTAAATATTGTTTGTTTTCTGAAATAACACTTGTCCAGACATTTGTCTGATTGGTCAATTCAAGTTTTAATATGATTGGTTGATAGATCAATATGATTGGCTAATAAAAAATAATTAATTTTACAAATTTGATAATCGTGCATTCTTCCGACAAAATAATCCGATATTTGTGTCGTACAAGAATAAATTTTATTTACGGTAACGATGCGACCACTACCTTAATAAAATCCGCTCACATGATAATAATAATAACACTAATACAAATTACAAATTTATTCAACGGTATAAAAGTTTGCTAATGCTTCCAACATAAGATTGCGCTTTAATACAAAGAGTTTTTTTTTTTTTCGAGGCCAGTCAGCGCCTTGCATTTTATTTTGATGTTTATTTTTTTGAATTGCTTATTATTATAGACATAACATTTAGAGAACCACTCGTTGAGCTTTCTCCATGATTGTTCATTCTGAAGGATTAATGTCACTTGATGAATATCTGTATACGTAATTCGTCAGAGTCAGATTCTCATATCTGAAAAGTTCTTGTTTATAGGTTCAAAAAGGGCAGTTGTTAGCAAGTTGGAAGATGATAGTGAAAAATGGTCTAAATCGGTGATCAAGCTCACCAAAGCCTTCAAGAATTCAAAGAAATCTTTGAGGAATGTAAAAGGGAAAGTCATAGTTTCAGTCAAGAAACGTGTGCTGCGGAAATTCGAAGTGCCTCTGGACGTACATGCCGCTTAAACCAGTCAGTTGTATCAAAAATGCTCAAAGGTCAGTCAGTATATGCCAAAAGAGGGAGAGAAGACTGTTAGATATTGGGTAATGAAAAAAGCATATACAGAAGACAGGGGAGGACCCCGTTGAGACAGCAATCTTATATGACAATGAATCGACAGATAATAAACAGTAGATAGTCTACAAAGCATTCTTATCACGATAATAAAGCCATCGTTATCATGTGACGTAAATAGAAATTATTCTTGTACGACACCAAAATCCGAAATTTTCGGTCGGAAGAATGCACGATTATTATTATGCTGATTTTTTGTTTCTAAGTTAAATAATGGTTGCTGTGCCAAGTTTTCAGGTTCATCATCTGTTGATTGAACAACGTTTTCTTGATTAATATCAACCTGAGGATTATCTTCACTAATGAGTCTACGTATTAGTATATCGTAACAATGAACGGCTAGATTGTCAAGTAAATCACTTTCGGAACGTGCATGTTGCTTTGCAAACCGATCATTAAAAGATTGAGCCATAAATCGATCTTCTATTTTAGTGATCAAAATGTTATTATTATTATCAACAATTCGTGGGTTATGTATGCTTGCATATACATCATCTTCAACATTTCTTGGAATCGCAGTTGCTGTAGGTATTGGGATCGCAAGGACTGTAGTCATGTGTGCAACTGTACTAGTTGACGCAGTTGTGGGAATTCGTAGACCATGAATGTTATGATAATAATAATCATCGATATTAACGATTATGGCATTAATCCGATGCTTTACAAGACCTCGTCACATTATCTCTGTGAATAGAAGATATAATATTTTTCTCACGTCGATCTCCCTTGACGTAGAACCAACTGCATGTTAGATAAGGTATCAATTGCTTGATCAGACGTACCTGAATTATTTAGAAACATCGCAATATCCTTTTTCAATGAGCTGATATGTTTGTTTCCAATCCCCGCAAGAAAATAACATAAGAACGAGAGGCCTTTCTGTCGTTGCGAGATGGTGTGTGGTACATCTACCACTCAAGGAAGTTGAGGAATGGTTAAGGCCAATATCCTTTGACTCCAACTCCAGCCGAAGTAACTTCCAATCCCTAATAAATAATATTCTATTACTACCCATTCTTCGAGAGTCATTCCACGTGACATCATCGTCGCGTCGTGCGTAAGAGACAAAGAACTGCTATTACTGATTGGCTTGATATGAGGCGGGAGAGGAGTTGTTTGGATGAGTCACTTGAGTTGTTGTGCCGGTATGAAACATTCTCTTTTTTGGCACTGTACTATAAGTCATACATAATAGGGCTGACCTTTTTTTCCGTCTCGAACAAGTTCTTATAAATTGAGCCTTAGCTGATTCTAAAATTCGATTTAATTGATTACTTTATGCAAAAAGAAAGAATATAATATCAATCAGATTATTAATACTCACAGCTGACATAACTTGATTGTATGACTTCTGTCAACTTTTTCCTTCTACCCTTAGGGCAGCTTGAATGTCTTGCTCATGCTGTGTTTTGGCTTGTTGAGTGAAACTTTGCCAAAGACGTTGCTCGTACCCTTGGGTGCCAATATTATGTTTCGGGACTTTCGCTAACCGAAATTTGCAAAAGGCAGATGATCAGATGGAAAAATATGGTATATTAGCGCATATAAAAATGAACAAATTTAGCAAACTGGAGTCTATTTTACGTGTATCATTGATTCAGTAAAATCCTGGTAGTGACCAGCAATACACATAATTGAACAAGGTTCTATTGGTTCAAATTTATATCCCGATTCAAGTATGATATGGGAATGTAAAACGATACAAGTATATTTACGACTCACACTTGCTTCAACGTAAAGGTCGTTGGGTGCCATACTCAATCTAGCTTGGAGAATAATAAGGGAAAGATGCGAGACTTCTAAAGACAGGCGCATTCAACTTTTAAATTTAATCTATTACTTGAATAATCCCCAACTTACAATAAATAAACAAAAGATCAAAGGAATATTTTACTCAATTGAGAGAATTCTATCCAAGATAGAACATACTGTTCACTATCCTTATGTAACGTTCTCACATTTGTTGCAGCCTCTTCGTCACCAATTTGGTAGTCGCCTGTAACAGCCGGTTATAATGCTGATTTATTTCTGGCTGGAACATAGTGACGTGAGCGTCAATCTCATCGCGAGATTGATTGCTGATAGCAATAAAGTACGGTGGAATTGGTTTGGGCGGCAGCGTGATAAATGTGCGCGATGGTGTGCCAGCAACTGTTGAAGGAATCTGAACAAATTAAGACGAAGATTAGAATAAGCGTATTGTAAAAAGGGCGAGTTAAATTAAAAGATCTGAAATTGTCATTTACCATTGTGTAAAAGCAACGAAATACGATTTCATCGGAATGTTCTAATATACCATCGACTCTGTTATCAATGCCCCGATTAGTATTCAGTATTTATACCAATTTCAAAAATCAAGACGATAATTATTCAAACCTACCGTCTCTGACATTCATCTTCGTCCGCAAGTACAGAAACGTATTCCAAATGATCTCCAACCCATTTCAAAGTTTCGCTCAATTTCTCTCTATTCGAATAAGCAGCGTATCCGCCAACAGCAACCACCGCAGTTGTCGCCAGCGTTTCCCATAAGCCAAAGGATTTCTTTTTAGAAGTTCCCGTTCCGCTTGTGACGGTTTTGGTTGTGGTCTCGGACGATCTTGGCTTGGGCGCATTCGTAGATGATTTGGTAAAGGCAGAGGAAATGGTTGAATAGGTTTCCATGGCGTCTCTTGTCACCGTTTGTACGCGATTAGCGGCTACAAGATATCGAACATATGAGATTGTTAGAACCAGAATTGCCTGTAATAGATTCGATTACGCGACCATGGAACATACCCGACGTATGAACGTTCTTGTGAACACCAAAAAACGGGGTATCGTATGCAATTAATCCAATGAACTTGATCGGACAATTCGTGTTGTCTGTATATGCTAGTATTGCTTCTGCGCCCGCTATCCCACCCATTGAGTGACCAAGCAGACATACGACGACTTCAGTGTTGTATGTTTGATGCTCAGCCACCCTCTTCTCCAACCATTCACAGAGCGTTCGAACGGCCCTGTTCAGGTCACCACGTGTCTCATAGCGTGGGTAGACTATTGACTTGGAATTTGGAATAAGTTTCTCAAGGTCTTCTGGAAAGTCCTTTTGAGTAAAGAAAGGTGAGAGTATTATTCGAGAGTATTGATGTGGGTGTAAAGGTTGTTGCATTACCAGTTGTAATAGTAGAAACAAAGTTGTTTTGTTTGAATTCTCTATTCCATTTTGCAATTGCGGGTCTTTGATGTGTTCTTTACTTGATTACCTTGAAGGTTTTGTCACTTCCCCTGAAACCATGTATGAAAATAAGGAGAGTTTTGTAAAGGTTGGCCATTTTGTATTTCGATTAGGGTCTCCCATCCCTTTAATATTAACGTTATAGCGATTGCCACAAAAATTGGCAGTCCCGTGACTTCCATGATGTACGGTCAGGATAAGAAAACGGATCGTATCGAGATGTCATTGCGTTGTAGCCAAAATCGGCATATCAGCTATGCAACGGCTGTTCGTTCAACTTCCATACTCATACCATACTCTTTCATTCCAACAACGGCTGTGGGCCAAATCCGAAGGACGGGCTTAATCCAAGCCCGGTTTCTCCCCTTGGGTTTTGTATCCTGGTGTGGTTGTTTACGCGCGACATAAACACGTCTAGCGCATTATGTACGCATGCAATTTACAACGCGTCAAATACAAAACAAAGCTTATGTTTCGAGCTATAGTTTAACGTACTTAGCAGTGCAATTATTACAACAACTTTTGAGATAACTGCATGCACAATGCCTCTTTCAACAACGTCGGACTATATTACAGTTGTAGAATAATGGCCAAACAAATTGGCTTGTCTTAGTCTGACTTGATCTTACAACAAAAACAGCAAAGGAAGTCTTGCATATCTTGACCCCAGATGCATATATAGTAGCTATACTAAGCGTGATAAAAAGTCAGATATATTTAGTCTTGGAGTGGTATTATTAATACACAAACCAGCATTACGCAGTACTGTTTATGATAACTGGCATGCAAAAGGTGCTGGGCCGCCCAAAAATTACTGCACATGCATCTCGGGCACTTGGACAGTATGTGTGCAGGGATACTTCACTTTCTACACAAGTGCTTGCCACAAAAGTATCCCATGTTACTGTTGCTCACCATATGGCTACCCTTGGCTGGTCATCATTCTCCTCATGCTAACATCATTCCACAAACTGATGACTCGCAATATAATTTTCGATGGGCTGCCGAAGAAGAACAAATTTTCTTGATCATAATTATAATCAAAAAGTTTACTCAAAGCCACACCTATGCTAACTACCAAGCACAAAGAAAGATGGGTGGAATGGGCAAAGGCTCACCTTAATGATGACTGGAATCAGACCTTATTTTCGGATGAGACAGTTTTTCAGCTCTTCTGGAACACAGTAGAGTGCTGGCATAAAGGTGCTCAGCAAGCTTGCCCCATGCCAAAAGACCAAACAAAGATTATGGTATGGGGTGGTTTCTCTGTCAAGGAAAAACAAGTTTGTTTTGTTTTCAGCAAATAATGAATGCTGAGTTTTATGTTAATATTATCAGCAGGCACATTCCAGAGATTAATATCATGCTTGGGAATGATTGGCTTCCAGCAAGACAATGATCCCAAGCATACTAGCCAGACTACCAGCAAGAAAATGTTCTAGAAATACTGGAATATCACAACTATGACAGAACTGCCAACAACAGATGCATCTGATAATAGTGTGGAGGAAGAGCAAAATAATAACATTCATGAGATTGACCTTATCACTACAGTGAATTGGCAAGAGCAAGCTGTAACCATTGATTAAGATCAACATGTGTAATTAATAGGTGTGAGATAATATGACATCCTTTCATGATATTATGCAAGGAGCAAATTGGCAGATTAAGATGCATGTATTTGCTTTTCTGTTGGGGATTGCTGAATCCAATGCTTTTCTCTTGTTCAAAAATGGCATGAAGGAGCACATAATATAACACACTTTGATTTTAGATAGCAGTTAGTGCATGAGATGATTAGTGAAAACTACCTTAATAAACAAAGCTCACAACCAATGACAAGATCAAGACAGAAGCAGAATTAGAATCACAACATGAGTTGTGTACTATTCCAAAAAAATGAACAACAGGAGGTAAAGCGATTTACCCATGGCACATTGTAGATATTGTAATAATTCAAAAGGTGTGTGTATTAACTGCTTTATTTAGCAGGCATCTTTTTGATGATATGAATACCTGAAAATAAAGAGTAAATCTCAAGAAACTTTGTCTTTTTTTAATTATCTATATGGGTTGCAGTGATATTCCCATAATAATAAATCTATTGTACTGAATTTAGTACAGGATGATTTTTGCAAAAGGGGAATGCACTTGAGATTAGTTTACACAGAATTTTTATTGGCAAATATCATCGATTTTTTGCCCAAGTGTAGACTCGAAACCAATGTACATTCTAGCATAAATTGAATAGAATCAATTATGTGGTTGGCTGTACTAAATTACAATCATCAAACGGATACTCATTAATAAAATCTCGGCTTTCAAATAAGCTATTTTTCATGATTTTTGAATCACTGGTTGTGGTGCACGATTTTTTTTGATTCCAGATAAGATAATTTTGTATGATCTGCATGTGACATGCTAGATGACATACTCGTTGGTGTAAATATACCAGCCACACAATAGCCTGTTCATGTTGTTATGAATAATCGACACCTCAAAAGTAATTCCGACTTACTATACTCAGAACGGACCGAGTTGCACACCGTGTTTCCATCTCAATTATATACAATATTCGGCATCATCACGAGTCCGGTGTGGTGTGTAGTTTCCAGTACATATATATACACCCCATTCTGCCAGTTGGGGAAAACATACGCCACTCTTTTTCTTCACTTTTTATTTTTCTCACAATTTAATATCGAAGAATAATGTCTATCATCTACGGATTAGTAGCCCGCGGGCCTGTTATTCTCTCTGAATACACGAACACTACCGGGAATTTCACCCAAGGCATGTCATGGAACATAAGATAGGAGGGGAGCGGAGAGCACGGAATTTGGAGGCATGGAGCATAGAGAGATTGTGTGAAGCTTTGGGTATTAATTGTATAAATTGGCTTCACCTTCGTATTCACTGCAGTTACGCAGGCTATACTCGACAAAATCCCTCCAAATAACTCCAAATTGACATATGTATACGACAGGCAAGTAAATTCAAGGCTTAATAAAGGCGATTTTAGCCTATAATATACCGCAACTTTAAAATATTCTATGCCATAAGTCTATTCGCATGCTTATAAACCGATAAAACTTGCTTCAATATCCATTGTAGATACCTTTTTCATTATATCTGTGAAGATGGAGTGACATATATGTGCATGGCCGATGATTCTTTTCAACGTCGAATTCCATTTGCTTTCCTGGAAGACATTAAGCAACGTTTCAAGGTCTATTCCAAAGACAGAATAGATACCGCATTGGCTTATGGCATGAACGAGTTCTCCAAAATCATTGCTGAACGAATGGTATGCGACAGCTATGAACCTCGACTTCTTAATCATCTCTTTCGTTGAACTGCATTTTTTGTCTTCATTTTGTAGGAATACTATTCGAGCAACCCTAATGCTGATAGAATTAGACAAGTCCATGGTGAGATTGAACAAGTAAAAGATGTTATGGTTCATAATATTGGTAAGACATCACTATCCAGTGTACTATATTCCCATTAATAAGCACCCGTCCCACTGAGGAGTGTCATTGCTATTTAAATACAAACTGAGTGGGATAAAAGTGGCCGTTGGCTTATGGCAGTGTCCATACGACTGCTTAGCGGTTCACTTATTCACGAGATGATATATTCAGCTTGTGACACAGTATTATGGAGCTGAAAAACTAATTATAAAAATGAAAAATAGAACGTGTGTTGGAGCGAGGAGAACGGATTGAATTACTTGTTGATAAGACAGACAGTCTCAATCAACAGGCATTTGCCTTCAAAAAACGAAGTACTGCACTGAAGGTTGGTATCAAATTTCGGGGTAGCGACTGCAAAGAGTTGCGCATGAAAGGTATAGCGTTGTATCTATAATGTCAACTAATTGTCACCATTTGTTGCATTTGTAGCGATCGATGTGGTGGAAGAATATGAAACTGATGATTATTCTGATCTTCGTTATTATTGTAAGTAATTAAATTACATTTATATTGGGCTCTGTTGAATATTGATTACTTACGTCCATTGCAATGTTATCCACAGTTGATCTTCTATTTTATCATCGCATCCGCCTGTGGATTTCCAGGTTAGTAGACTATTATCGGTTCTTGTTCTTTCTGATGTTATTCGTATCAACACAACACTGATAATCCTTTCTTGCACCCCGAATTAACTTTCGCAAAATTATCATTGTTTTCTACTAGCTTTGGGCGGCTGTCTATAAGCTTTGTCATTTATTTGATCGTCTTATTTAGATTAAGAACCGTCAGCTATCATTTCCCGATATGTGTCGAACGAAACGACTACTCAATTTGTTTGAGCAATAAACCATTGACTCACTTAAAGCAGTTATTTATCGACTAATCAGCGATCCAGGAAATTGTATCCAATGCATCATCCGTATATAGTCCCCTCGTCTACTTCTTTGAATTTTTGACAAGTCTTATACCGGGTAAATCGATAGGGTTAAAGGTGCGCTGACAGTCAGCATATGCGACCCCTATGCCAAACCCAGTGGTTAATGCCATCGGCCATGTGCGACCTATAATAACAACAGAATCCGCACAAATACGAATAAAGAGCCGTAAGAATTATTATCACAATTGACTCCCCTTAATGCACGTTTATGAACATGATATAGGACGCTTACGCTTAAATAATAGAGCAGACGCAACAATGCCAACACTTAGTCCAATTCCACTTTTAACGAGAAAATTCGATATACACAGATCCCACTGCCAATACAGTCAACACCTTAGTTATTACAACAATATCGATTCCGTTATGGTTATATAACAGACTTCACAGCTACTCACTTTCTCATTTAAGATCTCCTCGCTTGGAGGCTTTGTGAGGTCACTCATAGTTGCAGTGAGAAACTGGCAGGCAGTAAGCCACACTACCCCAAAACAATTTTTATTGATCACGGGGATGGGGATCAATTTATTTTTTTCGTTTGGTCTGAATAAAAGTCTTGCTAAAACATCCCATTGACATGCATTACAAATACTCACAGTATATGCGCCTCTTGGATAAAGCCTCCGCGCAATTTTGAAATACAACATTTTTCATACGGATTACATTTCCTCGTCTACTCGTTCTTTACAGCGACTATTCAAGGAAATGTCTCATTAGAACCCTCTTTCCCACTACGTACGTCAATTGGATAATATAATCTGTCCTAAAATAATTTGCTCGAGTTATTGTTGCCTACTTAACAACCATCAATGCATACTTAGGCACTGCATTTCTCATCAGGTCATATTTAAATATGCATTGTTTACAGTTTCTTGAAGAATGCGATAAATCAAAGTAAACCGTTATCCTCGATATTGATATTAAATAAACAAGTCATATTTACACGGGACATGCACACCTCATGATTGTTGTTGGAATATCAACACAATCTAAATGCTGATACGATCATTCGCGATCTTGTCTTGTCTGTAATAGGTGAACGTCCTCTGGAAGGAAGGTTCTTTGATAATTCAATTTTGGGCAAGTTTTTATCACATTTTCGACGACCAATTATTAGTATTTCAACGCGTTATCAAAGCCACAAGCAATGACGTAAATATCACTTATTTGTATTGTTCTGGTGATTGCTTTAACGCGCGCAATTGACTAAGATAGTACTATCAAGTACATAAGTACTTGGTATGCATTTCGCTAACCTGCTGGTTCCAATATTAACTTGGTCATAATTATTGATGTTAGAGGAGTATTTTACGGCTAATAGGCGCTCGCGTTCTTTATTAGACGCGCGCCTTCACGATGATCAACTGATGGCTATTATCAACCTTACAAATTATGAAAACATATACTAAATGTGAGTGTGTTCGCGAACTGGGGGAGAGCTCATACTATTAATTCTCTTGTGTCGTTATATATCATAGCACGGGTAGAGTAGATATTTGTGTTAGGAATAGGAAAAAATAGCACGTGCACTAAATAATATATTAATATAAAATCGTTCGAAACTATTCAGTAAACGATAGTATGGCCCCGTTCACTAATACTAATAACAAATTTAAATTGTTTGTTCGGCTAATCGTGGGAATTTAAGTTTGCACAACATTACGGTATAACCAATGAACGAGCAACACATTGTAGATTTCCTTGCTTGCAATATCCGCATTGAAAGTATTACTCTCTCGAACAGACTGCCGCTATGAGAGGCAAATTAGCCTTGTTCGTGCTTATTGTTGCCATTTTACAACAGACGTATGCTCTTTATGATAAAGATGGCCCCGTTATCATCTTGAATAAAAATAATTTTAAAGACGAGGTTATAATGACTGAGGTACGATATTTACATAAGCAGGTCGTTCTTTCACATAATCAACGTCGCCCAATTAACCTCTGTATAATCAATCTAACGTCTAGAAACTGGTCTTGGTAGAGTTTTTTGCTCCGTGGTGTCCACATTGTCAAAGGTATTTTCAAAGCAAGTGAGACGTATTATTATTATATGATTAACAATTGAATAATCATGTGTTTTTTTTTTCTTGAAAGAACAGTATCACTCAAGAGTATAAGAACGCAGCAGCTACCTTGAAAGGTCTTGTAAAAGTTGCTTCCGTTGATTGCAATGAAGATACCAATCGTGGTTTATGCCAAGAGTTTGAGATTCAAGGTTAGGGATGGAGCATCAGAAAAAGTAATATAGATTCTGTTAGAATCCGTGTTACTAATAATAAGATGCCCTATCAGGATTTCCTACTATAAAGCTCTTTCCAAGCCGGCGTGTACCTGACAGACGGAACCCTGCCACGTACACTAAAAAACCAAAATGTAAGTCTAGATATCATTTTTATAAAAAGTAGGTTAGGCTGTTTAGCTCACAACGTTTGCAGTGTATTCTGGCCAGAGGACTGCTAAAGCATTCGTGGACTATGTGCTGGCTGAATTACCATCATATGTTCAACCGATATCAAACAAATATCCGACAAAAAAGTCGCTTACTATCAATGAATTCTTGGAAAAGAATGTAGGTGCAAACATTATATGCTAGTAATTACATAACAAAGACCTTAGTATATTCATTTCGAAAAAAATTTTATTTTTTTTTTATTTTTTGCCTACAGAACTCGGCCGTTTCGAAAGTTATATTGTTCACCAACAAGGATCGTACAACACCTTTGTACAAAGTTTTGTCAGCCGATTATCGCGGTGGATTGTTTGGCGAGGTCAGACAGAAGGAAACCGAGATAGTCTCAAGATTCAACGTAACCACATTTCCAACACTGTTAATTATTCCAAAAGGTGAAACCGAACCTATCAAATATGAAGGTTGGTAATAGACGTCTATATAAAAATTCTTTTGACGCTAAATCTCGGTGTTTCTTATCGAGATCGTATTCGAATTATGTTTGTAGGCAAATACAATCACAAATCTTTGTCTGATTTCCTAAACAAATATATATCGACTGTCGAGAAGCCAGAAGAAACTAAAAAGACCGAGAAAAAGTCAACAACAGCATCATCTCCAAAGCCTGAACCATGTAACGTATCGTTTGTCTCGTATTGACATGATATAACAACATGTATGTCTGGGAATCCATTTCTAATGCGGTTTGTCTATTATCCCTTTAGTTAATTCAATCATTAATGAAATAAAGACAGAGGAGGATTTGAAAAAGCACTGTCTGTCTCATACTGCTGGTCTCTGTATCTTTACATTCCTTCCGCTCGAGCCAGAATATCCAGAGTCAGTTGCAGAATTCTCAAACGCAAAAGAGATCCTATCCAAAGTAAACGAGAACCTTTACAATTTGTTAAAGAATCAAGTGCCATTAAGATTCATGTGGTTCAATGCACTAGCAGATGAATCGAGAAAACTTATCAAGGATTTCAAGTTAGCGGATGTTTTCCCCGTTTTAATGGCTTACAGTCCTCACAAAAAGATATATAGTCCATATTTAGGACCATTTGATGGTGAGGGAATAGAAAAGTTTTTAAAAGATGTTTTAAATGGAAAAGGAAATAGCTACAAGATTGGATTTGAAGTGTCGTTTGCACAAGAACCGAACAAGAATGTGAATGACAGTAGTGATGATGAAAGTGATAAAGAAACTGATAAAAACAAGGAACGAAAACATGAAGAACTCTGATTAAATTTTGTCTTGTTTCATTAAAGAACAATTTTACTTTTTCTTCAAAGAATTATATCAGTGTGTATTATTTTATAAATACAAGATGTATAAAGGAACGTAGTAGAATGTTTGTTGCATACACATCGGCTTTCACTACAATAATGCATGCACAACAGACATAAATATTTAAATAAGTTTCATCTATGTTATCCATTGTCATTTCTCGTATGAGAAGGAATTAAGGGAGTTAATGAGCTATCGTAAGCAACAATGTCTGGTGAGTTGATTGTTTCGTCCTGCTGATCCTCAATTGGATCTATTCTCACGCCAATCATCTCATGCACACTCGAGGAATCAGCGTCAGTTGAAGTTACCGTCCGGTTTCTCCCACCGAACAGTTCATATACACTTGAGGAATCGGCTAGTAATGGTGTTTCGTGCTCTGTATTAGTGTCTGCCTCGGAGTGAATGGTTATTACAGGAACGGAGAATCTTTTTGGAGGAGGCAGAGAAACAGTATCCGGAAGTCCTACGTGTAACGAGTAAACCGGAGGAGGAACCTCCTCTTGAGTGTAAACAGGTGGGGGAGGCGGAAGCGTCTCGGGGTCAGGATCAAAAGCTTGTGACCGATGCGTTACCACGATTGTTAACAACTGAAATATATTAAAGAGCCATGTTAACGTCTTTCTACCAAACGGAAATGACTAACAGATATAATCGTCTCATTTATGTAATTACCATCCTGTGACCCAACCACAATCCCCTTGGTTCAAATTCATACTTCACAGTTGATGACGACCATTCTTTAGCCATCTCATCATACTTGGCTTGAGCCTATATTTATCGCAACATGAGAATGAAATGGGGTAAATAAGGATGAGCCCGAATATAGTCTCGTAATTCACTCGATCACCAAACACACCTTAATCCTTTGTAAACGAACAACATTCATCGTCACCACATGAAATGCTAGCATTAATATTATCATTATTCTCGTGTATGGCACTGCTTCTTCTACATCTCCCACTGTAAATGCAACAATAGTGATGGCGCCAATATAATCGATAATCTCTGCTGTTAAAGCCATCCACCTAGCAAACTGCTGCCTATCTATACAAACGTGAATTTTGTTGATTCGTTCCGAATATACATCTGGATCCATCTGCAAAATGAGAACAGAATAACGACACATGTTCAAAACCAGAATGTTAAAATCTCATTAGAACGTTTACCGTTAGAACGTTTACCCATTCGAACGTTTACCCATTCGAACGCTTACCCACTCGAACGCTTACCCATTCGAACTTTATTCGGGACATGTAATTCAGGTCATAACATCTCATAATAAATAGAAACTTACATATCCGACTAGCTCTTCAGGAAACGCTTTAGATAACCGGGGCTTCCTCCATACGGCAAATCTCCTCCATGCACCCCATGTTTTTCTTGAATAATCTACGAGGATCCTAACTTCAACGGACTCTCTTTCGGGTTCTTCCAGAGAACTTATGGGCAGTGTTTCTCCTGTTGCATGAGATGCTGATGGTGCTTGAATCGTTTGTGTTGCTTGTGTCCGTCGCTGTGCTCCAAGCTCGGACATTGCAGAATTAAGATATACTCTAACTTTGGTTTTTAAAGAATCTGTATTTTGACGTGGTTGTAAAAGGTCATAAGTAAAAAATGAGTGAGGCTACCACGAAGATTCGTTCGCTATTTACAATCGACTTTCTATCGGGTATTCTTAATTCTAGGCTTACAAATAGAACAAAAAACTAAACAAAGTGATTAGGTAACTTTAAAGGAACATCTCGTGACATCAAGATGATCACCGAATTCGCCGGACTATCGACTTTTATGGTTGATATGTGCTGCACATATTAATAATGTCCAATGCATTCTTATAAAATGGGGACTTTTCGCATCAACAATTGACGGTTGCACACGACGCCATAGCACTTGAATTAATATTATATGGTCACAGATGAGCTGTTTGTAACCAATCGGAGAGAGTATTTATTTCTCGGATTTAGTTAACAACTCTTTAGTAAAAAAAAAAAATTCAATGCAGGCGAAATTGTTAATTAAATAAAGAAATCGTGCCATTACTATTACATGGAATTCAATATGATCGATATTATCCAAAAGATGTACAACAGAGTTTGGGAGATATCGATGAATGATCAAAAAGGCATAAGGAGATATTTCGAGGAAGTGGTAAAATGCGAATGATTTAAATAAAGAAAGCGAACATTAATAGCGTAAATTAGACTTGTTATTATTGAACTTTGATTCGCGAAAATTGACATGTGATCTTTATCCATAAATTGTTGCTTTTGAAAGCTTCTTCGCCTTGCAATACATCACGTGAAATATGTTTGATTAAGTCCAAAAGAGCGAGCAGTAGAATTTAAAATGCGATATATGCTTTTTTTCCATGGCAATTTTTTTTTTTGCGACGAGCGTCAGGAAAAATTTTTGCCGCACGTTTAAACATTTGAATGTAAACCAATGCGATCATTGGCACCAACAAGCCTTAACAACGAGGCATAAAATAGTGGGCTACTAAGTCCACTTTACAGCACATTTCTAACAGACCAATGTCATTGGCAAATGTCATTCCTACTAGAATCATTATCTTATACAAACTTGCAACAGCGAGCTTTTATTTTAATATTCTCCATTAAAAGTGTCAGATTACTATAAATACTAATAACCAAAAAAATTCAGATACTTAAATTCACGACCAACTAAAATTTAACGTAGATTATAGTATGTAATTGTTATTATTGTTGTTGTTCACATCGTTCTTGTTGTAGTAGTTGTTGTTATAGTTCGTCATTACTTCTCGTTGATAGTCGTATTTACAAAGTCAAATGCCACAAAAATGACTAATCACATAATTTTACGTCTTTCCGAAAGATAACCAAAAACCTGTCCTCGCCTTCTCCAAAACTCTTACTTCTCAGTCCAAATACATTAGCTTGCTTATGCAACTCCTTTCTTTGATACGAACTCAATTTCGGCGAAAACTTTAATACTTTATCGTGACTCTCATAAAACCTCGTAAGCGCAAACACCATCTTCTCTGTAGAATTCAATTCGCCATACTGCCGTTCCTTCTTACTTCTAACCTCGGTATCATCACTCGATTCATCGTCTTCCGTCTCGAAATATTTTTGCGGGGTTTCATACCGAGTGAGAATTTTGCGGTGAAACTCTTCTTCACCCTTGCCGATATTAAGCCGTTTAAGCTTGGATTTGTTTCGGATTTGGTGGGAGAAAAGCCACTGTGATTCTGGAGCGTTTTTGGCTTGAGAGGCCTTTGAATTCGGTTTGGACTTTGTTGGTGCACGGGATGAATTCCCATTGGCCTCTCTTCGCTTCTTCCACTCTCTGTTTTCATCTTTACTGGTGCGATGATGGTAAAGTTGAGAATAATTAACAACATGTTAACTGAGTTCTTGATAATCGATGAAGAAATGTTAGTAACGAAATCGCTAAATTCCTATACTAATTAATACTTAACATTCTCTAGACTAATTGTTTTCCCCCTCCTAATTCAATTATCATACCTAAATGGAAAATATTTGCTCTGACATGTCCAAACCTTTGCAACCTCCCTTCTCAACATTTTCCTTTCGTTCCCCACCTGACACTCCCATTTCACATATACTCTTGAACGTGCCTTTCCTCGCCTCCCCACCTCTTTTCTGAAGTTTTCTGAATTCACCCAATAAGGCTTCTCAGAATCATACTTCTCCCATTCAACCACATCATCTGTCCATTTCGGCGGTTCGTCCCCTACTTTGTTTGCTATAACTTCATCTATGTGCTTATGCATACGCAAAACAACATCCCGAAGAGGTAGCTCAGGATTTATCGCCCGGGTGACGTGATAAAGAGGTGATAGACAAGGTGTCTGTACAAGTAGACTGAGGAGAGGATTCAAAGCAATTTTACGGAAGATGATGCTTGTCTTGCGGAGAGTTGCAAGAGTATCGATGTCCAGGTGGATGACTATTTGAGACCAGATTTCGATCGGGAAGAGGTCAAGCGGAGATGCCCTAATATCGAGGGATCCGGCATCAGAATTCAGCAAAGAAATCATATTTAAATGTTACAAGCAATAAGTCGTTCGTTAAAAAGATAAATATTAAGAATGGTCTTTTGGCAATTTATGCTTCGTGTTGTGAGAATGAATGCCCTATGTCTAGATCAGCTGGTCACAATTTAAGAAATTCGTACAACGTTCCGTTATCTTTTACGTATTGGGTAAAGTTTCGCAATTATGAATGGTGTACGTTTATGTTTTTAAAGGCATGTTGCTCAAGACTATAATGTGGGCAAGTGGTATTAGTATTAGTATGTAGCCACAATTGCATACAATTTATAAAATCTTTGTTTTGCATTTTTATTTATGCTATTGGTTGAATTAACAATAATATATCGGACATTAGACTTTTTGTGTCATCTCTTTCGAGCAGGGTTTTACTAAAATGGTGCGTTATAAAATTGTAAGTGCGTTTTCTAAATGATAAGGTTATAATACTTTTAGCAAAAGAGAAATTTCGTAGCGAGCTAAATAACAACAGAACTCATAGGAAATAACTAATGCGGCGATCAAATGCTGGACACGTCTTATAAGTGGGCCCATACCAGTTTGAAAGTGGGATTGCAATATTTAACTAGCAATAGGCGTATTTATTACTAGTAACTTTAATAAATCGTTGGAATCTTTTGGTTTAAATACATAAGCTTTGAAGACACGTCCAAATGTCGGAAACGAGACATCTTCCTTGCAGCTTGGGGTCTGTGATAGTTTTGTTCTTCCGTTCTAGATGACCTCGCTATAACAAATCGCTGTCAATAAGAGATTATACCAAAAATGGCATGCAAAATAGTCCTAAAAACTTACTAAGTGACTTTGGAGGTTGTCGGTGTTGTGTTTATATTTGATAGATCAATATCAGGAAGAGTTTGTCTGCACAATTCAATAAACAACAGCAGAGTATAATGCGCGTCGTTCCCTAAAAAATGCAAAGGAACAGTACTTCAGTAAGCGTTTACATTACACTCGAGCACTCACAAGTCCTCATCAGACTAACCGGCGTTATGCAAACAATAGTTTTCAATGCCCATCTCATCACAAGACCTTCCCAGATTTATTCTATCGTTTGCTTTCCCAGATCTAGCAGCATACATCTCAGCTGTATCAAAAGTTCCGGCCGGTTCGATATCCCTCTCCACAAAGATACCGATGCTCTCCAAATACTTTACATCAGTCTTTGTATCGTGTCCAACAAAGACAACAGTACCCTTTTCGGCTTCATTAAGATCTCCCCGAAGCTGGTCGGCTATACTGTTCAAATTAGCCCAGATTGTTTCCCCAAACATATATTTATCCTTCATATCGGGCACATACTTCCCGTTCTTCATATGTCTATATTCAGTGGCGCAAAAGTGCCTGTCCAAATAAGGTTTATTTTCTGGGTCGTCAGTTATGTCTTTTCTTGAGTCGTAAATACTCCAACCGACCTCCAAAATACAAGCATGATCTCTCTCGTAACTCTCCACGTCTACTGCGATAAATAGATATTTCTTTTCGTTAAACAGTTCGCGTGCCTTTTCATACGACTCACGCAGTTCGCGTAATTTCTTAGCCGCCTTTGCAGAGGTATTAAATTTCTTTAGCGCTTTAGCCATTTGACTATACCCGGAAGAATTTTCAATTTGTATAATTTCAATGTCGGTGTAGGTGGAATTATCGTTCATATGTGGGAGTTTTTTCGAAATGAGGGTCTCAAGTTCAGAATGTATCTTCTCCATAGTCTCCTTGGAAATTAGCATATACTTACGATCATCCGCACTATTAATGCCTTTCAGGCGATAAAGATGGAAGAGGATAAACAAAAGCTGTTAAATGTCTGAACAAACTTTGTCTCTTGTAGCAATATCCAAAGTTAATACAGCAGACTATTATATGGTACGATAACGTTGCATGGTAGAAACATTGTCAGCCAAAGAAAAACACTATTTTATGAATATTAATAACTGTTCTGCATATCCCATAGAGTCTCGGCTTGTCAAGCTTTGACTGCGTTTACCGCGGCACGAAATAATGGGTGGCATTCCGCCTTACCAGTATAGAATTCCAGGCTTGAGCGCGAAGAAAAGAAGCCAGAAGTCGAAAAGAACTTTTCGACCTTCCTTTTCAAGTCCTCGTCGCGGCATCCTCCCTTGTAATATCTGGAAAGACTTTGCAATTGAAACTGACAATAAGTAGTGGTCATTGTGCAATTATCGAGGAAGAAGAACGATGGTCGTATTTTGTACTCTTTTCCACGTGACTTGTTTGATTGGGTGATTATTGGCTGCGCGCAAACCATTATTAATAATAATTGGAACATATGTGGAAGTTTAAAAAATTAAAACAAACTACCTCGGTTTTTTTGAATCCTTGCGCACGATAAGCAAGTATTCTATTGGGAGTAAAAAGTACACATAGGACTTGTAGGTATAGCGGCCGCATGTTTTAAAGCGATATAACAGCTGGCCGCTCATGAGAATTGAACATCTGTCCGTGCCATTGTTGTTTCCGAGTTCAAATTAAAGATCATGACGATCGTAGCGTCGATCACGAGATTGCCAGACACCCTAACCACCTAACTCAATACTAAAGTAACTATAGTCATAATGATGTCAGTGTCTTTGTTATTGAAAATAAGTATATTCTTTAATGTGAATATGGATGGAGTTTTTGGAATTGATAATTTCATGGTTTATTAAAGGCATAACAATTGCCAACCGTCTATGTAGAAAACTTGTCTATAATGGTACGATTGTCAATTCTCTTGGACAAATGTCAACTCGACTAATGTACAGAGATATGTCGATAATGATATACGACACTTGAGAATTCGCTCCTACTCCTGCATGATAATTCGTAATCTCGCACATACAGTATATCGAAATTGCTATTTTCGTGACTGCTATAAATTTTTACAAGTCACAGAATGGACATGATGGACTATTATCGCAAGGAGTTGAATATAAATATGCTAGACGAAGCAAAAGTTCTAGACGGTGTAAAGAAAAATCTTCAGAAGGTGGCAGATGTTATGTTTGGATTCGACGCGTCTTGTAGGTTAAAAGCCCAAGAACTTGTTTATAATTGGAAGGTGAGAGTTTACAATTATTGGGAGACTTTAGTATGCTGTAACTCTTAGTTTACAGTGGTAACTTTAACTATTAATTGTAGCGTGGCGTACTCTTAGCTCGAAATATCCTTATTTTCTTGATACGAAAGATTAAATGATTTACTAATACTAACCGCAGATTTTGTTTTAACCGATGAAAAATTACATAGCAATAGTAATAGGTCAAACCGAATACGGGGTTGTACGAGTTAATATTAAGCAACAATTTAACGCTATAAAAAATTGCGTGAAAATGGAAGAAAGAGGGGAAGGTGGAGAATAGAGTAAATGAACTTTGTACAAAAGTTGATGAGATCGGAGGATACATCCAACCCAAAAATGCAAAGTAGCGTCTTGATAATCGATAGCTACTGCAACTCTACCGGAAAAAAAAGGCGAGACTACAAGTGTAGTTGTTTCTACCACTAACGCGTTTCTATGGAATTGCTGAATACGTTAGAATAAAGTTCATGAAATTAGTTCTTTCCCAACCTTTGATAAAATCGAAAACATTGCAGCTTTAAAGGATTTAATCAATCGGTTAAGACAAACAAATTTAGGTTTAACGGAAGATGATTTTGAAGTTCTCAGCAACCATAGAATATTTTGCGTACGTTATGGAGTTCTATATAGAAAATGATACGCATATTTTTAGCTGTACACATATTTTATTGCAAACGCAGTATGAGCGAGTAGACCGTTAATTATTATAAGAGGATGCGCGCTTCTCATTAACGACCACTACAATTGAACGATAAGGCATTACGAATAATTATAAACTACGTCTTTATCGCATCTTCAAGTCGTTTCCCTCAGAACGCAATTCTTTACGGATAACTAAACTCCTTGTAATTAATTATAATTTCTCAGATAATTTTATAGATATACACGTATTTCCTCTTTGCTAAGACTTAGCGTGAAATATATTACACGTCGAGGATCTATAACACATTATTTCGCTAATCAATATAATGTCCGACCTTATTGTCAGGCTAGAGATGAGTTTCCCTATCGTGATTTTTGAGCTAGCTTGTTAGAATCTTAAGCCCTTTAGGCTTTTGAATAAAAATACATTCAACTTTGGTTGTTAGGTTGGGCTTGTCAAGTGAGTTTTCGTATTAGTATCCCGTAATTAGAACTAAATTGGAAAGAAAAAATCGACTGCTTGGTTCATACACTCAGCTATTTATTTATTCAGCCAGTGAGCGCTTGTTGTGAATTTCACTCTACAAATTCCTCGTTTGCATTATTATTATGTCTGTTTTATCCGTTTATTACATATTTGCTATTATCCGATGATTAGTCCTTAGAGATTGTATAGATTGTCATTAAATTACCGTTGATTAATTAGGGTTTTGGCTGCTACTAGTTGAAATGGAGATAAAAATATTAATCCGAACATCTATCAGTCATTCATATAGCAGAATGAATTGTATTGGCATCACTTGATTCATCGTCAATTATAGCATTTCCCATAAATATTTCCTCGATCACGTCGACGGCCGACAAATCTTCCATATCTCGAAGTCTGCTGACTGCCGGCGACGATATTCTTGATTCTTGTGCCAAATAAGATGATCTCTGTGCGTCACAACGTGTGCAAATAAATGCAAATGTTGGTAAATAACGAAGCACCGATGAAATGATTGCAAGAACAACAGCTAATCATTACCAGCGAAGGAGTTGACCTAGATCGTGATATATGCGGTGCTAATACCGACATGGTTCGATACCCAAGAACTAAATACGCGCAAACTTGAGGACATACACATTGTAAAGTCAATCATTTAAAAAAAAATTGTGGCAACGTTACTTGATCTCTCGTCATCCTGCAGCTCTTTTCGTTCCGATATTATGCCAGTAATGCCTCCGAATATGTGAGCTTTCTTAAGTGGAGGTCTGTGGTGAATAGAGAAACCCAAGCATTAAATCAATACAACACAAATATTGCATCGAGCATATTTTAAAGACGTACACTTTATAGGCAACATCTCCTGTATGTTTTTGCTTCATTGTTATATTTAGCTGCGTGAAATATACATGTGTAGCATAAGAACAAAGCAATATTAAACATCCCCGCTAGAATCCAATTCGATATAATGTACCTTTAAATTTGAGTTTATTTTACTATCTTGTAACAGATAGCGTCGTTCCAACTTATTGCATCCGACATATTCAGCGAGATTCAACGTTAAAGTCCCAACATTGTTTACCTCTTTACCCCCGCTCAATTCCTGACAACCAACCGGTAGACATATCAGTCTCCTCAAGAATACAGCCAGTCAGACGGACAAACCAGTCAACTATCTTACCTGCTTTATGCTTAACTTGAGTTCACAAGGCATAAGGTAACCATCCCTACCAATAACGAGCTGAACGATTGTCTTAAACTGATAATTCCATACTACACTGTGATCACTTAGTACGCTAAGTTGAGCTCTGTATAAAAGATAAACATTGAAAATCGTCTGAATACTTTTCGTGAGAGAGTAACAGATACGTCGGGAAACTCACCGTTTACTCGACCCGGACGTCTTCTCGCCATGTTTTAAACGCCATTTAACGTAATAGTTACCTGTGACTAATGGAACATTGACCAGCTCATGCACTGTAATGTCAACGTAGAATTCGACCTTGCGACTTCTCGGCAAAAATAAGAGGGAAAGCGAAGACATCTGCTTTAAGAAAGATTTAAGGGGATGCAAGGTCTGGAAAATGACATACGCAGTCTTTGTATATATATTTTAAACTAAGCGGTTTATGGTTCTTATTACCGTAATAGTAATAGTAAACGGACACAAAATCCATACCGTTGTACATAATGTCCCTATGACTTTATTAAATATGCCACGTCAACAAACATCAAAAAATAGACTTTAATTCAACGTCTATTCATTAATTATAATTAGGCCCAAACAAATGAGGTTTATCATATTTGTAGAAGCGTGCCTTTATAACATAACCATCAATAGTGGAATATCATATAATAAGGTTCATCGAATAATTTAGATTCGGAACCCCACGATGCTTCAACTTGCTTCGATTCACCACGAGAGTTCCAGATACGATATTGTATAAATCTATAGTTCGAGTTTCTTAGGTAACCAACTTTTCTCTTGCGATCTGGCTTGCATTGAAACGAATGCCCACGTATCCTATGTCTATGTTAAATGTAGGATATGTTGCGCTTAAAAGTTATTAAACCCGGGTCAGCCATATTTTCAGCCTATATAATATATATACTCTCAATATACTGAAGATTAACTGTGGTGAGTTTTTGGTCGTGATATCTGACTTTTTTTTTAATTGTTGACATTTTTGATAGAGCAAATAGCCAGTATATTAGTCACGTGCACGGTAGATCGCATGCCCCATTTTTAGCATTCCAATTGCCGTAAAAGTATCAGTCGATCAACTGCTTCTACGAATAGACCTCTATCATCTAATCGGTTATACCCGTGGTCGATATATTGCGACTGATCAGCTAATCAACTGACAGTTCATGGCAACAATTCGGATGACTCTTTAGGCAATACCCATCTTATTAGCTTGATTCGCAAAGTTGTGTAGCAGTGAACAGAATGTTTATCATTTGATGCATGCTCAAACTCGAATAAACCTCCGAAGCAATTTTTTTTCCTCTGAATAAAAATTATTCAAAATGAGCGAGGCAAAGGTTGAGGTAATTGCATGTCACGGATATCGATCGTGAAATTCTTTGCATTAATCGATTAATAGTGTGAATGAAGATGCTGAATTTGTCTATTAGAGCACTCTGAACCCGGGACAAGATTATGATCTGATAGTAGTAGGAGCAGGCGTCGTAGGAAGTGCGGCTGCCACAGCTTTCGGCAAGCAAGGGAGAAAAGTCTTGTTGATCGGTATGTTAATATTTTTCCATTTCTACATATGATGGTATTACGATACTCGTGAATTAATTCTTTGCTAAATTTAAATGTTAGAGAGAGATTTGAGTGAACCCGATCGTATAGTTGGGGAATTGCTCCAACCAGGGGGTGTTATGGCTCTCGAGAAACTTGGACTGGATCGTAGGTGTCTAAAGTCTTTCACATGTATGCGTTAAAATTGCATTGTGCTATGATTTAGATAAATTAAAATCTTCTTTCTTCAGACTGCCTGAAAGACATTGACGCAATAGCGTGTCACGGCTATGCTGTCTTTTATCATGGACAGGCAGTGGATGTTCCTTATCCTACCCGTAACGATGGGAATAAGGCTATCGGTAGATCGTTCCATCATGGCAAGTTTATAATGAACTTGCGAAAGGCTGCATCTGAAGTACCCACGTAAGTGTGATGATGGAATTATGAGACCAAAAAGGCCGATTGGAAGAAAAAAACAATGTTAAATAATGATTTCTTTATATCTTTGTAGCGTCACAATATTTGAAGGCACGGCCAGTGATATACTACTTTGTCCTATAACAAATCGTGCCTTGGGTGTTTCTGTCACGCCAAAGGGACAGAGTGAGATAACCAAAAATGTCTATATTTAATTGAGCTTGCAAACTGGGTCTCGTCTGAACTTGATGAATTTGCTCATTGAATTCTCTCTTCACTCTTAACCAGTTTTTTGCTCCACTTACAATTGTGGCGGACGGATGTTACTCTAAATTTAGGAAGGAGTTTGTTCCTCGGAGCGTACAAGTTAAATCACAATTTGTTGGGTATTTTGGTTTTGCAATTAATTCATAACGATAGAACATGCCATTCGAATTTACATTAACATGTTCTGTTTAAAACGTTGAAGGTTTATTTTGAGAGACTGTACGCTTCCATATCCGAATCGTGGACACGTCCTTTTATGTAAAACATCACCAACTCTTATGTACCAGGTATGTAAGATAAATCTTTTCGACGGTATCGTTAGTTTTGAGCTAACATGCCAACTCGTTACTACTCTCTACAGATTGGAACACACGAAACCAGAGTATTGGTTGATATCCCTGGCAAATTACCAAGCAATGGGTCTGGTGCTCTCAAGGTCAGAATAGATAATAATAATAATATCGTTTAGCCATTATTCTCAATGACATATGGTATAACCCATGAATTTTCCGATTTTTTATAGAAATACCTCGAAAGTAATGTCTTGCCTGAAGTGCCATCATCTGTTCAGGTATGGCCACGTATAGGTTTTTTATTCTCTAGATAACCTTCGTCTTTTATTAAATTTGACGAATTCTATAGGGTAAATTCTACGAAGCAATTCAGACAGAAAGATTACGATCAATGCCGAATAGCTTTTTACCTCCATCGACCAACACCCATGAAGGACTAATTATGTTGGGTGACGCGATGAACATGAGACATCCATTGACTGGAGGTGATTATTGGCTTCTGTTTTGGCTGTGACCATGTCATATATAGGAAGTATTAATCACATCCACCTAAGAGATCATTTTAGATCACAAGTCACGGGGGTTTTCACCGTGGGTTAAAAAAAGCTGGGCAAAGAACCAATGCAGAATATACTCATATAGTCAATTCTATATCAATGGATTCATACATCCCCAGGCGGAATGACAGTTGGACTGAATGATGTCGTCACGTTGGCCGAAATGCTTTCTCCTACTGAAGTGCCTGATCTTGTCTACACTGGTTTAATACTTGAGAAGATGGAGGACTTTCATTGGAAGAGAAAGCGAACAAGTTCAGTAATCAATGTATTGGCGCAGGCTCTTTATACATTGTTTGCTGCATCTGATGGTAAGTAACTAAATTGCTTGCCATGTTGTATGTTGTATTTGTAATAATAATGATTCTTGAAATATTAGATCCGAATCTACGCGTATTGCAAGACGGTTGCTTTAATTATTTCTTACTGGGTGGCAACTGTGTTACTGGACCAATCAGTCTTCTATCCGGGTAAGCAATAATATTTCGCTTGCAAGTTGGAACAAGTTTTTCCTTTTTGAATATCTATTAACTATGTCTATCCATGTGATAGGCTATGTGGTAGTCCTTTGGTGTTGACTTATCACTTCTTTGCTGTTGCATTATATGGAATCTACTTATTCATTACAACCAGACCTTTTCTCGAGTTTCCTTTAAACATTGTCAGAGGGTTCATTATTTTATATACAGCTGCCGCAGTGATATTCCCTGTCTTGCTTTCCGAAATTTATTTTTAAACTAATAAGATAGATCAAAACTAGAAGCGCTTGGTATGAAATAACTTATAATTGTTGCTCAAAGGATAACAGCATTTCCATGGGATTTTAAAATAAATGACATTTGCACTAATGATAATTTATAATTTATATTGTAATGTTGTGTATTCAACAATGCGATGTTAATAAATAATGAATATATCTTGGACAAGGCCACAAACTTAGCTAGCAGCCAAGCCAACACCCATTCCTACTCGCACCTATTAAAGACAAATTTACGGACGTTAGAAACGAGGCCAACAGCTTGTTTGAAGAAGTCATTATTTACGTACCAGAGTCTCCAAAGCTTGTTCAGAATTTGCTAAAATATCAACGTCCCACTTCATTTTGCCTTTTTGGAAGAGAAGTATTACAGTACTACCGCCAAAAGCAAAGTACCCATGCTCATCGAATCTCTTTACTTCGGAACGTGGTTTACTTTGAAAAAAAAAACACACATCATATTCGTTGTTATTGTAAATCCATTTGGCGTAATGATTTGTATCGTGTAAAAAATACATCCGACTCTTACCTCGTAAGAATGATAGAGCCGACCATCATTGCACCTATAGCTACAAATGCTACATTGCCAAACTGCTGAGAGTTGATGTATGAGATTGTCCGTTTATTCTCACCGTAAACATCAAGCCTGTTGAACAAAATGCGTTAGACCTTGTCACTGAAACAGACTTGATAGCAACACGAGTGCAAAATTCAATTACTCTGATCTAATAGCCATAGGGTTTACAGTATAGTAAGCTCCGGCAATAGGCTTGGGCTCACTCAAAATCCCATTGACTGGAATATGGAACCTGCAACAAACAAAATGCGTCAACTCGAATTCCAAATAATATTTCTACCACCCCGACTTTACAAGTTCATACCTATGATAATCCTGAGGAGCTAATCTGAATATGCCCAAACTCCCGCCCGTGAATGTTTGTGCAGCAACAGCATCTCCTAACAATGTCTCGATTGAAAAATTTTGACCTTTGATCCAAATATTGGTTGCTTCATCAATCGTTGGAAATGCCATCATCCTGCAATCTGCCGGACTGACCAATACCCGCGGGTTATTAGGCGAGTCCAATTTGCGCGCGCCCGGTTTCAACTTGCGATAGAAAAACTCGTTAAAGTTCTTGAACGAGTTCAATGGATCGAGAATCTCGTCAACATTGAGTTTGTGGAAATCAATGAATGGCTTGATGTCACGGACAGATGTCGGGTCATCGAACTTTTTGCCTTGTTTGTAGGAAAGACTCTCAAGCAAACGACGTGCTGATATCAGCAAACAGAATGGGGTAAGTTTGTGTACGAAACAATATAGGGAAAAGAGACGCCGTTCTAGACTTACTGCTATTTCCTTCGATACCCGATGGTTTGACGCCTCTATATAGGAGGCGAATGCCGAGTTTAATATATGTGGGCATCTTTTCTTCTACAAGCTCGCCCGTCGTACGATCTTGCACTATGATGTTGGCATTGTTCTTTGAAAGACCAAGAAAATTTTTATTTTTTTCTTTTTAGCAAACAAAACACTGAAAATATCAAACTCGATAAATAAATATTACTTACGGCACCAATTTTGTATCCACCATATCCGACTTTCGTTATGATTCTTGCTAACCACTTCCGCTGAGCCTGAGATTCTGTTACAAAGTCTCCGACCAAGAATTTATCTACACTTGCCCAATCCGTGCTAGCACATATAGCAATGTGAGTGATGATTTCGGTTTCCGGCAATTTTCCTAGTTCCGGCCTCTTGCAGATCGGGCAATCTTTAATGAAAATTATATGTTCGTTGTCTAGTTCTTCTCCATTATTATCAGCAGGTCTGTTCGTGCTCTTCTCGCTTTCCCTGAGGTGCGCTTCTAAACCTGCAGCAAGTTCGTCGAATGTCAGTTCGTCGGTTCTGGGATTCTTCCCACGACTGGTGAAAAACTTTTCAATTGACGATTGACTTAACGATGAGCCAATACTGCTTAACATGGTTGTAAGCTCGACGTAATTAAGAACGCCGTTCTCGTCTGAATCATACACTTTGGATAATGCATGCCAAAACTGAATTCTGAGTAGATTGTACGGCACAAAACGTGTTTTTATAAATAGCTTGGGTTTAACATCATACTTTTGTGAAGTTTTCAGTTCGAGGTCGAGCGTTATTGGGGTCATATCATCCTCCGCATCCTTTGGTCTAAGAGTTGAAGATGAAGCCATTTGAATTAAATTTTGAATTGGCACTGAAACCGTGGCTATCAGATCGTTATTGGTAATCTTGTCCCAGTCGTAGACCGTAAACTTTACGGAATAGTTAGATTCCACATTCTTAACAGCAAAATATAATCGTTCTTTCCATAGGGGATTGAGTGAATTTGGAATTACACGAGTTCGGAAGGTTTGCTTGGAAAAAGACACCACTACAAAGGGATCCATATCAATACCAGTGCGAGAGGCTAACATAAGAAATCAAAATAGCAGGCTTAAAGTTAGTGAATTGAGAAAATGCTGTTAATAGTCAAAAAGGAAAGCTTTTACCATTCTTCTCTGGTGGAAGATCTTGCGCACTAACAATTTCCAAGAAGGTTAATCCAAGCAAATCAACCGAGCTTTTAAAAGTCCCATCAGTTCGACTACCCTGGACAGACTGGTCGTAATCACTGGGAGAAGCAGTTGGAGACCCTGAAATTTTCAGTCGATGAATTCGTTTCCAAATGTCTCGCCATTCCTTGGCTTCTAGAAACTGGTTTTCTAGGTCAATGAGACCGACCTTGACTACCAAGTAGCCTGTTACTACTTCATTTTGCTTTGACAAATTTTGAAGGGGAAGATGGATCGGCTACCAGCAATACGAATGGTTAATTTTATTGAAATGAAACAACGAAAGTAGCCTAAAGAATCGCACCTTATTCTGTGGATCGTTATATCCGATATGGCCGGCTTCCCAATTATCATTCAGTGCAATATGAGCTTCACCCATGTAATCCTTGCCAAACATATCTTTGTCCCAGCAAGTAAAGTGGATTGCCGTTGGTACGTTGTCAAGCGCAATGTTATATTCAAACCAATCATCCCATTGTGGATTCAAAGACTTTGGAACAACTTGGGTTTGATGGACACTATCTCCAACGTCAACGACAACGTACTGTTAATGTCAAGCAGAAGAACGTTGTCGAATTAATAGACACGTAAGACTAGCGTATATCAACCAAGTTAAAGGCATCCTTGTATGTATTCAATGAATCGATAGGGTTCTTCAATAAGTTTGCTCAATCAATTCAGCCTTCAATTTTACAAGTATTGCTCCCTTTTTTTCTTTTCTCTTTTTCTTCCTTTTTTTTGACGTAATTGTAGAATAGTGCATATCAAGAGCAAGTTGTCTAAACCCTTCTTCGTAGCATATTCACTTGTTCATACTTACAGGGTCAGAGAAACCATTCCTATCTTTGGGGGCTAGATCCTTCCCGGAAATAATGTCAACACGAAGCTTAATTTCATCAGTCATTGTGTAGTCACGTCCACACCAGAGATAGAGAAGACGAAGTTTGTCCAAAATCATTTATCTTCTATTCTCAGCCTTGCGAGTAACCGGTAAATATTGGCAAATCTAGAAATGATCTGCGAATTGGTATGATTATCAAGTCACGACTTGCCATCATGGTTTCTTTTACTGCCTATCATTTAGATGGAAAATTGAACCGTCATATCAGAAGCAGTTTTCGAATGTGCTCTCTGGGCATTGGACATTGGACATTGGACATTTAGTGCTGTATTTCCTTTTTGCTTTATTAACATTAATATTAATATGCATAGATCAGCGCGTAAATTCCCATGACTTTGGCGCTAAGAACTGTATTACTGTAAGTGGCTGTGTAGTGGCAAAGCTCAGTTGTGTGACATTAATCAATGTTCCACCGAACTATTTACGCTGGCTACAAAGCCACTTGTGCAAACGGACAGACAATATTAATATAACAAGACAAGACTTTACTACTTTATCATTATTATGACTAGTAACCTATTTAACCTATTACGTAACACAAATAAAACTGCAAGGAAATCATGCATAATCTTGTGTTACAGTTCGTCGGTAATGTCAACCATTTCTTTAATTCTAAAAATAGTTAAAGTTCATATTTGACAATGTTGGGTCTGTCGTTAAATAATGAGCACGAGGTTTGGCTTAGACATTATTGCAACCAAAGGGTCAGAATTATGTAACAATGGTTTGATTCACCAAAGCATAATTTATTGTAGAGTGCGCGCAACGGCTTTTGCCGAATATTTCTGTTGGTTATCTCTATAAATGCTTAACTTTAATTACCCAAAAAATTTGACCAGCAAATTCCGACGATGATAGGTCTAACTATCATAGTATCCTACTAGTAATCCTGTAAAGATATAGCCTTTGATGGATAGCCAATACCTTAATTCTCGTTGATTAAATTAATTAAGTTTCTTATGAGCGTTAAGCAAAGTAACGCCAACTGTCAATTCCATCGTACCATTCCAACCCGACTTCCATAAACTCTTGCGCAGTCATGGTATCATTTGTATTCAAGGCGCCAGCACCATGTCCACCCACCAAAGTTTCAAAGCATTCAAATCCCTGTAAAGAGAGCGACTTCTTAACCGCCTCTATCGTAGCGCGTGGAACGCCTATTAAAGTAATATCTTAGCACACAATTTTGAACATCGTAACAAAATCAGAGTTCAGCATTCTCACCGTCTCGGATAAAAGTCAATGCACAGCCACCACCACCAGCTCCAGTTAGCTTCGAATGTAATCCAAATTGTGCTGTAATCTCGCGTACTCTGTCTAGTGTGGAGTGACCCACACCCAGTGAATTGACTAAATAATGGTTTAGATCGATCAGGTCCTACAAAAAAAAAAGTATAAATTAGCGCGTATAAAAGGAGTCAAGCATACATATGCTATCAACGGACCTCAAGCATTGTATCCTGTGTAATGTTGTTATCTATAAATGGATTAGCACCTTTGTAAATCGCAGTATAAAAGTAATTCGATTATCATCACCATACCTTCATTGATAAGAACTGTTTTAAAATGGTCGCTGATATTCTGAATTGCATCCAGTATGGATTTGATAATCCCAGGATACTAACAACGATATTCATACGAACAGTCAAGGGCCAAGTATTTACGTTTTTTTTAACCCCATATCGTATAAAAACAGTATGCTTACTTTATCAAATTTTATCCTAACATTGGCAACCTGCGTTTTCGTATCGCGAGCAACTTTGGTGTTGGTAAGGAGAAAACGAAATGGGCGTAACCTTAAGGTCGGGAAAGGAAAGAGATTATTTTTGAAAATGTTATTCAATTCAGCCAAACGTCAATTAGTTGGCAATACTCTCAGAATACCCTTTCAGGGGTTCCATTGATCCTTTCTTATACAATACAGCACCACCTTAAAACTTGATATGCGTTAGTTCCAGCGTTGGTTTGTTGTTTTTTTCATATACAAAAAAATGCTCTCTCACCGAATGTCGCAACTGCATTATCGATCCCGGACGGGTTGCCATGAATAATCTTTTCTGCCAGAAAGGAGTATTTGTTAATCAGCTCTGCTCCTTGACTGCCAGATGTAAGAGAGATGTATTCAAAGTTGAGCAACAGTCCTGTTGTCAAGCAGACTGAGTATGAAGCGGATGAGCCCAAGCCAGCACCAACAGGAAGTGCCGAACGCACATGGATCGTCAATCCACGTCTTGTGACAAAGTGGAAAGTTAGCGTTGAATGGACATCATGTATGTGGGAAATAACCGAATAATAGAACTTACTTAGTTTCCGGGAATCTGTTTGAGAGGAGGGTGAAGAGATAAAGAAGGGCTAAGCAAGCTGCACTTTGTTGTTGGCGTACTATAGCTGGTTTGTCGCTTTCAATTTCGGCAAGCGATCGGAGTGATTCAGCAAGCTCTTCGTTAAATTCCTCTAAAAATGAGTAAACAACAAATATCTCGTGACTGTACGACAAACAAGAGGGACATATGTTCAGACATCATAATCATCATGATGATATTTCAAGTAACGCGTGGAAGAAAATATTTCTCTGTCAATGAAAAAAGTCCCTACAAGCACGTAATTTAACGTTTGGCATCCTTTCTTGGGATATCTATTATCTATATAGAAGCCTCGCTAATATTTTTGTATAATAGTCTAGGCGATGACTTACTAATTGAACCCTGCATATTTTACGACGATCTTCCTATAAAAAGTGCTGGGGAGATTAATAAACATACCTTTCTTATCGTTGACAACTTTTGAATATGGAAATAATTCAGTATTCCATTTCACGGGTTGATCTAATCCAATGTCTGGAACGTACGCTTCGAGGATTCCATCTTCTCTCTTTTCGGTAAACAAATAGGTCCGCAAATTAACACTTCCAGCAATTGCCGGCTACGATAGTGAATATCTCATATTTGATTAGTAAAACAATCCGTTATATAGCCCCCCGAATATGTTTCCTTACCGTGCCATAGACTACCGCATGTTCACCGAAAAGGATTACCTTTCCGGGTGCAGATACAAGATATCTCGTGGGCAAATTCTGAGACGATTCCATTTGTGAATAATGTGCGAGTTTTACAACTGCGAGAATTTTTCATCCATCAACGTGTTACACTCTAGCAATTATATATATACTGACATGGGGGTGTCGTACAAGTGTTTACGTTATCCGGTCTTTCTCCTTCGACTCCTTTAATTCATACTCGTACTTTCTCATATCAATCCTCCAATTAGTAATGGTTCAGGAGATCGTTACTCAGACATGAATTATACACGTGTGTTCGTTTAATCCGAATAAATATTCTCTCAATTAATTTATTATTCTTTGAATGGTGGATTATTATTACGGGACAATTGTACAAGTAACTAATCCTTGCGAATATGTGAAACGCATCGACATCGACAAGTCCAAGGCATAATCAGGGTTTCGCGCGAAACCAACGCGATACTCTCAGAATTGTTAGTATTAAATTCTGCAATACAACAGTCTTCCTTTTTTTTCTTATGTGTAAATAGAGAAAGTCATATGTATGCCTTTTCGTCTCTTTTTTCTTCTCATCTCAATGTATCTCCGAACTTCAATGTAATATCCGAAAAAATGAACTTTTTTTAAACGAGGATGAGAATCCAAATCGCTGAGATTCTCTTGCGAGATACTGAAAGATGGGGAAAAGGCCAACTTTTCAAGGTTTTTTAACTGATGTATTGCGCTCACCACGTCCTACCAAGTATTATTTACAATTAATTGAAAAGGCTCTTCCCACGTAAACAGTGACACTTCCAGTCGATATCTAGGCATCCTTACCTTTCCATCAAGGTCTTTTAAGAAATAATCCAATCTTAATTTTCTTAGACATGGTGCAGCACGCGCAAAATCCACAAGAATACTGGCAGTCAGTTTGTGATCGTCGTTGACCATGCTTGGTTCCGGAACATAAACGACCTCGTGAAGTTTCCCTCTTCCGTATAAGCGAAATCTAGATCCGGTCTTAAATACTTGTATGTTGGATTGTCCTCTCTCAATAATACTGGAAAGAATATGCCTTGTTGTGAGCTCTTTAAAATTACCACAGAATGTTACTAGATTAACGCTGTTTTTTACTAGATATCGATATCCCTCTTGTGTAAATTTCGCTGTACCCCAGACAGCAAACCGCTTCAGATTTCGACATCTGTCTGATAATTCAACAAGTTCATTATCGCTCAGATAGAAATAATTGAATATAGTTAGATATTTCAATCTGTCACTACATTCCATTGCTACTGATGCTAACATTCCCGCTTTCAAACCATTGCATCCTCTAAGTGTAATTGACTCTAGTTTCGTACAATTGCGCATGATCGTGCAAAGTTCGTCAAGTTTAAAATTTCTACAATCTAAATCTATAAATGTCATCATCGTCTGTTGTATTGTCCAATTTTCAGCAAACATGGCAAATTCTTTTGGAGCTTTATGAATAGTTAATTCTTTCAATATTGGAAATCTTCCCGCCATGTCCTGCGTTATTTCATCATGTACATGGCCTAGTTCTAATTTTCTCAAACGTCCACCTTTGTTAACCAATATCTCCAAACCTCCTCGCTCCAATATCCCACAACTTATTGACTGTAAATTGGGGAAAGAGTTCATTATCATCTTCAAAGTGTCGGCTTGGATTTTCCATTGCGTCTCAAACGATATAATTTTTGGACATCCTTGTGCCAAATCCGTAATGATGGAAGAATACATAGGTTCATTAAACAATATACTATAGAACGCGAGATATCGCAAGTTAGATAACTTTCCCTCTCTTACTGGTTGCAGCATTCCCTGCATCCATGATGAATCTACCAACGATTCACCTATGGTGAATTCCAGCCTTGTCAAATTTGTACATTTCTTCAAAAAAGTCTTTATCGAGTCTCTTTGAAGAAAAACATCTTTTCGGGTAAACTCAAAGGCTAATTCTTTAATGTCGTTGCAATAATTAGAGAGTATTGAGAGGTCTTCGGAGCTGAAATGAGGCATGTACCTTGTATGGCGGCGGCTAGGTTGCTTGCCAAATATTAACGAGCGTATCAAGGTACCATACGGGTAATAGGGTGTCTGTCGTCTCAGCGTCCAAATGAATCGTCGGTAGCATTTGTCTGATCTCCATAGAGGTTTTTGCCATAAGCGACGCAGCATGGGCTATAGATACAACAAAAGCATGCGGTTAGAAAAAGCGAGTCCTATTTCACTGATACTTGAATTTGCTTTTTTACCACCTCACCCCATATTATATTCACATTGTAAAGTGCCACATACCAAAGTCCAAACTGAATGCACTAATATACAATTAAATTGGTCATCCTGATGCTCCACGTATGAAAAAATGATATCTAAAATATCTTCATTCACTAGCGTCCCTATCGTCAGTTTGTCATTCGTTAAATTCCGCTGGGATCGCTGGCTCCTACCTTTGGCGAAGGGAAATCGATTCCGTCAGTTACGTTTGACGTACCACAACAAACCACAAATTACGATAACAATACCAAATTTATGGAAAATTTTCATCTACAGAGTTGAATTACGTTGAAGCGAACGAAACGTCGAGTTTAAAGATTACTCATCGAGACAGTCCTTATTTTAGTTCAAATGTAACATAATGCCTAAAATGGTTAATAATATAACTGCATATTGCGGGGTGGCACCAAAATAAAATACATCTCATCAATGAACTTCATTTTCTTGGTCTTTCACTCCTTACTCCCTCCAATGAGTTTGACCAATTCTTTTGTACCTTTATATTCTATTATTACTGATTCAAGGATCTTGTACCTTTTTACCATATCTTAATAATTCAATCACTCAGTTTTGGTTCATAAAAGTCTAAAAGTCCATGCGAATCAAAGAAATAATGATATTACGAGGGACAAGCGTGTTCTAGAAGGTGTCTGTATTGAACATTTCACGGGACTTGCAATCAATGCAACTAGCTTGCTACTTTGCTGCTATTTTTATTTGGGTTAGAAGGTTTGCTTTATCATCCTGGTGGGTTGTCGTAGGTGATGGTAGAGGTACAGTACATCTTTATAGGGCTAGCATCAGTGGGATTTCTAAAGACGCCTATGCTTGCGGTTGCTCATAGAGAAGCTCGTGTTAGTTGGGCAACCAGACACCTCAATGACAATTGGGAAACCACATTATTTTCTGACGAAACTGCTTTTCAGTTATTCAGAACACAATAACCCAATGGTATAAGGGCTGAATGACCAGTCCAGCGGTCCTAAAGATCGGACTAGAATCTTTGCATGGGGACACGGAAAAACTTCCCTATTTTGCTTTAGGAACATTATGGATGCGAATCATTACGTTGATATTTTGCAAAGTCATACGCAAGAAATAAACCAACTTTTTAGGAGCAATTGGCGCTTCCAGCAAGATAATGACCCAAAGGATACAAGTCATATTGCTCAGGCATTTCCTAGCGAAAACTTTCCGGAAGTTCTGGACCGGCCTTTCAATAGTCCAGACTTAAACCCTATTGAAAATCTTTGGGCCAGTGTTGAAAGAAACGTAGAAATGCGTATGGCTAGAATTAGAGCAGTATATTCCGAATAATGTCAATGAGGAGATAATAGAAAACAATGATGAAAGAATAAATTATTAATTTCATGTCAATAAAACTTTAGATTATAGGCTTTATTTTTTATGCAGTAGTTTGTGAGCAATAAGTAATAAAAACCTTTGTTACACACGTACATGTCGAGATAATATAATAATGATGTCAATTCGATACTTTAGCTAATTTGGATATTGAATTTCTATTAATAGAAATGTCATAGAAATTAAGAGATTGCTTACCAACACATCATGTTGAAATAAACCATAGTCAGATCTACATTAATTATCTACAAAAGTTGTATTCATCATCAAATGACTGCCACGCTACTGTGGTCACAATAACAAATGAAATAAGTACATGATTTAAATAATACACAAATGTAGCAACGCCTATTACTATAAAAATACAAATAGCAATGAAAATATAATATAGGAAAGCCTTCTCCCTTGTTGAAATTCGAAGGCCTCCCTCATTATCCAAACTATTCCTCTCTGCGAGAACCTCCATCAGATTCGTAACAATTTCATTCTCATCAACGAGTATGAATTCGAAAGTGGACGCGTCTGCAGTTTCTATTGTTCCTCTGCAGAAGCTTGATCTGTTGGACATTTGATAAGCGTCCCTTCAACTCCCGAACTACGGATGGTTCTATAACAAACCATTCACAACTTGGTTATTTGTAACATTATTATTATACATTAATATGGTACAAAATTAATACTTACTGACCGCCCGTCTATAATTCTTACATTGGATCGTTCCTGTAAACACTTACTTAATTCATTTGTTAGCAAATTACTAGCAGCGGCCGCAACAATCTGATATAACCCAATGATGTCCATGCCATCGACAAGCCACCAGTTGTTGTGGTCTAGAATGAGATGTTGGCCATTCCAAAATTATCCATTATAGTTTCTAGTAAAAATAAGGAATATTAATAATAGAGTACTTGTGTCATCATTGTCAAGAACATTCGTTTAGCCGATATTACTATATCGTAGTCAAGCGCTCTTTAATGTATCCTATTCAGGTTATTACAGCTTTTCGGTAACAAAGGTTCGATGTACACAGTGGCTCCCTTTATAGTGTACCTCTTTTATAGTGAAGACTAATTAAAATCGCGATATAGTGGATAAGGATTCAAAACCATCTATAATAAATGCTATCCGATATAGTGTATTTTTGAGAATTTTTTACTAGTAGATTTTTTTTGATACACTCTAAAGAGAGTCACTGTGTATTACACCCGCTGTGCTTCCGAAACCTTCTAGTGACAGCGTAACTTTCGATACATACACTAAGTAGTAGTACCTAACTAGTGACTTGCAAGCCGTGACCACGGTGCACTTTCAATCTCTGACTTTTTGCGCGTAACTTCGGATACAACCACTCTACAAGTACTCGGAGAAAATTCTCATCTTATTATATAGGCTCTATCATAAAGACGGCCTCTTCATATTGTGCAGCAAGCTTAAAGTGAGAGTCATCCAAGAATGAAATGCATATGAATATGGATAACATTGACTATAACGCTCTCAACAAATTTACTCACTTGGTCCGAGAGATGTTTCAAACCCCGCAGTTCATATTGGCAAGCGGGTTACGAGGATTATTCGGGTAAGGTGACAGAACGCGTAAATGTTACCTGTGGCAGCAACGATTTCACCTGTGCTTTGCAAGTTTATTTGTTACAAGACATTCTTTTGATAAAAGCGATGTAAAAGTTGAAGCTTATACATTCTAAAAATATCAACAATGGTGGCTCTTTACAATTGTGACAGCCAATCATAGGGTTATCAACAAACTCGTGTATTAACAAAATAACTAACTTTTATTGGGCCAATTACAATGGGCTGATGTATAATGGACATCACATGATACCAAAAATTTAATCCGTTGTGTGTGAAAAGAAGAAAAGCTCCTTAAGATTCAAACTTGGTTTGATCCTTACTTTGATTAGAGACTTGTACCAAGGAGGAGAAAACCAAAGCGCATCATGTATGTTCTATCCATCCATCTATGAATTGAAATTAAGATATGATATTTGATACAAGAAACAAATGTGTTTCAGTCAGACTTGTCGTTTGTTACGCCCATTGATATAAAAAAGAAAAAAACATAACCTATATAACATTGAATTCTCTAGTGAGGACGTCTCAATACCATACGAATACTGTTTTTCCGTGAAACACTACTGCCATGCCGCCTTTGGTAGAGGACCGAGATGATGCCGAGGAGGGAGAAGTCAATAACGAAATGGAAGAAACCGTCGTTGTTGAGAGTATCTCAAAGGGACAAATGGTTTGTAATAGTTATTGAATTCGTGAAGTTGAATAACAAAGAGAATGGTATCTTTTGACTAGTCGTATGATGAGCGAAAATATTTTTTGGATAGTCAAATAATTATTGATAATCTCTAATTTTATCAATGGTTAAATGAAAACGAATCAAATTAATATAGCATGATAATATATGAACCACTATTCCGACTCGAACCTAATATGAACTCACATCCATCTCTATCTTGCCCATATTCTCAAACCCTAAACAATAGTCGGTCGAAGATGCCCTTCAGAATGTTCTAAAACGTGCTTTAATCGCTGACGGTCTGGCTCGCGGACTACGCGAATGTGCCAAAGCCTTGGACCGGCGCCAAGCTCATTTGTGCGTCCTTGTTGAGACATGCACCGAAAAGGAATACGTCAAACTCGTCGAAGCGCTGTGTGCTGAGCATAACATTCACCTAATCAAAATAGCGGATGCCAAGAAACTGGGTGAATGGGCTGGTCTGTGCAAGATCGACCGAGAGGGTAACCCGCGAAAAGTAGTCGGATGTTCATGTGTGGTGGTGAAGGATTACGGAGACGAGTCTGAGGCCAAGAACGTGCTCATTGATTATCTGAAGTCTCGTTAAGATTGGTTTTCGACTTGTGTGTTTTTTGCGTAAAAGTAGTGAGGAAACCTGTTGTTACAATTTTATTATAACAATTAACCGACCACATTGCTTTCTTGCAAATAACTTGCTTGAGTATTGTTTGATTAATCCTTGGCAAGGTTTGCCAGGAATACCAAGAAAGTTTATTGATTTGTAAGCTATATCAATAAAACCTCTTCGTCAACAAGAACTCGTCTATTAGACGTTTTGGCTAACCATATGTAATGATTTGGGGGCTCGTTGACATGTTTAAAGCGAATCTGTGATCCTGGCCACTTAACACATTATGCTACTCAAACTTCTGATACCTTATAATCAGTTCGAGAGAACGCTCGTTTCTTTCGAATTGACTTTACGTGGACAACTATTGTCTATCGAAATTGTCGAAGCTCTATCTATATTTGAAAGTCCCGTCGATGTTACAAGTAAATACATCAATGCTGTATGTCTTATGATATACTAACGACGAGAAGAATGCATCAAATAAAGTATCCTCTAAATACGTCTCTTCGACTAAGAATTACTGTCAGTCATCTTGTGCGTTGTTAGTGAAATAGTCAGACTAGAAGAGAAAGAGTCACTCGATAAATAAGTAGCACATTATACGAACATTAGGAAATACTTGATTGTTTATTAACGCAGACAATTTATAAATGTAAAGTAGGAAAATATTGTGATTTCTACTTCCATAAATAAAACTAAAACTATGCATAACGATAATATTAACACCGTCAACGTCCATATGCGGATTACGAAGATGATTATTATCTATCAACATACTCATAATGCCTAATTGGTCTATATCTTGTTTCACGAACGATAGGCCGTCACGTACTACAGTCATTGAATCAACCAAATCTTCGACTCTAACTTCTTGAATGCGGAATATTCCTAAATTTTACCAATGAGGCTATTGTAGTCTTTCCTTTCAGATTGTTGATACTGTTATCTATTTTAGCCATTGTATTCTTTTCAAGACCTTACATAAATTTTCAAGATATTCAACCGCTGCCAAACTATGAGTAGCGTGATATTTTAATTCAACCAGTCATGATTGGTCTGATGTAAAGCATTCAAAGTTTCGATATACTGTTATTGTGGCGTTTGATTGCAACCTGGTCAAGTCCTGGTATTATCACGCGTTACACGCGACTCACCTTAACAATTTGATTGAGAAAGGGAGTTGCCGTCGACCAGCTTCCGATGGATTAGGTTATCACCTCGAAATAAATAGCAGCATGTCTAAAAGGATAAAATATGTAAGATTGGCCCAACCAAAATATTAGGTATTATGCAAAAAGGGACATAAAGTCCTATAATGAGCGGGCAATTGTCAAATCAAATGTAAAAACAAAGAACGCATACTTTTGGTGATATATTTAATTTTATTAGAAATTACATTTACAAAATTACCGTTTTCGTTCTATTCCTTCCCATCCTCAATCTATATCCAACACGTCATCGTCTCCAAATGTAATGGAATCGAAATCCTGTCCTCGGCATGCAAGGGTTCTACTTGTCACAATAACATGCATGTGTGCATAACATCGCGTTTGCCATGGATTCTTGGCTTCCAATTTCTCAAGTATTTTCAATATATCATCCCCAAGAGATGCAATGGATATGAGCGTTGACGTGCTCGGCTCTGTCTCCGTTGCGAGATCCAGGAATGTCGCATATTTCATGTAGAGCTAACAAACATCGGAAATGTTAGCAAACGGTAAATCGATGTCATGTAATGTAACGTATAAAATGGATAGTACTTACATTTCCACCAAAATCCCACAAAGGCACTTCGTCTGGATTTATTTTCTTCACCAATTGATACAATGGTGCAATATTATTCATTAGTACGGCGGCAGGCGCTAGGCTATCAACTACTAGATCATGTACGTAAGCATGACGTCCTGCTTCAAGGAAATAAAGCGCTTCGTCAAATACATCATCTTTGTACTTGGCATTAATACCCTGTCGGAAATAGAATAAACAATAAATAATTGTCAAATAATATAAGAGCCAATAAATTTTAATTGATATACTATACCTTCGCTATGAATATCCATTCGGGAGGAATCTTTAATTCATCCGTTAGCAACTTTTCAAATTGATCATTAGTCTCAGAGTGCAAATATCTCGTCAAAATGTGTGTAATAAACAGCTCTCGACTAGAAAAAGAAAAATCAGCTTAATTTAATAAAACATTCTTATTAACTATACGTCAATACTTTTGCATTCACAAATTCCTACCTTCGCGACGACTCTATGAACAAAGACACATAAATAGCCCAATAATACATCTCCAGTCTTTCTAATTGAGAAGCAAAACACCACGTAATCATATCCGCCAGCGAATCATCTGAGAAGCTTCTCACTTTATATACACATCCGAGCATCACGTACAATAACCATGTCAATCTATAGTCCAACGGTGATGATGTGATAGACTTTGGGGACAGCGCATCTTCCAATAGATAAGTGTCTCCCACATACAACTTCATCAAATGATATAAAACATCTTTATGGTTATTTTTGGATTGTAATTGAGAATCATGAGTTTGCTCATCGACTTCTTCCTCATACCATACAATTGGAGCAGCTGCAACTCCTGGAGCAGACTCAATCGTACTATCATAATGTTCCAATATCTGACTGAACTCTGCATCAAGAAATTCGCCGTACCAAAAATGCATACCCAGAGTACGTTTCCAATCCATTCCTTCCGTTATGTACATTTGACCAGAACTGCCTACATTCCCCGCCATTATCTCGTATATCTTCCAGTGTGTTCGAGGAATATAGCGAGACATTCCTATATCATTCCAATGCTCAATCTGTTTTTCCAAAAGTTTTCTAAAACGCCGATCGTTGCCCCCCAATTGCACTAACAACGACGCCGTGCGTAGATCACGGTTAGTAAAAGCTGTTTCTACTGCTTTTTTTATTCTTCTTCCACTGAGTAAAGCAACAACCGCTCCGGGATAATCACTGTTTTCTATACACTTCTCAGCATCTGATGATACGTCCGGATCAACCGCTTCTTGTAACCATTTAGATATCGATTTTTTGCGTAATGCTTTAGATATTTTTTCGTATAATTTAACCCCGAGCCTTTCTTCATTCTCAATTGGTATTCTATCCCACAGAGCGCGTCCTAGTTTCCATACCAAGAATTCATGTCGGCGATAGGTACCCCGATTGTCACCAACAGTCTTGACGAAATGGTCAAACGTAATCTTAGGGCTAATGGTGAGTTTTGGTATGCCGCGGGCGTCGGGCGTGATAATTGTATGTTCAGACAATGTTTGGAGCACCAAGTGATGTCGGCGTTTCTCGATTTCTTCAGATTCATTAAAGGCGACAACCTTTCTTATATACAGTACATTGGGCACGCCATACTCGGGAATTCTTGAGTCCTTGCCTTTGTCTTTTACATCTCTTCCGAACAAAACTATAACACCATTAGGACCCCATCCAGCACGGAACGAATGACCAAGGAACAAGCTCATATCCCGATCCGAACGTCGGTTAAACGTTATTGATTCAGAGTACTTCAGCCGTGGTATTTTCAATGGTCTGCGAGTATCATTTATTGACTGTAAGACGTGTTTCTGTGGCAATATTGATTGTTCCTCTTCGATTTCTTGTGCTTGGAATATCGATGGCTGCTCCGATGGGTAGGTCATTAACGATGGGAGGATCATGTCCTGGCAATTGCAATAGCTATTAATGATATGTGGACCAGAAAGACATAATTTGATACTCATTTCTCTTAAGACATTAATTAAAACATAAAAACCACCACTTAGAGGTAAACTTGCTAAAACAATGGAGAACTAATTTTCAGACAATCTGTTGTTTATTTAAGAAGGGGAAAGTACATTGTACCGAATTACACAAACGTGTAATAAGAAAAAAAAACTAGGTTTATTATCGAAGACTAATACTAAGAAGAAAGAAAAAAAGAGAAATAACAAGATCTAAAGCTAACTACAATATTCTTATGTGAGAATACAAATGATATGATAAATAAATTATAAACACAATATTATATAAGTAAACTTGAATCTCTTCCCGATTCCAGCATAAATGCTACTACGTCATTTCCACAACGTACGCCACTATCTCTTCCAAAACATTTTCGCAACCCACCACCCACTCACCTCCGCCGACGTGTCTCTGTCCTCATCACTCGAAAAACTCTCAATACGAACAAATCCGGCGGGCAATGCAGCAGGCGGCTGATCCAAAATATCTTCCATAGTATCGTAATCCTCATCGCCTTCTGGGGGAAAGATAGCCTCTTGCATTTCATTGATTTCTAACGGATCCTGTCTTCGAAATTCAGGAAGGCTACTAAACTGCTTAAACGTCGTGACGGTCTCGGTTTCGAGACTCGCTTCTAGCAATTCAGAGCTGGTAGGTATTTCTTGCATGGGACTATCCTCGACTGGTGGTGTTAATCGATTATAAATTACGCTTTGCTCGTCGCTATCATCAAACTCGTCCAGACCATATTTAGTAAAATGCTGTACTAGGAATGTCCATGCGCCTGTGTAAGCATCATAGCTAATAAATTCTGTACCAGGCATTTGCTTCAAACGAGCAATTCTCTGCCGGACTAATGGGTCGGCTGGATCTCTGATTGGATCCTGCTTGACCTTACCAACGGGCCAGCATTTTTTCAAGGTAATAGCAGCCGGTACGTTCAATCCTTGTCCAACTGGTGGCTTGGGAATTTTGCAATCCTCGTAAACCGAAACTGAGCGCGGGACTATTTCTACGACATCACCGATTAAGCTGCTTAAAGGAATTCCGGTCAAATCGACTGATTCAGTAAAGTGTATCTGACCTAAATCACCACGTCCAATAGTAAAGTCGATTACTTTTTTTAGTTGCGCTTCGGACATGTTTCGTAGTTCGGATAATGAAGGCGATGTCCAGTAGTCGCCGTAATCATCAGATTCTGTGACTGGTTCTTGCCGGATGATGGACTCGTCAGGTTCAGCCAATATCTGTTGCACTGGCGTAACAGAGCGCTCTTGCTGAGCAGGTGGTGTTGATACTTCCTCCTGGCAAAGTGATGGAGTGCTAAACGATCGAATAAGAGGTTTGGGAGTTTCCGGAGATCTTCGTAGTGGTGATAGCGTGAAAGAAGAATTTTTGCCCAATGCTGTTAGAGGAGTTTGCGGCTCAGTAAATATCGATTGGCGTGAAGTCTCTTGCTTTGGAGATCTAAACGTCAATGTTGTTGACTCCTGTTGGGGGGGTTTACTTGGAGTTGGTGCGATCGAGTCTTTGTTAATAATTGAGCCTAGAGATACAGGGCGAGTATTTATCATTCGCCTTCGCGATCTGCTAAATGCTTCAGGACTTATTATCTCGCTGTAATCGGAAAATATTTCCAACGGTCTCGGAGTTTCTTGTTCAGGCTCCTTCTTTCTCCTTAATCCCGGAGAATAACCCTTCAACTTGAGTTTTTGACTTTGTCTTGGCTCTAGTTTATAATGTGGCGTGACTGGTGGTTTTTTTACCCCGATAGGGGTAGCTGTTGGTTTCTCCGTTCTCTGTCGTTCTTGCGATTGCACCGCACCTTGTTGTAACAACGGCATGCTACTGTACGGATACATGTCAGCTGTCGCGACTATTCCTGTTGGTGCAGTAAAAGTTGTCGGTGCAGTATTCGCAAACAAGTTGCTGCTGCTGAATGGTTGCGCTGGATTTAGAAAGGATCCAGTTGTCGGTGGTTTGAACGAGAACGAAGGAGCAAACGCAGATCCCGTTGTGCTAGAAGGATTGCCAAGGCCTATTCCACTGAAGAGATTCGTGCTTGATGGTTGTGCCAGAGAAGTTGGCGTAGAACTTAGTGAAAATCCTGTCGCTATTCAAATTTCAGTTAGATTAGAAATCACGTCGATTCAAATATTGGAGTATCAAATGCCATGTCACCTATGTTGACCAGAACCTTACCTGGAGTACTTAAGCTTGGAAAAGTTGGTTTGGTGGAAGCACCGAAAGAGCCAAAACCTTAACACGATGGACACGTAAAAATGCAAGCAACAATTTAATAAAAGTTTGTGGTTAGTGTACTTCATACATGTCATGTTTCTAAACAAACAATAAAGGAACAGTGACGTAAGGGTCAGTTCCATTTTATAGCACGATCGCCTGGTGCATGAAAATCAATCTTACCTCCTCCAGAACTTCCTAATCCACCAAATGCAGATGTGGTCGCTGGCTTGTCTGTAAAATATTAGTGAAATAAAAGTTAATAATAAAGTTAATGATATCATATTAATACGATAAGTATTTTAAATTTACTTATAGCGTATTATTGTTGTCATTATAGTAAATTAACGTTCTTCTTATACTTACTGTATGTTCCAAAGCTCAATGAGGGAGTTGATGTCGTTTGCGTGTTTCCAAACCCAAATCCACTAGTTGACTGAGAATTCTGATTAAATCCGCCAAAGGATGGCGTAGACGCCGTGGATTTATTAAATAAAGATACTGATGATGTACTCGTATTACCGAACAGATCTGGTAGGAAAAAGGTAAGCAAAAAGTGAATAACACATTCATCATATTTCGTTAATCTTGCGATAGTCAATGGTAAACGATATAGCGTACTAATAATACTACAGATATCATAACTAATCTTTCATAGTAAATATCAAGCATTCATTATAAAATAATGGTTCATCTATGATTATAACACTTACTTGTACCGAATCCTCCACTAGGTGCGGCCCCAAACGCACTTCCAGTTCCAAAACCGAATGGCTTTTGCGTCTGTCCAAACGGCGTTGTTGTAGTGCCAAATGCTGGAGTCGGTGTTGCTGCAGCTCCTCCAAAGGGCGTTGGCGCGGGTGTTACACTTGGAGTGCTGAATAAGCCGGTCGAAGTTCCAGCTCCAGCTCCAAATCCAAATCCAGTGGACTTTGTTGAATGCCCGAATCCACTAAAGCTATTAAACGACGGTGCTGGCGTTCCGAATGAAGGTGCAGCAGGTGTTGATGCGGGGAGACCGAATCCACTCGGTTGTGCTGCACCAAAGGCAGTTGAACTATTTGTAGCTGGTTTGCGTCCTAACTCGTAATCTCGCAAACGTAGTTCCTATTTAATAAACAAGACAAGTATGCCGTTAGAATGTAATCCATCAAGATATCATCACCACAAAACAAGTACCGACTACACCATACTTACCTCAAATGAAAAGTTCTTGTACGCGGGCATTGCACTAATAGTGTGGAATAGATTTATCGCGCCATATTGTGAATCTCGCTCAGAAGTAGTGGTATATGGAGGTTGAGATGATCCCTGAACAGGCAACTGTGGTAGCATTTTCGATGCAGTCGATGATGAACCAAGTCCTATTAAAAAAATACGATGGTGTTAAAACGTATGCAAAAAAATACAAATTCCTATCTAACCAGCCGAGTAATTCCGAATAGAATAGCGTAATCGACTGCGTCGTCAACACAACTCATTCGATCAAATTTATCGCCCGCGCGCGGAGGTGAATCGAAAGACTGATCTGCTATTGCATGTCGTAAATTATTTATCCGAGGATAATAAATTCAACTCAGCCATGAGAGAACGTTATGCAATGAGCGCAATCATATCCGATCTCAGTCGATGTATTCAGGTGAAAAGAATTCGTATTTGTAAATAACAATTTAATCTTTTCACAAGCTCATACATCAATTATTACGCTACTAGGCAGATCGCACTCCTTATTCTACTCGGAATAGACTCTTTATTAAATATCATACTAATACAGGAGCCACATACCACCAAAGCCACTACTCTGACCAAACATTCCTCCACTACCGCTAGCTGAACAAGTATAATGCTATGAATGTCAAGAAACTAACTATTGCCACCGCAGACATTACTGCAGGCGGTACCGGAGAATACTAACTACTGCAAGCAAAGCCATAAACAACTTCCAAAACAACAAATATTGTGTCTCTCTCTTGTACATTCTTCCTGATCTCTGAACACTTACCTCCAAAGCCAAAGCCGCTGCTGGAAGCAGCCGTCGTTGCTGCCCCAAATCCAAAAGTCTGTTGGGCAGAAGTCTGGTTCCCAAACCCACCTAGACGAATAAACGATGGTTAGGACACAGATAATGCTTCTATCGTGGCAATTACGCGTTTCGAAAAAACTTACCAAATCCAAAGCCTCCTCCCTGACTAGCGCCGCCAAATCCACCAAATCCAGAACTGAACATTATTGTTTGGAGAAAGCGATATGAGTTTTATAGAAGGTTTATGTTTCAGTCTCGACTAGGGAACCCCTTTTATATAGATGCTCTGGAGATCCTTTTGTTGAATAGTCTTGAAAAGGTTCTCAGGCGTGTTTATTTATATAAATCACGAGATTTGTGACGCAGTAACAATCTTACTGCGTATTCACTGCGGATCCTATTTGTGTTACACTATATTAACATATGATTGGTGGAATAACGAATTTAAGGGTGCGAACTGTTTCGAAGCACGTGAAAGTTAATTTAACAGACATTTAGTCATCTTCCGCAGTTGAATTACTAATTCAAGACGGATTAATAATGAAATAAATGGGGATTAGTCATAACAGGAAGAATTAACACATCTGATCATCAATATCCGCAAAACGTTGATATCGGATATTCAATATTAATTAGCCAAACAAATGGTCTTGGATTCAGTATAAAAGTCCAGACTGTAGTCTGCGCCTTCGCGACCAAGCCCTAATTAATAAAACAACGCACAGCATTAATATCTACTACGCCATCTGGCGCATTTCAAATCCAGTATTACTCACCACTCCTTTTCGATCCCCCAAATGGCATTCTCAGATCACGAAGCATCCAGCAGTTCACCCATACGGTTCCTACTTGAATAGACTCTGCAACGTGACGCGCTCGACGGATATTTTCTGTCCAGATTGAACAGCTTAAACCGTATTGTGAATCATTGGCAAATGATATGGCTTCATCCGTTGTTGTAAATTGGTGTATGGTTACTACCTGCGAGTGGGATCAAAGATTTAAGAGTATATGTATAGAGAATGTAGCGGAAATGAAGCAAAAATGAAAGAACCATACGGGTCCAAATATTTCTTCTTGTGCTACTCGACACGATGGAGGCAACCTAATAAATGTCAAATCGTACAATTGTTCACTATTTTATTTCCCTCCTCCACAATTAGCTTCATCTTCTCACGCTCTACTCACCCAGTAATGACGGTCGGTTCCACGAAATATCCATCCTTTAACTCTCCCTCCAACACTTTTTTATTTCCCCCACAAACGATGTTTCCTCCTTCTTCCTTTGCTAGTTCGATATAACCCAAAACCTTTTGCATATGTTGCTCGGAATTCAATGCCCCAACTTGCGTTTTACTATCAGCTGGGTCACCGACAATTAGGGCTTTTGCTTTCTCAACAAACGCGTCAAGAAACTGCGAGTAGATCGAAGAATGAACAAATATTCGTGAACCACAGAGGCAGATCTTGAAAGGCGATAAAGTAAAAACGTAGTAAGAATGCGTATGCGCAAAGAAAGATAACGAGTGGTGCGAAATAAATTGCGAAAACGAATGAAGCAACCCTCAACGAGCAATTGTTCCATGGGCTCACCTCTCCTTGATTACTAAAAGCTGCCCGAATACTGCCTTCGATAGCTTTGTCGAAATTGCAATCATCAAATACAACATTCGCATTCTTGCCACCTAATATCGAGTATCGACGCGCAATATGAATAGCATTATCCATACAAGCATATCATCATGTCAAGCTGATACGCACCAAGTTCCAAGGATAATTTCTTGAAGTTTTTGGCACTATTGGCTATGATCTTTTGACCTGTCGCGGTTCCTTCACAGAGAAAGCGATACTGTTAGCGATTCTACTGACGCATGCTTGTGGCAACGCATGTCTTTACAACATACCTCCCGTGAAAGATATCAAAGGCACTTTCGGGTGATTTACCAAGGCTTCTCCGACCTCGGGACCTTTTCCAATTATGCACGTGATTCAGTATCCAGTAATATTATAGCTACAAACTATGCATGAACATACCACTTCCAAACACCATATTGACGACCCCGTCAGGCAATTTGGCTTCTTTTATGACGTCACATAACACTAGCACAAGTTCAATGTTAGACATAGCTGAATAAAGTTTAGGTAAAAAGCAGAATATGAAAGCTTACTGTATGCAGTAACACTAGTGAATTCGCTTGGTTTGCAAACACAAGTACATCCGGCTGCAAAAGTGTACGCGTTTGTAGATCATTAACACTATATTTTCTAGCCTTGTTAACACGAGACAAAATCTCACCAGCAATACAAGGCGCGATCTTCCACGTAAGAAGATACAAAGGCCTGAGTGAAATACGATTAGTAGATGTTACTATCATGTATGATTCACTTTGATACAAACACTTACAGATTCCACTAATTGCACAGGATTCCGCAGATAAAAACGGCCAGATTAGCTTCATTACACTTTCCTAATCCAAACGTAACCCATCACCATTATCCCAACTTGTACCGGTGAAATCAATCCAGCAACTCCCGCTGGCCATCTCTGTACGTAATTCAAGGCCAATCCATCCAACATCGTTGCCTTCTCTTCAGTCTGGCAAATGTTCTCTGCAAAGAATCGAAAATTATACACTGCTCGTGGTATGTCCACCATCCGTGCAAATGTTATGGTCTTTCCTTGGTCTCTCGATTCAGCAGCCGCAAATTCTTCCATGCGTGATTCGAGGATATTTGCTATAGTATAAAGATATTTCGAGCGCTCGGCTCGTGACGTTTTAGACCATGCGGGAAAGGCGGCAAGGGCGGCAGAGACGGCCTGATTTACATCCTCTTGTGAAGAGCGGGGGATTTTCGCATGGACCTGGTTGACAATTATGTGCAAGCAGACGGTGTAAGGAGAAGTATGTTAACCGAGGGATCGATAGCATATTTGAGATTTGTACATGCTTTGCCAGTAGCCGGGTTGACACTGTCTATGTATTCTTTGTTCTGAATAGTATGCGTCTTCCCTCCAATAAAGTTTTTCAATACTATTGGAGTCGTCATGGTCAAGTTGTTGAGAGAAATTTAATGCACGTGAGAAAATTCCCATTATTTATTATGATAAGATAGCAGTCGGTTTCCCGATAATTCGGCCAAATGTCTTCCTTTTTTTTCACTATTTAAAAATATTCGATAATCTATATAATTTCTCGATAATAATAAGGCCAAACTGTATATACCTCGATAAGTCGGTCTCCGTTCTTTCTATTGGTTAAGAACGTTGTGTTACAGCAAGTTCGATACGTTATAACGTAATTATTCATAAGAATGATGTCACTAGAGAACTAAAATTTACACGTCTTGTAAAAAATTTTCGCGATATTGCAAAATGGAATCTACCGTAGTTAACTCTAATAAAGGTGGTAGTAAAAAGGGAAGAAAATTAAAAACTCTTACAGCCATCGAGAAACAGCAAGATTAGATTGTGCAATGGTCAGTGCTTTTTGACACCATTCAACTGCTTTTTGTTCATCTTTCTCTGGAGGGATTTGACATAAACGGTGATGAAATCATCGCTTTAGTTCAAGGAACAGCGTGACAACAACGACGATTTATATCTATTACCGGTGTCAAATAAAACGAGCTTCAACTGTACTAGTAAATTAATATCCGAAATCTTTTTTCTATAGCCATTTCTCATATCGCATAAAACTCGGCATAAAACACGTAAGCGAACGATACTTGGAGCCCCTACTTCAATGACGCAAATCCGGTAGACTTTTACAAATACCGACAACAACAAAAAGACTTTACCAGTACTTTCGAAAAGAAGTGAATAGTCAGTGGATCAACGAGTTTAGTGATGAGCGGGTATGGCGGGGGATACTATCGCCCAGTCTTGATGCGGCAGACCCAATACGACTCAGTCACACCACGCCACGTACACCAGATTCTGAAGCAAGGATGTTGTTCTGGCGATAAGATTATTTTTTTCCACACCACGCCATGTACAAACTTCACCAAGAAAAAACAAAAAAGAAACACCGGGTTCTGAAAGCCTCGTAAGCAGAGATGCGAGGTAACTTGTCCTGGCAAAGACTGGATCTTGCGCGTTTCAAGTTACTAAGTCTTGCCATCGAATCAACCTAACATTGAATTACCCATCTAACTGTGCAATAATTCCTCGAATTCTCTCCTCATTCAATCTCAAGTCATGTACAGTAGCAGCAACACCCTTCTATAACTAAGTTTGTTGTCCTCAATGCAATTATGTTTATGTTGATACACACTCTCTGTGTATGAGGAACAGAAAGCTCATCAAATCTGTGGTTATGGAGGTTATAATGACTTGCCTTTTTAATATAATAGACTTGAGGAGTCGCGTAAGAGGAAGGATTATCTTATGTTTTTTATTTCTTTTTTATGTTGTTGTACATAATTATTTATAAATAATGGAATAATAATATTTACTCGTAAGAAATCCCAGTCATAGTAATGAAATTGTATATTTTAAATTCCTCATTATTTCCAAGTTAGAACTCTTGTGTTTTTCGTAAATTAATCTTGTTGTCAGAAGTTAAAATAATTTGAGATTCATTTGCAGCATATAGAATTGCTGATTTTGAAAAACCATTCTTTGATACAATACATCCTAATTGATTTGTATTTGTTAACGTTTCTTTTAATTGTCTAACAATTCCAACTGAAACTTCTTTTTACATTGGATAAGAATTGGTACTTCATAAAACGATGCATATACAGTGTGTCTCAAAAAAAATGGTGGTTTGCAAATAAACTTTTTTGTGACTTGTAAATAAAAAAACGCGTTTGTTCGTAGAAGCTGACGAGTTATTCGAAGGTTGCCGAGCTGAGGACCTCCTTTTGTATGACCCTTTTTGGTGATGGTTTTGGCGGCGGCAGCGGTGGTGGTGGGGGTGATGTTAGCATTGAGGGGAGTGTTTACGATTTGGATTTTCAAATGAGCAAAACATTGCAATGGTTAAAAGAGTTTTGGGGATAATGTCTTTAAATATGTTTATGGTTGTCGGTATTTGAATGGCTGAACCGAAAACATGCATAAAACATGCAATCTTATATGGAGCCTACGCGCATAAACGTGCAATCTTATATGAAGCCTACGCGCATGAAACATGCAAACACATGAATCGCGGTCAAGTTCATGGGTAGACACTTGTAATTCCATGCAATTCAAATTTTTTTGATACGTCCCGTTGTCTTTGTAAATATACTAGAGGGTTAAACAAAATTGATATTGATTCTATCATTTTACATTACTGCATCAATTCCGATCAAAATCCATCAAATTTTCTATTATTACGATAATAAAACGGCCATCTCCACGGAAATCAAAATGCGTGACAATTATCTGTCAAATAAATTCTGCCTCTGGTGTGAGCGCTATATTACTGTATATGTATGTATGCAAAATCGGCGTATAATCATTCATTTCCCCAATACAGATATACGCACACTGGTTAAAACCAGTACCTGTAGTTGTTGCATTTTTTGAGATACCGGGATATGTCCATTCGGTTGACTCAAAGCATTGTTGGATAATAATAAGACCACATCAAGTCAAAACAAAAAATTAAGCGATTAACGGTTAACACATCATCATTCGAAATGTAATTTACTTATCACATGCAGGTTGAAGATCATTGCAATTTATTCATTATGAATGGGGAGACATTAGACATTAACGTTAATATTAATGTAATGAATGATAACATCAGGTGATGATCGTCTTGCCAATTACGGTATACTATATTAGTATTAACCCCCAGCGCTAAAACTACAATATTAATATGCCATTCACTATTAATACTGCTGATTCTATACATTAAAGTATACATGTCCATTACTTAGAGTATCAGACATGTTTACACGCCATGTTAATCCAGCGTACTAATCTATCAACTATCCGGCATATGTTTCGATATTAATACTATACTAATACTAATACTATACTAATACTAATACTATACTAATGCTATTGCTAATATATATATATTGAACATTATATTAATTGCAAATACATAAAAATGTAATTACTATTAGGTTATCAGAAGACTTGGTCGACATAACTGATTGACACATGCTCAGATGATACGCCGACTGGAGCCAGTGCACAGTAAGATTGTAATTCTAGGTTTGATGAGATGTCCGCAAATCCGACTACTATGACATAACTGTCTGGTAAGGATGACGGCGCTTTAACTGAAATAGGCTCGTCAATGTTACTTATGACAGTGGTGGGAAACTGTATTGGGATTCCGTCGACTTCGAAGAAAGCAATCACAACTGGTACGTCCGCGGAAAGTAAACCACTCTCAACTTCAGAAATCGAAAATTCAACGGGTTGACCAGCAACGATAGGATCTGGCGATACTGTTACTGATGGTGTAAGTTTTTGGCCAGGAACTAGAGGACATTCTCCAAATTCGGTACTTCTTTTTTTGAGCGGGTGCGGAACGGCATTGATTGCTGAAATTGCGGTCAACACAAAGAACAGAAAAAGTAGATTGCGGTTCATGGCTTTCGCTGCTATCGACAAATTGCAAGTTTTTTGTATTTTCTGGTTAAAAGTGCTACCATACTTATATAAGAAATTTACTTTCTTAAATAACATTTTATACTATGTCAAAAATAAGCGACGAGTGCTAATAGAGGAAAACAGAAATTGAATTGGCTTGTGAAATATAACAATATCACACCAACGTGTATTGATTGAGCATACCATACTTGGCATCATGATGTAGATATGCATGGTCCAATATCTTACTATATACATGGTTATGTTTCTGACCCAAGTCGGAACTTGACCCAATTCGAAATATTGTTAGCACACGCTTGGTCATATACCTCTTCCCCTTTTTTACAGAAATAGCCCATGTACTGTTTCCAAACACTTTTTTTGTATTAAACCTATATATGATAACTGGGAAGCCTATCCATTTCAATAACACATCTGCGTTATGAAAATGGGTCGTATACTGGTGTCAAGTTCAATGTTTGGCAACAGAAGAAATACCAAGTACAACTTACTATTTAATGTTTGAAACAAACGTTGCAAAGTCCTACCAGATTATATAAATTACCCGTCAATACTATCATGTGCATCAAGAGAATGTATTCTCACATTTGCAGAATCTAGTGAGTGCATTCAAGTATCAAGCCTCGAGATCGGGACGAGCATTTAGAGGGAGAGTATAATAAAGCTTATGCAGTCTATCACACACATCGGCCTATCAAGACCCTGAAGCACACAGTTCCTTCTTGTCCAAGTTGATAATCACTAAAAATAACCGTATTACTAGTCTTCTGATAGATACTAGTTTGATGCCTTTCGAAACTATCCCTTTTGAGGCAATCAATTCTTCGAGTATAAAAATATCACTTTATTGCGCGTCTCCACGGCAACTCAACTTAAAATTTAAGCACTCATGCATGCAGAGTATGCAAGTACGATTTAATAAAGATAGGACTAGTTTAACCCATTATGGGTTACGTTTAAGGAACAAATTTATTATTATCGAAAACTTTATATTTGTTTGTTTGTCTGAAATTCTAGACGCCATAATAAGACTTTTGCTGTTAGAAGATTCGGTTGACCTACGTGTATTATCAACCAGCTAGCGCTTGCATTTGGACATGGTATTTGATACTACAAATACCGTTTGTCATGAAAACTATAATTTTCGTTCTTCTCTTTCTCGTTCAGAACATATGGCAGAATTCTATCCGCCAATTTAGAAGATGATGGTTTCTTTCCATATGGAAAGTACATGGTCTCTTGTGTTGTATTCGCCTACTTAAAAAAAAAAAAAAACTTTGTTTCCACAACTTAAGAATCAAGCTCATTTCCAGAACCAAGTCAAAGAATTCCCATGTTAAATTCGTTAGGAGAATTCTTTTCCGAAGGTTGATAAAAGGATTGTTTAAATGCCTTGGGAAAAAACCCTTAACGTAACCTTAAATCAGCCTATGTGACGAAAACATTAATCTGAGAACGTTACCAAGAATGGACATGGATATTAAATTAAGGTCTTTACAACTAATAATTTAGTGTAAGGGAAAATTCAATTGTCTCACGTTTTTAATCCCAATTCAGGGTTTTTGTTTCTTTTAAAATAAATACAAACATTTACACGACCTTGAATGGTGAGTAACCATGAGCAGATGATGTAAACCGACAAAATTAGAGTTCAGGATTAAGATACGCTATTTCTGTCTGCTAAAACTTTATCAAGGTAAAACTTTACAGTAAACTCCAAGTGCAGACATGTGTTGTTTACCATAATAATAATTGAGATTTGAGTTGCATGGAAGAACAGAAGGGTGCAGGTAACTTATCTCATGCGGGGTGCATCATTATTTAACACAAACAAGCTTGCTAATTTAAGCCGAGCTTATCCTAATATGGCAGTTCAAAGCTTTACCTTCTTTATGTCATCGACGATAGATGCATTGACTTGGTCGATCGGAATTGGAACAGAATCGATGATAAACATGTATTCCTATGTGTACAGTCGTACCTCGGTTATATCTCCCCCTCCCACTCGCATCCCGATCTCAACAATCCTATACGTGTAGCGATCTATATGCATTAAGTAATCTATTAAGAGCGTAACCTCGTTTATATCCCTTAATATTAATATTAATTATGTTGAGCGAATTTATTTAACTATATATATCACTCGTATGACAACATTAAATTACATTACAACTTGCAACAACACATGCCATTTCTATATATAACGTCTGTGCTAGATATGTTGATCATTTGTCAGAACGGGCCATGATTAACAGTAGTGTGGATAAATCAGGCGTAATAGTAAATCAGGCAACAATTTTTAATGCAGGATCACTTTCAAATAAAGGAACGCAAACCCCCGTAAATCAGGGCAATAATAAAATAAATGACTTGGTCCATCCATGTATATACCTAACTATAACTAACGCTAATGCCTACCCACTGAATATGATCAAGTGTGACACACATGCGCGATATAATTCTGGAGGTAGGACTATATTTGTTTATTATAATTATGTACTACTGGTAATTATTCAGTACTTGCTCACGAGGTTTCCAATTCATTAAACCTCCTTTCCCGTGTTCAAGCCTCCCACCTGAAAAACCTTAAAATCAAAGCCACAGCCAGAACTCCAAAAATAACTTTGTGACCCAAGATGTTACACGCAATTCTCCCGAAATAGCCCTCGCACGGACCCGCTGTACTAAATTTATTATATATTTATAGAACGGAGATCCCGTGTGTGCAACGTATTTATTATACAACCGTTCTACATCACAGAAACTGCGCCTTTCAATGTCATCAAGATAAAACTTAGTTGGCAATTCGATTACATCGCCACAGTCATCACAGTCATACAGAACACTAGGGTTGTGCATTCCAGGGTAGAATGGTGCCTTTACGAGTGTTAGAATTACTGCTATATCAAGACGAATAATAGAAACCAATCTCCGACTTTTTGATCAACGTGCCATGCCGATCAATTATTAGCCACACGTATTGTTTATGAAAACGTCGATAAACTTTGTAAGAGTTCAAAGCCAATTGGTTAAACTAATTAAGTAAACTCCCACAAAATATTGATTACGTATTACGGATATACAGTATATACGATTGTAAAGAAGACAAGAAAGATATCTCTCGTAATTGTGTGATGCTTGGAAATGTTGGAAACGTTTATTCCAAGTTATCACAACGCCAGCTGAATCATACCAACTTTGGAGTGACAATAGATTTCGTCTACTTGGCACAAGAATTGTGGTCTCTTGGCATTAGTAATGCGAAATAACATTTACTTATTAATAGCAGCGGGTCATGAGACGGGTGTTTTTCGCCATCAATCTTATCCCGTATTCCGCAGAAACGTCATTGTGAGTCCCCATCTCTGTTCTCGGATATTTGCCAAGGGGAATCCCGTCGCTTTAGTAAAAGTATAATAATAAACGCACACTGATCATTGTCACACCAACCATATATATTACGATAAGGTACACACGTAACTACTCATAGTCGTCATTCTTTCCAAACATGTCAACCTATCATTTACGGTATTCCATACAATGACTTTGTAATACACTACTTTTTCGTTTATGGCACAACCGCTTATCTTTATTTATTTATTATTCATCTAAGCATTTAAAACTTTGCACAACAAGCATAGAATGTTTTTGTCTATCAAGTCTGAAATGTATGTTAACTTAATTGTCTTATGTCCCAAAAAAGCAAAAAGTAAGTATGCAAAAATGGAATGCAAAAGAAAAAAGGGGGGAAAGAGAAAAAGAATGGGTTCGGAGAAGAAAAAAAAAAGGGGAAATCTTTGTACAAAAAGGATTCGCTAAAGAAAGAAAAGAAAAAAAAAAGGTAGAATTGAGAAATTTACAAATATAAACAGAAAAAAAAAAGAGAAAAAAAAAAAAAAAAAGACAGAGATAGGATTATATACGTTATAAGCTATACAAAAATTGAATGAAAATGGTAGAAATAAAATATGCAAAACGATAGAAATATAAAGTCCAAAAGTTCAGTCAAACAACGTAACGTAATGTTACTTTTAAAAAGTCTTTGATGTTGTTCTTTTTTTGTGATAAACGAGGAAACTAGAGAGAGAAAAAAAAGTCCATTTCTTTTTAAATCTATCTACAATAAAAACAAAGTCTCTCGGGCAAATTTTATATACTGTATATATATACAAATCTTCGCCTCGGAACCTCATTTACAAAGTTTGTGTGGGAGTCCCTCCAAAAAAAAAATGTACAAAAAAAAAATAAAAAAAAATCCCAACCATGATCTGAATGTTCCCGTCTCTCACACTCTTTAAAGATATCCCAACCCGAGTCTGTCAACTTCATTCTCGCTTGTCACATTTAATTGTGACGCTCTCTCGGTTCCCGACAGGCAATCTCGCTTGCGCCTTGGTTGGGGCATATCAAAATAGCTGCTGCCCAATTCGAAATGTTTGCGTTTTCGCGAGATGGCAAAAGGGTCCGAACCCTGAGAAAGATCGCTCTGATATTGTTGATACTGTTGATCCAAGATTGCGTTGCTCTCTTGACAAAAGTCATACGACTGATAAGTCTTTTGATCTTGTTGCGGCTGCGGCTGTTGATACTGCATTCCAAGATAGTCAGCACCGCTTAACAATTCTATTCCCATGCCCGCTCCAGGATATTCTTCATAGGCTGGAATATACGAGAAAGAATCAAAGAATTGAGCAGCCATTTCAAGCGAGTGGGATCTGGCCTTGTTTTGCACAGTAAAGAACTTGTAGAGCGAATTGTTATAGTATGGGTCTGCAGCGAGAATGTCGGCTTCGGTTTCTCGAGCGAATTGAGTGAGAGCTGTTAAGAGTTTTTGAGAAGTAGGTGGAGAGTGATAACGATTGTTAGTTGTGGGAAGTGGTGGAGTAGTAGATGTCGATGTAGAAATGGGTGGTTGAGAAAAAGGAAGAAGTGGTGATGTAGATGTCGATGTAGATATGGGAAGTTGAACAAGTGGAGTGGTAGATGTCGATGTATGAGAAAATGGTAGAGAAGATTGCAGAGTTGAAGAAAGAGAAGGAAGCAAATTTGTCGAGGTAGTAGTGTTGTCAGTGTCAGTAGTGGTAATGGTCGGTTGAAGAAAAGTTATGCCATCGCGAGATTGGTTGATATGATTAGAATTATTTACAGTAGAAAAAGAAAACATTTGGTTGGTATTCCGATTACAAGTCTCAAAAACATCAGCATTCATTAAACACTTCTGATCCATACTTGAATGACTTAATCCATAACCGAAATCGGCAAATTCTTGCCTAGGCGAGCTCTGGGCGCTGACAGTGGTCGTATCGCTCGGAGTCCCAATCAGAGGCGTGCCAAGCGGAGTGGTACCGATGGAGGGCGGAGAAGTTTCATGCAAGAACGGCGGGGGAACTAGAGTAGATGACATTATATGAGAGTTCAAGGTCGTGGTGGTAATGTTGTTGTTATTTTTCGATTGGTCTGGTTCCACTCGATGGTTGTGGTTATACACCATCCTCACTTCGCAAGGGTGTGAGAGCGACAATCTCGATTTCTCCAACCGAATCTTTGCTAGACACTGACAGTTTGTATTTCTACTCCTCCTCTGACCGGCCTTTTGGGCATAGGTCTTTTGCATGTACTTGATGGCGGCAATGTCAGCATGTCTGCAGTGAAAGTCTTTGTGATAGATCACCTTGATTCCTTTCACCTTGTCTGCTCTGGTGATTCGAAATATTGTTCCGGTTTTGGTATGGAATGCCTGTCGCCATGCCTCTATCTCGTCTATCGAGGCAATGTTGATGTAGAATTGTGCATCAAACGAAGCATTCGGTGCGCCATCGAAAGTGCACAAGGGGAGTTCTTTGTATGATTTGATGATATAAGTGTAGTTGTCGGGGAGAACGTTTTGGAGGTATGGGGGGAGTTGATTGAAGGTTTTCGGCGAAGATTTGGTGGTTGTGTCGGTGCGTTGTTGTAGGCGCTGCTGAATACGAGAGCGAAGTTCTGATCTTTGCGGTTGTTCGCTAGACATGTCTGTTGATTGTAATTGAGTTGAGTGTATGATTTGTGTATAAATGCTATTGGTATTTACGTCTACTATTGCTATAATATTCTATGCAATGCGTGTGTTTGTGTTTCCGTGTATAATGTTTGTTATGTACTAAATGCTCGAATGAATTATTTTCAAAGTCCGCTTCACACTCTACTAGTAAAAACTATCACTTTTTTTGTTGTTTTTGAAAGGTTGGAGATGTCGGGAGGCGTATATATGTTTGAAGGTGGGTGTGGCTTTAATGGCAATTGCCTAATTTGGGGAAACTGTATAAATAGTAGTGTAAACAGAGAATATCACTTTTTGTACAGAATCTATTAATAGGCTCAGCGATAGTCCATAGTCAATAGTCACATCAACTTGTCAATCCTTACCAAGTCAAGACTTTGGGTATAACCCAACTTTAATAATGTGCTATTTTTATCGCATGTTAACGTGTGACTGTGATATGGTAAAGTTAGGGAGTTGATGACTGTGTGAGTAAAATCTATTGCAATAGTTGCGTATAAATAATGTTTAATATATTGTCCCACTCTGAACATATTATAACATTAGTCGATTAGTATTGTCATGCGATATTACCGTAATAGTCTATTGCTATTAGTTATATTGGCTAACGTCAATGTGGATTGGAATGGGATTAAAGAAAGAGTATCAAGCATTTTGACTTTGTTATTTGAGCATATACTATTTTATTTATACTTTAGAATTGCACGCTTTTCAGTAACCGTTGATATGTCGAACGGGGATAGTTATATCGTAGAACTTGATTCTAACTGCTAGTTCTACGCACAGTTACGTAAAAGTTTGTTCTAATTGTAGACAATAACAAATAAAATGCGAATACTTTGTCTAATTGGCAGTTCCCACAATATCCTACGAGCCTATTTTGCGCACACGTATCGCTATGACTACCGTAAATCTCTTTCACCTTGCCAACTGCGAACCAAGTATGTAGATAGATATGTGTATAGATTCGCTTGTTAGACGTCTTGACAAACGTCCGTGCGGTAAACTGTCGACTCAGCGTACCATCGATTAGATTAGTCGCTTTGAAAGGTGGATTCCTAACAATACTTTATTAAGTCGGGAGAAATTATTGTAACGCAGCTCGACCAAATTTGGAATGTTAAACTTTAAAAAAAAACGGCCATCAATACCGAATTTGGGCGTTGTTATTAATAGAACAACTGCTACGTCTTTGTTTCTATTGACGTTTATTATACAGTACATTATACAGGATAACATCACCTTGTCAATCCCAATGGCTCATTTACACTATTTAGATCGTCAGTTTACTTGCCTTGTACATCGAACTGGCCATAATTCCGATATACTCTGCGCAGTACAATACAAGTTTCTTACAAGTCTTAAAATTTCACTTAATTCATATTATTCGCTTTACAACTTGACCTTGTTAACTTATTTAAAACTCCAAAGATAATTGTCTGTTGAATAGAGTTTCATACATAACCATATGTCTATATTAATATTAACGCCAAATTATACAAACTCTTGCAGAAAACGGATTGTTTAATAGCTAAGACAGAGTAGACACTATTTGCATTTTTCGTTAAATTGGGTCTTACCAAAACAAGTCTCTTCGTTCTCTGATAAACTTGCATATTCGTATTTGTCATCCTGGTATCCATACGTAATTGTGGATAATCGTGACAAACATCTCCCATTCTTGCCATTAGTAATGTCTTCGTCATTTGCAATAAATAGTAACTGGTTTTAACCCCTGCGCCCTTCAGCTCTTGTAATTCAAGGAGCATGTGTCATTGAAGGCTATTCATAGACGGATTCTTCGAGAATGCGTGACGTGATTTGAAAATGGGAGGAAAACATAAGCAATTGGATCTGATTAGCACGCTCGGTTAAGGAGAAGGGAATAATAAACTGAAATCTTCCGTTATTTACAATCCCAATTCGGGTAAGAACAGATCTGTTTGTGGCGTTTAACCCCCCCAATCCACAATTTTTATGCAACACGCCCCACATATTGACTGTGCCACAAGCATTTCGTTTTTACTTATTTCGACAAGAATAAATGCAGCAAAACTCAAAACGAAGCCACTGATAAGCTGTCAAAACGCTTTGCTTGAAGAATGTCTATATCAGCTGAAAGTGAGCAAGACTAGCGCATTCCGATTTTCCCGTTTAAAGGATGGCAGTAAGAATAAAAATCCTCCCGATGAATCCATTTCACTGTTTAATGTTCACTGTTTAATGTTCACTGTACGGTTAAATAGAAACGTTTTCTTTTTTCAATATCTGAAAACTTTCGTCAGTTATAATTACCCAATTGGACTTATTCGTCTTTGTAAGCCATAGCGCATTAATACAAACTGGAATGCGAGACAGTGCTATCCCATAACTTACCTTTGTGACTAACGAACGAACGGTTTCCAAGCCGTTTGCAAAGACCATTGTGGCCATGAGCGAACTATTCAATAAGGTTACACCTGAAATCTCTGATTTGGTTACAGCATGCATTTGTGCATTTGTTAAAAGTTAATTCATTTCCCTCTTAGAATGCCTCAAACCTTGTCTCTCGATCATATGTAAACACTTGCGTTGATGTGTAAATTTCCACAAATCGGTAATCGGACATACCGGTGAAAAGGCTTGCATGTCTGTATGCGGTGTTTGTTACCGTCTAAAAATGTGCATAAAGCCTTCAAAGTAAGGTCAACAATGGTATATCAATGAACGGCCAGTAAAAATACGATTTTATTATTAGACTCGGTTCTTCTACAATGGAAACCCATTCTTCTTCAATGGGAAACCATTCTCCTCAATGGAAAACCATTCTGCGTCTATGCATTTTTCACCAACAATGCATTCAAGATAAAATGGATTGACATTATGGATATTAAGAGTATAACTTGCAATAGGGGACCCCAAATACAAAAGCCGAACACTTGTTTTAGGCCCAATGGATTTTGATAACTTGTAAATACAGGTAATACCCTCGATTATCTTGCAGTTTAACCTATTTGGATTATCACTTCACTTATCTATTGTTTGTATCTTGCTCCCTTTCCTTTTTTGTTACTCGTTACAATAACATCTACTTTTGTACGTTCTAATTATTGTTCTAAAAATAGATGGTAATCGGCATGTTGCTGTCTGTTGAACCATGTTATCATCACAAGCATTGAGTGCCTGGTAAACTACCCATTACCGCATGATGCGTGGCTTTCCCGATTGCTCTTGTTCGTCATCGATTTCCTTTAATGTATTTACTGTTTATCTACTCGCGCTATATTCCATAACATCTCGGAAATCGCCAAGTCAAAGGGCTTCAAGGCAGTTATTAGTATGGACGACTAGTTTGGTTTAACGGATGCTGAATAGTAAACAAACGATGCCCATCGCATTAACAAGTTAAGCTAATCCAGTTCAGGTATGAGAATAAGATAAGGAGGAGGCGAGGGGGTCGAGGAGATGTGCGCCATTCATTATACGCAGTTATCATTGTTCTTGTGACTCGTACAAAGTTACTCTATCTCAAAAGGGTACAATGTCACATACAGTACAACCTTCACTTATATCACAATAAAGATATTTTTAGCAGCCACTCGGAGAATTGCTGAAATTAACTAGTGTCCATTTATTTTTAGCACAATGTTTGGTTGACAACCCTCTGTAATAACAAACAGTGATGATGAAGCCATTGCGCAAGGGTTTAGTTATGGTAGTCCGCGCTGAGATCTACCCACAATCAGCAATTTCCCACAGCAGGGCCTACCTCCGCTTCGTTATTTGTCAAATACCAAGCACCTGTTTGAGGGACGTGGGTGTAACTTGCAGTTATCATTAGTCACATCAATTAATTTATTATCCTACCATTTGGAATGCTTGGCTAAGTTAGTATCGTTCATTATAGCTTAATAAGTTTTTGTGTTTTATTCATGCAGCAACTTTTTATTTACAATACGAATCATCTCTCTTATTCTTGCATACGTACTTTTAATCATCATGTCCGTAAGCACACTTTATTGCACTCTCAATCTACGGCTGCGTCTCAACGCTTTATCAGCATTTATACTATCACTAGCATCGATGATTTCACTAGATCCACTATTTGCATTCGCGCTGGTTTTTTCAAGATTCTCGAAATCTCGGCTAATCTTTTCAATATCCTTGTCTATTTTTTGACTATCCGCTTTTCTCTTCTTCTTTTTCGATTTTGTCATTCCATTCAGAGCCTTATCAACATCCTGTCTATTCTCGAATGCCTTCAAATCAGCCGTAAACAACACCTATTAACAAAACATGGCGTGGGACCGAACGCGATAAAACCATTTCGTCGGTAGAACAGAATATGGTAAAAGTGAGATTACACTTTGTTGTACCCTACCCCTCCCCACCATCATCCCAATGCAACTACTTGCTTCTAACTCTTATATTCTTTTTCCTGATACTCACAGAATGTGCCCATCCGCTATACTCTCCAAACAATCGTCTAAAGTACTCTGCTATCTCCGTATACATCCGCGGTGTAAGCGTCTTTGATGAAGCAGATGATGAGAAACCATATGATCGCTTTGCAATTTGCCAGACATGAGTGTCTATCGGTATTGCATTTGGTTTGTCGAGGGACATTAGAAGCTGCGAGTAAGAATGTGCGTGTGCGTGTGCGTGCGCGTTATACGACTCTATGAGACAGGATGATCTTACGAACGAAGATAATTACTCAAAGTCAGATTGCTATATCGACAAATTACCACACAATCCGCGACTTTAGGGCCAACCTAGTGGATCGGAAGAGGAAAGAAAGAAAAAAGTTAACGTCTGAAGGATCAAATTAGTTTCATTGAATACCCCAAGTTCCAAAAATACACATCTCTTCTACGCTCACCCCCGATAGCTGAGTCAAAAGTTCTTTAGCCTCTTCATATCCACACGTCCTCAATCCCGTCAGCCAATCCTCTCCTCTTTTTTCCAAAAGTTTGGCTGTCTCTGCGATGTACTTTGCTCTATATCCGAAACCCAAATCTCTTAGCTCGCTTTCTAAAGACGCGTGGGAGAGTGAAGAGAGGAGGGGAAAGTCATAGTACGTATGCGAATTGTGAGTGTGAATTGGTTTCCCATATCTTTCGCAGAGGGTAGAAGTCTTTGCGAATAGAACGTTGAGAGGTGAGCGAAAAAAGTACAAGGCAATGTTAGATTGATAGGTTGATGTCGACGTAAGATGGTCACATAGATTTTTAATAATCTCATCCAATTCCATCCACGAAACCCACCCTTTCCTATCTTCTCTTACCATTTGTTCGATCCGTTTGATATTGTTGTTCTGCGAACATATAAAACAAAATAAATTTTCCACTGGGTCCTGCTTAAGAATTCTGATACCCCTAAACCCCCCGGCAATCTTTGCAAAGTGTTTATCAGCTTTGCTCCATCGTTTGTAGCAATCGGAGAGATTGATGTGTAATTGGAAGTATTCTCTGAGGAAGAGTCCAATGTCCGTTGTTGTAGTTGGGTATGACCTGTATTCTACACTTGTTTCTGTGTCGAGAGGGAAAAAATGCAGGTGGAATGAGCGAATATACAGTGTGTGTTGTAAATTGGTAGATACGAATAAAATAGCACATTACCTGTTTGGCGTATTGATATCAATTTTCCTTTGAATGCGCATGACCTACATATTAATGTTAAAAATATATTTAAATTCTTACTATCAATCGATATTATACCAACCATTCGTCGGGTCCTGAGAGTCTCCAACGGAACGCTTGACCACATTTGAGGGTAGTGTCCAGCCTCAACTCATCTGGGCTAGTATCCAGACACCGCCAATAAGACATAATGACTGTGGGCGATGATGCTAAGCGCGTGACATTGACTTTTGAGTTACTGTCAACATGTGGGGTGTGGCAGATTAAAGCATCAAAAAATGAGATATAAGCTGTGGTTTGGTTTGGATTATATCAACGAGTAAAAAAGATTCTTGGAATAAAGATTGCCTGAGCACGTGTAAAAGACGCTTGTTGCTATGCATACAAGATTTAATATTGAAGCTAAAACATTCTAAAAGTTATCATTCGTTTTAATCTGACACATGGGCGTGCTGCAACATACTGTACTACAATGACGTCATAAATGATCTAGTGACAATAATTAAGACGCACAAATCTATTATACAATGTAACAAGCTTTTCCAAAAATAAGAGCAACGAGCGTCATATTTTACATGACGTCTTCTGATAAAGAATTGTTGCTAAATGGAAGCACGTCTGCAAAGGGAAATATATTCTAGGACTGGCATCACAATGTCAACTACCTCGGCATATGCAATGCTAAAATGTAAGTGAGATTTCACGATATTTTACAATTGTTTTATATATCTATTCTAAAAAAACTGAAATAATTCAAGAAAGTTAGCAAGTGGTCGTCCCAAGAAAGTTACCACACACGAATCAAGAGCAATATTTGCGTTGTAATCCAAAAACGAATTCTTCTCCAAGGCTCATGGGAAAAGCCTAAAGTTAAGTAAAATGTACGAGTCTGGTAACTGTAACAAAGCGGCCGTGGAAAGAGCTGATTATCCTTCTCTTTGTAACGTTGATACAGAGCCTATTCCTTTTTCCTTTTATCAATCTGGGGTGTCCACAAGAGATAGTGATAAATGCACACCTTCTGGTGCAATGATTTTTTCGGATAAACTATGTACGCGTCATTAGGATTAATTTCCAACAGCTGCAAGAAATTCACGACAAAAAGACTCGGGATGTTGTGATCTGGCAATGCACAAAAGAACAAAGATTGGATGTGAAAACCTTGCTCAGAAATTTAGACGAACAATGTCATGTATCTCATATGACAATTTCAAGACATTTGGCAAGATTGGGTTACAAAAAAGTCTGCCCCTAAAGACGGCTATGCTTACTGTTGCTCATAAAGAAGCTCGTTTTAGTTGGGGAACCAGACATCTCAATGATAATCGGGAGACTACATTATTTTCATGATGAAACTGCCTTTCAGTTATTCAGAAATACAATAACTCAATGGTATAAGGGTGAATGACCAGTACAGCATGGGGAGGATTTTAAAAACTTCTCCATTTGGCTTTAGAAACATCATGGCATACAAGTCAGGTGCTCAAGGACATTTCTTAGCGAAAATTTTCCAGTAGTCCAGACTTTACTTAAACCCAATCGAAAATCTTTAGGTTATTGTCAAAAGAAGTGTAGAAATGCGTATGCCTAAAAATCTTTCAGAATTAGAGCAGTATATTAATATTAATATGGCGGAAGAATGGGATAGAATTCCGAATTAGAATAGCGTTCTAATTAACTGTATCGGATCAATGAAGAGATGTGAGATGATGATAGAAAACAACAGTCAAAGAATAAATTACTAATTTTATATCGTTAAGTTTTATGCAGTAGTTTTTGAGTAGCAAATAAAACTTTTGTTACATTAATACATTAATATTATATTAATTAAAGTAGATCTCCTTTGAATCCAATGCTACTTTGTTAAGTTAGGAAAGCGTTGGACCTTTATTTGGATACGATTAACGAAATAAACCCAATATACGCGCGGTGGTAAGGACTGGTCTATGTCGAAACCGATAGCGACAGTGGATGAGAGAAATTGACTAGGGTAATACCTTTTGTGCCCTCCTTTGCTTCCTTGAAATAGCTATAGAGATCGATCCTGACAACCTGATCCTCGATCGTTATTAGAAATCAAATTTATTTGACGATGGCATACGAGTTAACTTATGTTTGCAGCATCTCTACAATGAATTCTTCTAACCAGAGAACCATCTGAGTATTCGTTTCGAATTCTATGCCTCCATCAAGGGTTTTCTGCTCGCGAAATTATATCCATTGAAAACTATAATCGAGGCAACGAACGCGATTATAATGGTAACCGGATTTAAAGCTTATACATCCTTATCTGAACTGTGATCCGTATGGCTTTGAGCTTGTCGCTGTACCGGATTTACGTTTTCGAGAACGCATCATGCAGGCAAAACATTATGCTGAAAGTTCACGAGACTGACGATATGTTCTGCCTTATAGAGACGCATCGCCAGATAGGAATTCGAAGAGATAGCGGCAATGGAGACCATACCATAATATGCTATACGAATGTGATTACAGTGAACGTGTTTTAAGGGAGAAAGGCGGCAGATTGGGTAGCAGATTTGATTTATGGAAACTTTAATATCAAAGATTCATGGATTCTGTAACTCCAACGATAACAATTAAACGTAAATCCCAATCTGTAGCGACAGTAACCTGATTGCCTTTTATGGCAATGCCCTGCTGCAATTCGTACTGATCATTTTAATCATATATTTCTCTATTACGTCAAACCCGCTGATATGTCTATTAAATAATATGATACTATATGCATTAGCAAATGCTTACTTTCCCAACATTGAAGGGTGTTGATGGTATAGTTAAGTCATTAATTATTACATCTGTAACAACACAAATCAATATTGGAGAAACAAGCTCATTATAATATAACCAAATGTCAGGATTGTAAACATCGTAAGAACAGAAGCTGGAACTCCCGACTTGAGAAAGTCTTTGGTGCTTAGATACCGAACTCCCATCTCATCTTCCATCATTATAGCATTCATGTTGGGAAAGCCGGAAACAGGAAGGCCCATTGCACCAGAGCACATTAGAGCAGATCCCTGTGATAGAAATACAGACAACAGATTATAAATAAATCGATAGGCGAGGGTAAATGTAGAGATGATAAAACAATAGCACCCGATTCAACGCACCATGACAAGCAAATTTTGATGGGGTCTGTCTCCATCTCTTCCTAGGCTTGCCCCAACGGCAGCTACGATAGGCAAAATAATCAACGCACCCACTGTATGACTAATAAATGTCGTCACAATCAACACTAACACGCAAAATACGACCAGTATTTCCCATACACTCAATCCATCCACCCATTCAGTAATCTCCAATGTAATCGATTCCAATAACCCACTGCTATATACCGCCTTTCCTAGCGCAATGCCTCCCATAGCAAGAATAATTACAGTCCAGAGGAAATTGTTAAAATCTTCCTTGGTTAAAATACCAGACCCAAAGAACATGACCAGGGGTAATATCGCGACTATACCCATATCACCAAGAAATGTCTCCAAGGATTTCTCAACACACCATAATGCAATCGTGGTAATTGTCACAAGAACAACAAACACTTGGGTGCCAGTCCATGGATCTTTTGATGCTCTTATGGGATGTATAGTCAATGTACTTTTCGATGGTTGATAGTTATACAACAATAATAGCCAAATTATAATATTGGATATTATGCACAACGGGATGGCTACTAAGAACCATTCTAACCATGACGGCGCGGGATTCATATTCTCGATGGCAACAATGTTCTGTGGAGACGAGATTGGAGATGCCATTCCACCCACGTTTGACGCGAGGGCTATGCCCAGAATAAGACAGCGACCAAAAGGACTATCTTGTGGCAGATTACGGAGGATCGGCTGTATGTAATATGATTAAATATGACATAATGAGTTTCATGTTTGAAGTAAGTATTCACGCTCAACAGATATCATAAATCCAAGTCCATTATTCTCTCTACCACCGTCAAGCACTCCTCATGCTCTCATACCTGAATCAAGCTGAGACACAAAACCGGAGCCGCCACATTACTAATCCACATACTCGCTATCGTAGCCACAAACATATTCGACAATAAGACCCATGCCGGTTTCGTTCCAGATTTTGACAGCACAAAAGTTGCCATCATCTTTGCGATATGGTATTTACTTAACGCGGCGGCTATGGCAAATCCACCGAGAAGGAGCATGATGACTGGAGAAAACATGGCACCAAAGATCTGACGAGTGGCGTCGTGGGCTGAAAAACGTTCCCGGGGTTCGGCTTCAGTGCGAAGGACGCGAAGAGCTACGACTAGGAATGGGATGAGAAGAGAAGTTACGAACAGAGGTATAACCTAATGATAGATGGGAGGGATATACGAATAAACATGTTTCGTTATACATAACATGAATATCCAACACAATGATGATTATCGGATAACCCTTTCGAGTAAATTTACCAACCTCGGTAGCCCAAAGCAAACTAGCAAAGATTAACAAGGCAAAACAATTATTCTCTTCAACCTTCTCAAATAATCCATCCATCTTTAACAGAAATACAAATACGCCAATGCATGTTATTCCCATGAGAACTTGCTTTGCAAGTTCCGTCTCGAATATAATCGTCCCAAACGGCGTTTTAAACTCTGCAACCTGTTTCAACCGCGCCGTCCTTGGCGTATGAATACCAACTGCCTGTGATTTACGCTCCAATCCGATAAGCTCGCGCCAAATGGTATTCCTCTCCCAGACGACAAATTCGCGGAGGTGGGTTTTGAGCTCCCGCGAGGCAAGTTCGAAATTATTGAATGTGCATAATTTGGCGTACAGTGAAACCATGGAGGAAATCTGTTCGTCCAATCTTTCTCTGTTGTGACTTTTGAATGGAAACCCCTCGTTCACCACGTTGGACATGTAGATATCTCTTTGCTCACGGCCATGAGTGATTTTATCGTATTTTTTCAGTATTTTCGAAAAGCCTGTTTGATTCAAGCTAACAAATGATTTCAACTCTGACAGCCGGACAAACGATTCGATGGTACGTTTCTTCAATCCAATGCGTTCCGCTTCTAGAGCAGGCCTAGCCCAGAAATATCCAGAATTCTTTAGTTGTCCTTCGTCTTCACCATATATACTAACTCCGGCCATATAAGCTCGCTCTTCAGCATCAAAGTCTTCTTCACTACTCACTAAACTCACGTCGCTTGTGCTTCTTTGTCTTCTTTTTGCAGCACTCTTCCCGAACGATGCGTTCTCTGACGTATCATAAGATCTCGATAACATACCTCCATGGGCTCTTAGTGCCGGAGTGTTTTCTAAACTTTCGATAAACTCTACATCAGCCAAATTATTCCTTACATCATCGAAAAGTTCACGCTCCTTATTCAAATAAAAAGCAGTGATTTTGTCGAGTTCCTTGTCTAGCGCAGGGATAAAGATCGAGTTTGCGCGAGTTTTTGCATCGAGCAGAACGGTCTCTTCTGTTGCTATCTGTGATTCTGTGTCCCGATTTGCAAGAGAAGTGCTTATTATGTCTCTCTCGATTTGATATATTAGCTTTTTTAGGATCGAATAACTGTGTTTGCAAGTGTAAAGAATTAAGGAATTGAATCACAGAGGAGTGAAGGTTGACGATTGAATGCAAGAGCGTGCGATATGGAAAGAGAGCCCACACAAAAAGACGAGAGAACGAAACATATCAAAAGTCTATACTTTGTGCTCTTGTTCAATATAACGGCATTCTGCCGTTCTGATTCCTATTTTACACTAGACAAAAAGGATACGCTATATAGTTCTCTGCCCAGTCAGGCACAGAGTTAAACTGAAGCGAGTGCGAAAACTTCATCAATTAATGGTTGGTTGGAGGGATCGATTTTTTTGTTTTGATTTGTAAGAAACTTTTGCCGAAGGCTGATTCATTATCGCGAGGTGCTATATATACTAACTGATACAGTTTCAATGGGAAAGCAGGGGTATTATATCAAGTGTATTATTGTCAGGAGCATTTATGATTAGCCTACAGTAAATTCTGATCCAGCTCAAAGATTGAAGCATCCTTGTAGATCTATATTGCCTAATTAGGCTAACGAGTGGTTATTATTTTATGCAGCAGAAGCCTATCATTCAGCCTTATCTGGATCCAATACTATCACCACGTTTGCAACATGGATGACCTGAATGGTATACAGCCTCACGTGTTGCGAATCAAGTAATTGGATGGAACATCGCATAGCGCAAAAGATGTTTAATGGGCGTTTCGTCATTCCCGATTTAATGTGTCAGGAATTACGCCATGTACAGTATCCATGAGTAAGCCTAACTGGCACACTAGAGTGATCTACCAATTACATGCCAGCAAACAAAAAACGAACTTATTGCCTGCATATTACTATCAGCTCATAATCACGTTTATTTGTTCTAGAGAATAAGATTAGATAGGAGGCTGTTACTTTGTTGCTTCCGGCTGTCGTTTACGACAGATATGTTCCATCCTGGTATAATATATCTATTGCAACAACTTATTATGAATGTCATGCCGACAGTTGGCTACGACCTCAAGACGACACAATGTCTTTCAACAGCATAGCGTTACGAGAGAAAAGACGATGTTTCGTTTCTGTGAACGACCTGCATCTATATTTAGCCTCATTACAAATAAACATTCTATTGCCTATCCGCATTTCGGATAAAATCGATCGGGCAAAATTTCTGGGATAAGATGTCTGCTCTGGGAAAAGCCAGAAAAACGGACGTAGTCCAAATAAACACTGTGCATCGTTATCGTTCAGTCGCAGGTGCAACTAACAAAGGAACGCAAAACTCCAAAATAAACACTGTGCATCCTAGCCAAATAAACAGTTTCTGCTGGCAGCATATCGAACTAATGCATTCATGCCAAGAAAGGACCTTTTGTATTATATTTATTATTCCCAGGCTATTTATGCCGATAACATTTATAGTCAAACGCCGAATTTTCGGATTAGCAAGTGATTTTCATACGGAGCGGGTGAACAGCCTTTGTATGGTAATTCTGGACATCTTGACCAAATGCTCTAGCCCCCTGCGACAATAAGGTCTCGTCTCTATTCAGTTCTAGTGAACTAGTATAAAATCGTGTGTGTATATATACATGTAACATACAAAATTACGTGCGCAAAGCAATTCTCACGGAATAGAAATACGCTTCGCTTGCTGGGAGCTTTCATCATAGACTGATACCCGTGCTTGCGTAATTTTGATGTTTCCTTGAGCATTTCCGGTAAGAATGCATGGAATTAAAACAAAAAAAGAAAGAGAATAGACAACTTTACCTACTCAAATAATATTTACCTATAGGAATAACATCACTATTAGCAAGGCTCGGGTGTCTCTGTCTTTCCTTATTACACACACAATACGCCATATCACAAAGACATACAGAAAGAGAGAGAACGTTCTCACCCTTTAATCCGACTACACCCACAACTATTATTTCGTTAATTAATTTCATATCTAATTACAATGGCCGATAAATCAAGTTGTTTTACAAAAAAATATTATTCTCATTTCTGCTTTTGTCTTCCGGTTAAGAGTGGAGCTCTTATTATTACGATTGTATGGATGGTGAGTAGAGAAGAGGAATGTGTGACTGATAATATATATTATCACTCCTACCACACACAAACTGCTTTGATCGAAAATGATGAATGGCGTACTGATTTTATCTTCAACTGTAATTCAGACAACTGGAGTGGCATTAACGGCAGTGTTTTTTGATATTTATTTCAAGAATAAAGTAGACAACAGTGAGTATGCAACAGAACTGCGTTAATTGCAAGACACTAGAAGTTAATATCTATTTCAAACGTCAATGTCAGTTTGAATTGATATTTTTATTATCTTATCCGTATTCACAACACTTGCCTACCTTTGATATATATATATTACAGTTTTTGGACACTTACACAATCTATCAATAGTGCTAGCAATATTATCGCTGATAATTACGATGCTAGCAGGCTACGGCCTTTCAGCGTTATTCTTTCGAGTAAGAAAACAAACTCTTTTCATCGAGATTTATTTCAAAGCGTCTACTCAAACATCCGCGTTCTCTTTTTTCTCCTTCACGTATCCCAGAAATCTCCAGACAGAATCCGCTTATACACATATTTATCATGGTTCTACATGGTATTCGTATGGAGCGTCGTGTCCATCGGTACATTAATCGCCTTTCTTACTAAACGGAACAACTTTGTTAATTATTGTTTGAACAATATTACAACTGAAGATATGTGTAAGCAATCAGCAACCAGATCCATATTGCAACTCGCAGTTGGGATATCTATCACCACCATTTGTAATGTAAGTTCATTAAAGACGCAATCATTGTAGGTTATACTAAGACGCCAGAGTTTGCAGGCACTGTATCAATTCTTTAAGCTTATGTTTTTGCAAAATTTCTAGATATACTTTGCAACAATACTTCAAGTCTGTCACAACCGCCTTTGCCAAAACTATCCCGAGTTGATTCGCAAAAGGTCACAAAGACAAACTCAAACTCCCCGTCACCCTACAAAAAATGACAAGCAAAAAGTTGTGTCATCACTTTGGAGTGGCAGGCACTTTTGGGAGAAGAAATTATTTGACATTGATTCGGATTCTAATGGTGGCTTAAATAAAAGCACGAGGTCAGGAATAACAGAAGAAGAGACGGATGATAATTATATTATTTCAGAGGCAGATGTTAGTGAAGCCGGTGACGCTTTTGAAACATATAAAATGACACGGATAAAGAGTGATCAAGAGACGCGAGAAAATGAAGAGGATAACAAAGACAAGGCGAACAGTCAGACTCAACGAGATACCGATTCGACAATAGTTCAGGACCCCGATCCATACGTTTATACCAACTTGTTCCAGTACAGATATAAAAAATGATACACCTTGTGTATATTTAAAATGGCAGTTACGTGGGATTTGTTGCTGTAATTAAGTAGAATTACTTCTATGCTAATTTTTATCGGCTGATATGTGTTGTTTATACTTTATTAATTGTTTATGGATCAATACTTTTTTTTCTCTAATTATGATGGGGACAGTTATTGGGAATGCTCACTGTAGTTGTAACTTTGTAGTATAATAATTAGTAATCTTCACTCTTCGTTCCTTTGTTGTTCTATTCATGACAAAAATCAAACTGGTAATGGATAAAACATTTCGACGTGGATTTGCTAGAATCGATATGAGCCGTGCTGTCGGGTGAATCACATGCTGAAAATTATCTCTGGAATTTTAGCGTTCTCATATGAAAGCGGAAGCTTTGTCATGTGAAAAGAAAATGGTCTCGAGACCATATTATGAAATTGCATAATATCTTTACGTAACTCGCATCGTTGACGAATTAGAGGTGGCATTATAATTAGCGATCAATATACTAGGCACTCTCGATAACGATAAGCCGGATTTGGCTTAAACTCGGACAAATTTTTTCGCCCCTATTTAAAAAATTCGATAAGTCGGACACCCATATAAAATCGCGATTAACCTGTAAGTCGGGCAACCCTTTCAATCGGCTTATGCAAATGACTCTCGATAAGTCGGACCGCGTGATTTTTGAGAGATAATCTTTACCGTGTTAGCAAATACAATACAATTAATTATCCAATAATTTTGCTTCATCATTTTCGTCATTTTTGCTGCAATACAAAAAACCATAAGCAATATGGTTGTTTTAGATAGCATCAAAATATACTGATATAAAGTGGACAGAATGAATGACCTAAAACATCAAATTGGAAGAAAGCGAAATGATTATTATTTCTTATTATTATTAAAGGAGGAGAATTTTTTATGAAATCCGATAATAATAAGTTGGATAAAATCTCCGTCCCGACGAGTCCAACTTATCGAGAGTGCCTAATGTAATAATAATATACAAACATTGGGTATCATATATTAAACTCCGATCGATCACTATCTAATACCATAGTTACACGCGGTTTATAAATTTAACCTTCTGTTACCGATTCCCGTTTTTGACGTTCCCAAGATATAACTAGTTAGCTTGTCGATACGTGAGACTGCAAATCGACATGTAACTCGACGATCTGTGTAATGAGCCAAACATATCCATAACAAATGTGAGAATTCTACTCGTGAACGTTAACGTTACTACATCTCCGTTGACTGGAAAGATAGTATCAACTGCTGCTATCATCGTACAAATTCATGCGATCGATGCCAATCGTTAACCCTGATACCGTACTAGTACTACACTTCAGTGTCATCTGTTAATAGTAGATAATATGTCTCAACCTACTAATCTTGAAGTTGTCTTTGGCTTAAAGTAAATTAAAATAATTTACATAACTCTCCCCAAGTGCAGGTTGTTAGAAACCGTACATTTAGGAAGAACCAGTAGTATTGATTGATTCACGTGGATATTATTAAGACTAACATTGCAAAAGCAATAAATAACACCAATGCATCAGTCGGAATAATTTGAGTTTACTTGGTCGCTCAGGTAAGGGTTACTGGCGAGATATAGTTTTTCTTTTATTATCTTCTATTATCTTATCTACCTCTTTATATATATCTATTTTATTTACTTTTGTAATTTTATGCTCTTGATTCTGTCAGGCTTTATTTTCTACTATTTTAGTCTGCGCTTTTAGTATTGCCAACTGTCTGCTAATGGTAATACTAATATATAAGCTGTTAAAAATGTCCCAAACCGCTTAATCTTGCACTGTATTAGGCGTAAGTAAATTTAAATCAAATTATTCAACATTTTAATTTGTATATACTTACACGTCACAAAGGCATTGTTTTGTTGCAAAATATATATAGTTTATTAAACTTACAAAAACTAGATAAAGTGTTTATATTAAAAACAAGTTAGTAAAAATGACCTTAAAATCATGTCTGGAAATAATATCAAGTGTTTACACGTAAACATCCATCACTCATTAGTTTGTTGAAATTTTTGGAATAAAATAGCGTCTAATGGTTCAGACAAATTCATTCTATTAATTAATTCCTGAATTATTGTACTTTGCTCGTTTGTCTCCATTGATAACTCTTCGGCTGCCCGGTTTATGGTTGTCGTACGGTATGATTCGGAATAATTCCGGTTTTTAGCCAACAGTTCCTAATTGTGTTTCTATCCACGTTGTTCTATGCGTCGAACACGGTATAAATTGCATGTTTTATGTTATATTCTTCAGAATTATTGTCTTCAAGTATTTGTAATTTCTGGCGCACAAAAAGCTTTCGATAATGAGATTCGAGACTATGTATTATACCGGCATCGCACGGTTGTAGCGCAGATGTATTGAGGGGGTAAGAATCTGATCTTAATATTTGTTGGTTCGTTTTTCGTGGAAAAGCTTATGCACTGAGGCATTGTCTAATAAGAGAATAATAGTTCGATTTTCACCACGTAATTTTTTGTCAAACCACTTGAGCCACTCATTGAATGTGGACACCTATTATTACAAGATAATTACATAGTTAGCCATATACGTATATTCATTTAATTAATTCAAGCAACGCATTACCTGCATATGAGCTTTAGAATTCCAGTAATACTGGACTGGAAGATTTGCTTTATTTATAGTCCTCAGGAGGACGTGGTGTTTGGTGTTTGTAAATAAACAATGATGGTAATTTATCTGTTCCTGAGGCGTTTGTTGCTAGTAGTATCGAAACTTTACTTTTATTCTTTCTGAGCTTACGAACCCGACAAGGCATTGTCCAGTATAAGCCAGTTTCATCTGCATTATATGTGTCATCCATACTGTACTCGTCCAATAATTCTCACACGGCTCACTACCAGCTTCCCTATGCTTTACGATTTGTCTCAGTTGATAACGTTTCTTAAACCTTGATAGCCAGCCGTCTGTTCCTTTGAAGTCGTTAATTTCTAAACACTTTGCATAATCGCGAGCTTTAGCAATTATAGCATCACCATTAAGAGCATGGCCATTTTCTATAGGGCTTCTTCCAGCGGTTGCCATTTTGGCCTTTGATTTCTTAATCGTTTAGCATAAGGTTTGTTTATATCGATATTCATTCATTATGATATTCTGTACGGTTGTTTTTCCTACACGATATTATTTGGCTAACTCTGAGTTAGATAATTGAGGGTTTTTAGCTTTTCGCTGACATATCTTTTGCTTCTGTTTGGCACTCAACGTTTTCTTTTCGATCGAGGCATTTTGAGAAAAAAATAACGTATGATGGGAAATTTTTATTATATTAATGTCAGTCGGATAATCGAAATTTTTTATCACAAAAACAATGCAACCGGTCGAATAATCGACAGAAATTAATCGATTAATCCTTAAATGGAAATGATTTGACTGTGATCGACGTAATTATAGTATTATTTATATTAATTAATATGCACTGGCATAATATTAATAGAGATTATTTAAGCGATCGAATTAACAAATTATCGAAAATTTATAAGTTCGATCTAATAAAAGGAAGAAACATCATATGAAAAAATCGGGTCTTACTCAGGGCGATTGAATTACCGGAAAGTCGAATTATCGGCAGTTGACTGTACAATTATTAGCAATTGAATCAATATTTTTCGTATTGTTTTATTTAAATGAATATCATTGATAATATCATTACTAATCATAATGAAAAGTGAATGTATCTGAATTCCTATCCAAAAACTTGAAAAATTTTTTGATCACTGGTACATACGTAACAAATTTGTTAATGACCAGTTTTATATAACTCGACCTTCTCCCTTATTTTTTCCTTTACTTCTGACTCATTTCCATAGAAAATGTACACTTTACTTCGTGCTTTACTATATCCTTGTTCAGCTGCCTTTTCATAAAACTCAACTGCCTTTTTCATATCAGCTTCTACTCCAATTCCATTTTCATAATACAGACCAAGAATATATTGTGCATAAGGATCTCCTTTTTTAGCTCCTAATTGACACAAGTTAGTTACAAGACTAATGTCAAAACCTAATCCAGTTGTTTTGTTATAAGAATAATGCCTGCTGTTTTTAATTTGCACTGACAAATGTGCTTGTTTTACTGCATTCTGGTATAACTCAACTGCTTTTTGTTTATCTTTTTCTACTCCAATTCCATCCTCATAACATACACCAAGATTATATTGTGCATTGGCATAACCTTGTTCAGCTGCCTTTTTATACCATTCAACTGCTTTTTGCTCATCTTTTTCTACTCCAGTTCCATCCCCATAACATACAGCAAGATTATATTGTGCATTGGCAAACCCTTGTCCAGCTGCTTTTTCATACCATTCAACTGCTGTTTGTTCATTTTTTTCTACTCCAGTTCCATTAGCATAGCATACACCAAGACTATATTGTGCATTGGCAAACCCTTGTTCAGCAGCCTTTTTATACCATTCAACTGCTTTTTGTTCATCTTTTTCTACTCCAGTTCCATCAGCATAACATACTAATACAGCAAGGTTATGCAGACCCTTGTTCAGCCGCTCTGTGCATGTTGGTTCCCTTTTTCGTTCTAGTATAACTATGCACGAATATGTATAGTGAAAATTTTGTTTCGGCGTAGAATCAGTGTTATTAAATTTTCACCCAATGTATGCAGATGTATATTGGTATGTTACAATGAATGTCAACGACAAGACTGAAGATCCGAAATGTAGTGTGTACCTAAACATGACGTATTCCCGGCTCTGTGACACATCGAAAAATCAAGTGGTCAATCGTCGAGAATTGCGCAGTGCAGATCAGCGCAGAAATAATTTAATGGGCCGGATTAGGACGAAATTCAGGACAACTAAAATTAGACAGGCCTAATACAGAGACACCTCTATAAGTGCACCCTCCATAAGTGCCCAAGCTTGGGACTTAGAGCTAAGTGCACACCCTCCATGTTCTACACATGCAAGCGATTTTGAGTCCCAGATATAATTGTATAGCCTCTCCATAGGGGCACACACTGACATTTAAAAAATGTCGGCCAATTAATTCCATGCAATAGTGACATTAGTTTACTTATTAGTGCTAGTAAATATACTCGTGCTTACAAAACTGTAAATACATTGACATAAGATATTTACTAAAATAGTAAACGCCACAATAATACAATAAATAATTGTCGTAAATAGTTGCTGAAGAGCATATTATTTATGAAGTTCCCGACAACGACCACGAACTTGTATATCTCTTTAAGGATACTGATCAAGCAATTACGGATGTAGACGACATAGATGATAGTAAGGAAAGTCCTGTTAATAGCGCTAGCACAGCAATCGCTAGCTTGGAAATAGTACGTGCCTTTCTTTTACAACAGGACAACGCGGAAAAATATATACCTCTTTACAATATTGAGGAGTTTGCTGAAGTCAGGAAAACAAGCTCAATGCGTCAAACTAACATTGACACATATTTTTCTTAAAGTATAGTCTGACTTCGATGTGATAGTATAATTTTAATAAAGAGAAAGTACTGTCACTATTATGTGTAACAGTTTTCTGGTTTTCTATTTGTTGCTCTTATTCTATAAGTGACCCTCCCTAAATGTCAAGTCCCAAGAACGTGCACTTATAGAGGTGTCTCTGTATATCGAAATTTCAGGACATTTCCCATTTATCAAAAATTGGACAGTTTAGTGAAACGATAATTAGTTATAAAATTTTCAGCAAGACGTTGCTACGTGTATTAGGATAGTTCTTTTATTCTAATAAAGATCCTATTTAATTATAAATGTTGTTATTTTCGTTTATTCCCTGATAAGAGAAACTTAGCGTCGTTGACGAAGTGTAAAACGCTTTCCCCGTCATCGGCGAATAGGATTGATACTTGCCAATTAATTCTATTTAGTACTTTTGCATTGTTTAATTTAACGTTAGTGTAGAGAGATAACTTCCCCAACCGATAGGCTCTGAGATTACTCCCATCAGAGAAATCGAAGTGTTACTCGAGGTTAAACAATAATCTAGGGACAACGTATAATATACAGATCGTGAGTATAAATCCTAGTTAAAGGTCACTAACTGTCATTAGTATTTAGTTTGAAGTAGGAAGAGCAAAAGCTTCCGTCGGAAAAGAGCTAAATCCCAAAGCTAGTACACCGTCGCTCTCCAACACTTGGAAATCAAGTTGATAAGTCCCATGTTTTTACAAAAATTGAAAAGACTCAATATCAAATGCATTTTCAAAGAATTGGGAATAAAAAGATCACAATTTATTAATGAGAAAAAGCTTTTTTATTTCTTTCCCACATGAATTCCAGGTAGCACAATGGATAAATCAGATAACTCAGGCTCTGACTGAAAGGAATTATGCTCATCAGTATTTATATTTATTCAAACTGAACAATATTCACACTACTACTACATACCTTATCCTTCTCATCTGTTTCTAACTGGATTATTTCTTCATCTGTGATTATTTCACTTTGAGAGAGAATAGTGTTCCTACATATGCATTGCATACTTGAAAATTTGCACCAACCACTGGATTAGCCACTGGTTCAGCCTCATCAGCTACTGGTCCAACTGTGGCCAAGGCATCAACTCAGTCAAAGGATGAGCTGGAGCTGCAAACAATCAGAAAGAAGACAAGTGAATTGGTTAGTCTTAATATTGCTGCATTATAGTATTGCATTAGTATAATTAGCATATTGACTTGGAAGAATGTGTCCACATTGGATAGTTTGAGACTTACCACTACCACATCTGGTGCCTGGGTACTAGGTACTATTTGTCCCAGGTCCCTCAAATCATGCCCTATAAAGAAAGTATCATGTTTTTGTTGTTGATATTTTGAATGCAAAATTAGAAGCCAAAGACAATAGATAAAATTGTCACAGTAGAGTTGTATTCTGTTATTCTGTATAACTATTCAATCAATTACGAAGTACACACCGAATAAGTAAGTGATTGAATGCGTGTCATTCACTGTCTGTAATTTAAGATTGAGGGCAATGGTGAAAGAATTTTGGATTAGAATTAGACGTAACTTTGTACTGCTCAATGTAGTTCAGATGAACTTCAACTTACCGTCATAATTACGAGATAACTACTTCAAACGAAAATAAATTTATTAATAGTCTTGAATAGTTCGAATTATCAATTTGTACATAATATAGTGGAGGATTGTTTTTACGATCCATGTGGCAGATACTCGGTATAGCGTCAGAAAAGTGCGTTTTGCTTTCTCGGTCACTGTATGATATTTACCTTGGGGAGTCACAGGAAAGTCTCGATACAATAATTCATTTACAATTAAGAGTATACACCGTATGTGGTGTATTCTATCGCTAATTCTTTCTAAAATTGACATACTCGATGTATTCACTTTACATGATATCGGGACACGGCACACTTGATGGACCATCTTCAAATCACGTAATCGTGAGTAGCGTGTATATGTTTGTTTGTAAAAGAGACGGCAAGAGTGTGAGAAGTGTGGACATTAATAATATATGGCAATTTGATCTTGGGTAGCTCATTGAATTCTGTGCTTCGTCTGACGCTGGATGTAAGTAGTCTTTAGGTGCGGAAACCAAAGAATTATAGTTTCTAACTCATCACTTGGAATTTAAGAATGTACGAGTCATATGTATATATCTCATATGAGGTGCTGTTCTCTCGTACGCTTCTTCTATTCTGTGTTCTCGCGGCCTTTTCAGACTCTGTTAGTGTAATCACACTCTTTACTGTGTTTCCCTTTCTTCTCCGATTGTGACACATTCGATTGAATACTATGTCCCGACAACAGTGGAGAAATATCAACAGTGGTTATATGGATTACCTTTTTTATTTGTATAGAACTGATTATAATCTCTTGCATATGCAATGCTTAGCAATCCCGCCTGTTCCTTTAGCAACCCGAGTGGCTTAGAGGATGATATTCAACAGTGAAAGCCCGAACACAGGAATAATGATTGTCATAGATATCAGTATCATTGTCATGCATGAGATTAAAAAAGACGGGGCGACCGGGGTAGGTGCCTAGATTAGAAGTTACCCGAGTGAAGATAACAATCGGTAAATAAAGAGTTTGCAGCAACCAAATTGTGTACTATACAACAAATACCTCTATGACACCCGTAAGCGTTGTTAGTCTATAGTGATTTGGATAAATGTAATTACGAGTCCACTGTTCCGTACCGGATACCACTGAGCTCTGAAAATCGCGTGTGATTTCATAGTTAGTTGCATGCTACAGCGCCCATTGAGATATGTATACCATCATATGAGACTCGGTGGAACCTTGACATTTGCCCAGTGAATACTGATATCGTTGATAAACAGATATAACATAAACCCAGTGGCCGATAATGCTATGGCGTACTCCATTGTAAACACTGTTGTGTCAGAAACAGACAGACAAGCAAATGTATAAATCTTCAAGTCTCCGGTCCGTTATGTACGACACAGTTCCGTAATCACTTGGATCAGGTTGCACAATCATTATTATGAATTTGCAGACTAAACTCTACCGAAAGTCTCGATAACGTTATTTGAATTAACTATAATAGTCTTGTAAAACAACTGACGTTATTCTGACGACTTGTGAATTGCGAATATACTAATGCGCATTGGCAAATGCATTCATTTCCCAGGAAGCGTCATTATTTATTGTTTAATCAATTTATTTTAAGCCCAGGCGAAAGGATATTTCCATTCCGTCCTGCAACAATTGATACACAAAAAGCGTGGTAAATCTGCTTGTCATACATTTCATCTCCCTCTTTATTATTTTTCCCATTTTGACAATTCCTTAAAAAAAAAAGGTTGATCATTGTGCTTATCGGCTTATCGGCCTGATAAGAATAGATTTGGCAAGAACAAGGGATTTGGTAAGAGATATGAAAATGATTATGATTGTCTTATCAACATCTATCTTTTTATCTCTTCATCTATTCACATGGTGTTGCAACAAACTTATGTGTACAGAATATATAGACGCAAAATCAAAGATCGATTGTGATATAAAATTATTTATTCATTATCAGTACTGTTAACAAGGCCTATATTACAAACGTATTTATGCAGTTACCATGAAAAATATTCCAATTTTAGTATTGTTCCTATCATCCAAAATGTCAAGCTATCATTCATTATTATTATACCTTTCTCCGGTATTGACGTGCACAAGGAATTCAAGCCAATCACTGCTCTGTCACATGGGGTTGCAAAAGAGCTTGAAGCAACCTATTCGAAAATTTTTTCATTCGAAGATCTCTGCAGTTCTGTGTATACTATGTAATAGTAATAGTAAGTAACAACGGTTTAAGCATTATATAAAGCTAATTTTCGAAAAGTATAACGCTATCGATGAGGACAGGTTACGCACAGATATGGTTTGTATACTAATACTAATATATTATCTATGCAATTATAATGGTTTAACTTTATACATACGAGTAAATTACATATATAGCCGTCACATGGTCTATGAAGATACTATATAAAGGAATCTGATAATCGTGATGACGATCACAATAAACCCATCGGAAGCCATTGTAAACAAAAGTAAAAAAAATACGATAGTAATAGTATATTATTAATATAAATAACTTTCGATCATTCCTTTATGCAAAGACGCATCGTAAAGGTTTACCATCTAATCTCGTATCATTTCGGGTCGGGTTTATTGCAGAAAGTAACACAAATTTTTACAATATAAGAAAAAACTTCGCCCCCCACCCACACAACTATAATTACGACAAACTATAATTACACATACTAATACGCACAACTATAATTACACACTCGCACAACTATAATTACACAACTATCTCTTTCCTCCAGAGTGCAAATCTTGTAAACAAATCCAATAGGTTAAGTGTCTACATTTTCTAGTTCTACTTCGCAAACACATATACATAGTGAAACTCAACAAGTCGGATAAAATCTCTCTGCCCTTTTATTAAAATCCTTTCTCCAAGTCGGATAAGTCGGGTAACCATGCCCAGCCGACTTATCGAGTTTCACTATGTATTTTGCCCATCATTCAGTAATTTACCCGACGAGCTAATAATAGTCGTCTAACGCTAACAATAGTCGTCCAATCTCGTATTATTTCAAGTAACACAAATTTTATTAATATAAGAAAAAAAATTCGCCCCCCACAAACTGACACAACTCTTCTCTTTCCAAAAAGGTCAGAGCGTCTTGTAACAAATTTAATAGGTTAAGCGTCTACACTTTCTGGTTAAGCGTCTACACTTTCTAGTTCGTAAAACACATATTCGCCACCACGTTCAGTAATTTACTTCATTCGACCCATAACCCCTATTCGGGGCGACGATCTGTTTGCAGCGCAAGGTTCAAAACCGAGTACAGTTCTTAATCCCACGTTCCTTAGATGCCGCCTCACGCCTCCGATTCCACTCCCATTGGGAGTCTACCACCATCTGCATTCAAGGTGAATGCCTCGAATGTCCGTTATACCGATGATCACATAATTGCTGATTATGTTTATAGCAATGCTATTGTGACATCTAATGAATGCGGAAGCATCAATGTGACCCCTACCAACACAAAGTATACTTTCAAGACAGAATTGAAAGTGCCCAAGGTTGGGTGAGTAGTACATCGAAATTTCATTGTATTAATCGCAATATATATATGGGATGATTATGAATCATAACTACCAGGATTTCACTAATTGTTTCTTTTCTCAATCATGTCGCTACTCAATTAGTTTAATGATGGTTGGATGGGGAGGGAACAATGGTTCTACCCTAACAGCCAGTATTGTCGCGAACCGGAACAATATCACTTGGCGAACCAAAGATGGTATAAAGACACCTAACTATTTTGGTTCTGTCGTGCAAGCATCTACTCTCAAAATTGGAGTAGACGAGAAAGGTAAAGATGTCAATATTCCGTTCAGCAACATCTTGCCCATGGTCCACCCGAATGATCTTGTTCTTGGCGGTTGGGACATCAGTTCCTTCGATTTAGCCAAGTCGATGCAAAGAGCATGTGTTCTCGATTACGATCTTCAGCGACAGGTTGCTCCCGAGTTAGAGAAATTGAAACCATTGCCATCCATTTACTATCCTGATTTCATTGCCGCCAATCAGAGCGATCGTGCTGATAACTTGATTCCTGGTAACGACAAGAATGCTCACGTCGAGCACATCAGAAAGGACATTCGTCAGTTTAAAGCTGCTAATCAACTCGATAAAATTATTGTGGTCTGGACTGCGAATACCGAAAGATATGCCGACATCATACCAGGAGTAAACGATACTGCCGATAATCTGCTCAACGCTGTCAAAGAATCTCATCCAGAGATTGCACCCTCTACAATTTTTGCTATCGCCTGTATCCTCGAAAATGTACCGTTCATCAATGGATCTCCTCAGAATACATTCGTACCGGGGTGTGTCGAATTAGCTGAAAGAAACCGCGTATACATTGGCGGCGATGACTTCAAGTCGGGACAAACTAAAGTCAAGTCCGTCTTGGTTGATTTCTTGGTTAATTCTGGTATTAAGCCCATTGGAATTACGAGTTACAATCATTTGGGGAATAACGATGGCAAGAACTTGTCGGCTCCTCAGCAGTTTAGATCCAAGGAAATTTCAAAGAGTAACGTTGTCGATGATATGGTTAACTCTAACAAGATCTTGTATAAACCGGGAGAACATCCTGATCATGGTGAGTACCAAAAATATGCACTACGAATTCGCGTTTGACCTTTTGTATTTACTTTGTCTTCCAAACAGTTGTCGTAATCAAGTATGTTCCCGCTGTTGGTGATTCCAAGCGAGCTCTCGATGAGTATGTATCAGAGATCTTCATGGGTGGAAGGAATGTAAGTAAAATCTCATTCAATTAAACTCATATAATTATCTTGCAAAAGATTGTCAATCGTTTCTCATTTTACTAATTAACACACGTTTCCATTTTATTTTACAGACTATTTCTCTCTACAACACTTGCGAAGATTCTCTTCTTGCATCTCCTCTTATTCTAGACCTCGCTATACTTGCCGAACTCATGACCCGTATTGAATATCGCACTGAAGAGATGTCGGAATTTGCACCGTTCCATTCGGTTCTTTCCATTCTTAGCTTCATGCTCAAAGCACCTCTCGTACCGCCGGGTACTCCTGTCGTTAATGCGTTTAGCAAGCAGCGCATGGCCATGGAAAATCTTTTCCGAGCCTGCATTGGGCTTCCCCCAAATAACGACATGTTGCTTGAACATAAAGCTCCTATTAATCGCTTGAAGAAGGCTGTTATATGAACTGTTATTCGATGCTAATAATGATAGTGTGAAATAATAATGTATTATTATCCTATTGTTATATGTTAAATAAAGCCTTGTTGCTGTGCATCGTTGCTTCAATTTTATGCGCAGTTCTCTATAATAAAAATTGGTTTCGAACAAAACGCATCTTTTTTATTAATGAGTAATTAAAAATCATAATCATAGTCATCATCCTCTGTCCGCACGGGGGCCTTCTGTGGACTAGCAGCAGAACTTATAGGCGTGTTTACAACATCTGGCATTTCGGTATCTTTATCAGCATCGTTCACTCCCTCTTGTAGTCCAAGAGGAATTCCACTTTCTTCATCTTGTGTTGGAGGAGGTGGCGGAGCAATCGGGACAGCTGGAAGGGGTCTTACAACAGTTTTGGACTGTAGGGAAGGGAATATATGCATTGAAATAGTGAGTTGAATCGAAAAGAGAATAATTTTTTCAATTGTTTTACTGACTTCTGGCGGAACTATTTGAAAGTTTACTGCTGTCAGACAATATTTCTCATGAGGAAGACGCAAGCCATAACGTTCTGGTACGGGCGGAAGAGGTACTCCGTTCTGCGCCTTTGCTAATTCGTATATGAACTTGAATAAAATGTGTTTGCGTGATTAGTCCTGATTCAATTGATACATGTAAAAATTCGCAATTCACAATATGCTTACATCTCTTCGTGGCGGAGCAGTAAACGAATAATTCACCCGTCCTTTTATAGCGAGTTTAACGTCATTCACATTAATATCAGTCCTGCCCGCATGCTCCGCGTAAATAAGTGCGTCCTGTAAAACGTCTATAGTGTATCCTACAAACGAAGCAGCAAAAGTGTCATGGATGGATCATTCCAAACTATCACAGTCGATCAATACTGACGATGTGCAAACTCCAGCAACTGCTGAACCACTTTCGGTTCATGATCTCTAACCCCCAATGAATCACATATTAACTGTATTATACGAGAATCTCGAGGAAATTGTTGAGATTGTTGAGACTGTTGCTGGGTTGGTTGTGACATGACAGAGATGCTCGAGATTGTGTGACCCATTCAAACAAGCGATGTATACACCCAATAATGTTGCGTAACGTGGGGTGATACAAATGGGGAATTTACTTCCTGGACGTTAGACAATAAAGTTCTACATTATCGACCGGTTGAGTCTTTGGACTCTTGTCAAAATGACACCAAACACAACAGAATACGACGAGGATGATGAATTATACGAAGTGATGCACCTCGTTGAGGAGCTTAGTGCCGAGCTCGCAAAAGGTCGTGAGAACATGAGCTCACTTTTGGAAGAGCTCAATGATTTAAAGGTAAAGTAAGGAACTGCTAACAAAAAAATTGTCGCCTGGTAAATTGACAAAGCCTTTAACCTCCCATTACAGCTACGCTGTGCTCAATATACAAGTCCTTTGATACGTGCAAACTTTAGACGTATGTTTATGTCGATTTTTCAACTGTATCGTCGTTTTTTTGCACCAAATTCCATTTTCACAATATTATCTCTTTCTATTCTCTCAATCATACAATCTTAGTTCCCAACCTTCCGTCAGATACCGACCCTCCAAAAGTCTTCAATACCCGCCTTACCCTCGAACATGAATCTTTACTATCGGAAAATGCATATCTCTCTTCTACTGTCAAAGAATACGAGACAACTCTTCAATACCTTATGAGCAAATTTCGTCTACATTCTTATCGCATTCAACAGAACAAACTCGATTTACAACGGGAACATGAAAACCTCATCTTGGCTGAACGTGTTAAACGTGATCAATTGGAGAAGGAAAATGCGCTATTACAAGCAAAGATAGTCAGCGTTGCCGAGATTTTGAGAAAAGCAGTTGGTTATCAAAATGACCCGGAAACAATTGCACTCGTGAAAAGCTTGTTGATCGAGAATGAGGTATTGAGAGAATTGACTAATGTTGCGAGAATGGAAGTCAGAGAGAAGGATGCGAGCAGAGACGAGAAACAGAAGATGGAGCAAGGGAATGAGCAACGAAACGAGCAGGAGAGCGAGAAGAATCATGAATTACTGTTTCCTAATCCACCGAGCGACTGAGAACTGAAAGAATCTGTAGCATAGAATGAGAGACGGGATTTCTTAGCGAATGACGATACTGTAAATGTATTTTTATACTTATGATAACGTGAATGTAGGGATAATTAATTTACATTCAATGTTTTTGGAAATTGACGTTCTATGTAATCAGTTCTGATATATCATTATTCTTAATGCTCAATATGCAGATGCCGAAACTACCGTGTCCTTCACACACACCAAATGAACCATGCAATGATAATATTCATCTCTGATATAACGTTCAAAGAACCATGGAGCAGTGAACAGTGATATCAGATTCCATACCAATATCTTCGCTACCTGTTTTAACATCTTCTTCTCAGCACCTTTATCTTCCCTCCCCTTTTTCTCATCCTCTATATTGTGTCCTTTTCTTTCACCAACTCCCAAATGCCTCCACATTCCCCAAACGTTCTCCCAGACAATAAGTATTAATGCATGAAACAAAATGAAAGAGAAATGTTCTCCTTTGCTCTTTCCATGCACCGCATTTGAATAGTACTCATGTACCACCGCGCTTACAAAAAACGTCCCCACAACTTCCATCATTTTTCTTATGCGTGTTCCTTTCCTGAATCTTCTGGCGAATATGCCACCTAGGTTGCTAAAGCTTTCCGTACATGCAGAGTGCCATCTGTTTTTCCAGAAGTCGATTGGACTAGAAGATAGAATTGGATGATTGAAGAGTGGCTTTGCATGGAATAAGAGGGAACTTAACCATTCCTTTAGGGATTCTTGTTGAGAGGGCGTGAGAAGTGCGTGTAATGGAGTGTTTGGTTTCATGGAGAGAACGCGGAAGAGTATTGCCGCGTGTAATAAGATCAATTCGTAGAGGAATGACATGGATATTGCAAGTGTCCCTCCGTAAAAGTAGCAATACAATAACGCGTGCAGAGATATGAACGGTTTTCCCGTGCGAATGAAATCGATTACTCGGAGTGGATAGGGCTTGCTTGGTACTTCAGGTGGGAAGAGTTCAAGAATTTCAACGCAGAGAACGTAGATCGCCCACACGGTAATAAATGAAATAAATCGTTCTTCTAAAGATACCGATTTTGGGAGTTTGCGCTGTTGATCCTTGTCTGAGGGTTTGATTGTTCGCCAGTTCATCAAACTCCACCAGAATGTAGTTACGGTTTTAGGTGATTCAAGACAGCCTTTTAGCCATATCAGCATCTTGACACCAAATGAACCGGCCATTGTTGTAGTCAGTGATTTAGTAGTGCATGAATACTGTCGTGCATACACTAGCGGAACGGTGATAAACGAGATCATGGAAGTCAGTAGTGTGATCCATTGAAAAAGTGATGAAGGACGATCGTACGAGTTAATGATGAATACAGCGAGACTCCCGAAAAAAAGTAGATTGTAAACAGGTTCCGGAAGTGATGGAGTAGGCAACGAGTCCTTTGCTGGAACTGATAATGAGATCGAAACGAGAATTATAGATAGAAGTAGTAATGGTTTCTTTGCTAATTCCATATCTGTTTGGGTGGCTGGTAACAAAGTATACACAATGGCTTTTAATGGTTTATCGGGGTAAATTTAATATAGAGGTTTTAGAACTTACCTTCGGTTAGCGGGGTTTTACTTAGTCCTTCGGTTAAACGGGGTTGACTATGTATATGTGTAGTTTCGTTCGATATAGTGGAGAGTCAGAATCATTGGTGAAGGGGCATAAGCTAGCTTCGTTGGTTGTATGTGGAATGTGGGATGTCGGAACGCGGAACGCGGAACAAGTCTGTTTGATACTTTAATTTTATTCTATAATGCTAACAATTAGTCGAAATAACTATAAATAAACTTTCCAATGGGATAATTCGTTATTTTCCCCTCCCCTGAAGTTCTGTGAAAGTAAGCGATTCTTCGTTATTATTATAGTGTAGAAAGCTGTCGGATTTTTGATCTCCAAGCCCACTGTATATAGTGAAATACTGCGAACATTGCAGTGTAATATAAATAGATACACAGAGATCCCCAATAGTTAATTAATATAAATATCCGTGCCCGCGCGTTATTGTGTGGCTTAGCAAATCGTAATGATGATGCATGTCGATCCATATAAGTATTCATTCTCTGCAACAAGAAACTTGCAAATGACTAGCATGCATAATATCCCAATCATTGATTTCTCTCTGTTTGAAACAGAGATATTGACATGCGCGCAGCAGATTAAAGAGGCGTGTGTCTCAATTGGTTTCTTTTACCTCCGGCATCATGGAATTGATCAATCCGATATCGATAATATATTTGCCGTTGTAAGGATGAAATGGGGTGCTCAGAGCTCTATCCGTCTATTTGTTAAAACATCTTATTTTTTTATCCGCCGCAGTCCCAAGAATATTTTTCACTCCCAACGGAAACAAAACTTGAACACGGGATCAAAAGAGACAACTTTGGTTATTCTGCAATCCATCAGGAAACTCTGGATACAGAAACACAAAAAACTGGCGATTTTAAAGAGTAAGGAGAGTGATATCATGTGTTTGATAACACGTACCGGCCTTGCTGCCTCGATTGTTGTTTGATATTCCAAAGAGCGTTTAATTTTGGAAAGTTCGTAGGTGGAGATTGTTCACAAGAATTGCCAGCAACTTTGGCGCAGCAGAAAGATTTCTTGGCAAAGTTTTCAAGGGTAATGTAGAGATATTACTATGGTTATTATATCGACCTTGAAAACTTGTAGTTACGTGTCTTTCCAATATACAACAGGTATGTCATAACCTATGTTTGAAGATATTGGAAGCATTTGCAATTGCTTTAGAGATACCAGAGACGGAGGGAGGAAAGGACTGGTTCACAAAACGACATTTATATGAACTTGAATCGGGTGACATACTGCGAGTGTTGCACTATCCCGCTGTAGAGAGCATCAACAATGATGATATACGTGCTGGCAGGTAAGAGATATTCGATTATTCAGATGCGGCTCATTGGACGTAGTTTGACAACATTTTTGATTCACATTTTCATTATCCTATAGTCATTCTGACTACGGCTCGCTGACGCTTCTCTTTCAAAAAGATGTTGGTGGTTTGGAAGTATTCTCTAGTGACGACCAATGGATATCTGCTCCGGTGATACCAGAGTGTGTGCTTGTAAATATAGGCGATCTGTTAGAATCTTGGAGCGGAGGATTGTTTCGATCAACAAAGCATCGCGTGGTTTTTCGTCACGATAATCTCCTGTTGGATCGATATAGTGTTGCATACTTTTGTCACGCGGCTGATGATGTTTCGTTGGAACCGATACCCAGTAAACTAGTGGTTGGTAGAGTGGAAGTAAATTCGAGTGATGGTCACGTACTTACCGCTGGACAGCATTTACGAAATAGATTGGACGCTTCATATAAGTATTAATGTGATTGACATGATTTACGGTAACATAATAAAATCGAATGAATTTTCGAAAAATTTATCTTGGCTCTCGGTAATAGTAAGGAGAGATTAACTTTTGCAATGTGACAGTGATGAGTGGTTAATTTCAATGTTTGAATGTTTTCAAATTGACAATAATAAGATTAGTTGACATCTTAAGTACCAATGTGAATACTTGCACTGAGTATGTAATAATCTAGTCAAACATTCTGGATTTAATTTTTAATGTACAGAAATAGTTAAGAACTGGGGGTGTTTTTAAGTCATACTTTTTGGTAAGACATTTTTGAAGTTGTAAGCAGCCATTTTTCTGCCTGTAATAAGGCCGCCAGTCAACTCCCAAGAACCTCCCGCAGAATAGTAGTTACTACATGCTCATAGCAATAGAGTTAATGTTAAAAATGTTCATATTTCATAAATTTGAATTTTCCTCAAATACTAATACTAATCTCCGGTAAAAGTCTTAATTTATCAATGTGGATCTCAACTTATATACACAGTATGGCTACAGAAAGGATCTCTCATAAAATATACCCTTAATATCAATTTTTACATCAAGTCTGCGGTCAATCTTATATCAAAAAAAAATTCTTACAGAAAAACCATGTCGTCATCAAATGCAAAAGTTGAAGTTTCAGGATATCAAGCAATTGACTTACTCGGAGTTTCGTTACATAGTACCAAGTATCGATCAGACCATTCATTACGCTACGCACGATAACTCTATCAATAATCGGAAAGAGCGAACAATGTACACCAGCGTTTCTAGATGAATTTGCTAGAATACATTCACTTCCAACACCCAAGTACAACTCTATTTTTTCAGAAGTGTGGCTTGAGAGACGCAATGAGATGATAAAGGGCTTAGCAAGGACGACGGTAATTATTACCTGGTAGCTGATAGACGCTTTCAACTTTGTTATTCTCGATATGGATTATTCGATGGTCTGCCTATTCCCACTATATGGAAGTAAATTTATACCACTTGAAATAAGCTGGGATTTAGCTAAGTACATTTATTTGGCATCCAAAATGAAGCAGTTCGTGAACAAATTAATTACGTTCTCGATGAAGACGAGATTATTGGCAAAGGTCCTAATGGAATAAAGAAATTGAACAAAAGCAAAAAGCATTTAAAGATTACTTGTGATAATGCGGGAGGACAGAATAAAAATAATGCCACTATTTGATTTTACCTATACCCAGTAATCTGCGATTACTATGAAAGCATTGAATGGTACCTGGACATACTAAATTCAAGTGTGATGATAGTTTTAGATTGATTAAGAAACCATACTGCAAGATATCAGTAGATTGCATGGATTATATTGTTGAAGTTGTGAAAAATTAAGTACAGCCGGATTAAATAAAGCTCAGCGTTATGACAACGGAAAAGGTTTTCAATACTTAGATCTTGATTCAGTGTTGGGAATTTTCTTTAAAAAATTAAATGGCTTACAAAAATATCAGCATTTTATATTTGAAATAGCCAATCCTGGAGTTGTCAAAGCCCAACTGGTTGCAAATGGTACTTAATTTATTGAAAACCAGAAAAGCAAGTGTTTCAAAGAAATTAAATCCTTTTCCATCCTAATACTAAACCCTCTTACAAAAGAGTATCTTTACCAAAACATTCGTGCATTTGTCAGAGATGACTTTACTTGTCCAAGACCAACCTATACTGGTAATGAATAAAATATTTAAACTAAATCCTCTACTACTAATTATTTCAACCTGCATTAAATTTTCTTACTGTCATTAAGTTCTCTGTCTAATTTTGAATGAATATTCCGCTTTTAATTTAAATAATAGAAATTATTATAAATTTACAAACTATGGGAAGATATATAAAAAATACATCAGAAGTGCAAGTTTTTATTGAAATTCTTCCCACAACTGAAAACCAATGAGTATGTAGTAATAGTAAATGCTTTATAGACCAATTTAAAAAACTTTCTGCTGAGAAGAAAAAAAGCATATTGCTTGAAAAAATTCTGTAGAAGGAAGGTTGAAAATGAGCAACAAATTTCTACCATTAAAACAACTCAGGTAGACCAAAACACTGGAAATTTGAAGATAATAGCAAAAACAACGAACTAAATCTTAGAAGAAAGAACGGAAAGAGTTGGAAAAAAAACTATTTTCTTCAAAAGAACCTCCAAAAACCATATATGGGGCAGACTGCAACAAAACCAGACAAAGTGAACATTCTGAAATAAGAGGCTGGTGTGGCTGAAAGTTAACTA